ATCGGTAATGGTATCATCTCTAACCGAGAGCCCCGTCCGGGACCATATTCTTCTGCTATGGACTTCCCTTCGTGACTTCTTGGCTGCTGAGGACGTAGAGGCAATCATCTTGCCTAACAACATTGTTATGCCTGTGATCTCTCCGGCTGCTGCAGATCGAGAACTTTCGAAATTGAATACGATGGACTTCTTTCTGGGACTTTTTCAAGATGAAATGAAAGATCCATTATTAGTCATTGAGACACTTGAACCCGTTCTAAATCCAACTTCAGTCTATGTATTTGAAGAGAAGCCAAGTAGCTTGGCGGCAGAGAAAGTGGATGACGACGGAACAAACGATGACGTGGATAAACACGACCCAATCAACATCCACAGCAAGACCGATCAAAACGATAAAAAGAGTGATGATGTGGTACCGGGACGCGATGAACAGGACAAGAGTGAAGAGGATAGCGGCGGAAGGGAAGTTGTATTTGACGACTCCGAAGATTTAACTATCAACCGAAAGCCAATATCGGAGAATGCTACCCAAGGCATGAGAGACGTGTGGAAATTCCTGACCAGCAGTAGTACGGAGTTGCGACTATTCTTGTGGTCGCGTCTGGGCGATGCATACGAAGCCATTAACTATCCCACAAAGCGGTTTTCATGTCTTCTCAAAAGTATCGAAATGGTGGTCAACGACCTAGAAGGGGAGACGTCTGCCAAGATGCCAGATGATTCACGGAAACACTTGTTTATGCGAACTCTGAAATCTTTGGATGAACTTGTTATTCAGGCTCTGTCCATGTCATTGAATGATGGCACATCTTTTGACATCATTGATGACGAGCATTTGAAATCGAGCTTAGCCGCCATTGCGAAAATGTGCTCATTTCTTCACGTTGTTGCTCTTTGTGAGGACGAATCTCGACTGGGCATCACCAGCCTGCCTACGAGTAACAACACATTTATGGCCCTAATCAACAAACTGCGAGATATTCAGGTCCGCACCTGGTGCCTCCTGTTTACAATGTTCAAAGCCGGACTATCACAAAAGAAGTCGGCTATGCTGGAGAACGATGTGGCGGACTATCTCGCCGCCATTCATAGAGTACTTGGTCTCCGCAAATTCTGCAAGGCCTCAAACAAGATCTTCCTCAAGGTGATGCGCATAGAACTCCTCAGGTTGAAAAAAATTGAGGCCTGGGAGGATCATCTGGAACAGGTTCTTTATGATTTATATGGCCTGAAACTTGGTGTAGGCGTCTGGGAGGTGCAAGATCATGGCTGCCCATATGAGAAACTTGAGAAGCGACAGGCCATGCAACTGGTTGAGAAGATTATGATTCTTGCAAATCGCATGACTATGAAAGATTTGCTTAAATCAGATCTGAAAACCACCATTGAACACATGCAGCAAACCATCGGACAGACCAAATCTACACCGCAGATGATTCATAACCTGCGCAATTTCACGGAAATGCTGAAAAAGCCAATTCATCCGCTAAGACTATACCAGGCTCTTGCCGGCAAAGTATTTGTCGACGCAGTGACCGTCAACATTCCAGAAGGCGCTCTTGCTAAACATGGCTGGTTCTTCTTGTTGGGAATGATTGCCCTGACCAAATTCAAAGGTGTAGATTTGAACCGCCGGCAGACTCCTGGGGCTACAGATGATCTCCGAATCGGAGCTACTTTTTTGAGATTGCAACTGCAGTTTACTGCTGACAGATGGGATGCCTGGTTTCGACTGGCAGAGTGTTTCGACTATGAGCTAGACGAATCCGTTTTGTGGACGGCAGACAAGATGAACAAAGATCGGCCGGAGCTGGTCAAATTCCAGCGAAACGCAATTCACTGCTATACCCTAGCTTTGTCGCATTCTCGACACGAACGCGTAACTGCTACCGATAGCGATCCGCTGCACGATCTATACCACAAATTTGGCATGAGGCTTTACTCTTCCAGTCGAGAGCCATTTGCCATGGAGCCCTTCCAGCATTCAGATCAAGAACGATTCTTCATTGAAGACATGGGTGCCGGAACCTTCAAGAGGATTCTGCACGATCAAATGTCACAGTACAAAGTTTGGAAGTTTGCCGCTGGGTTGTTTCGAAAGGCGATGGCAAGGAAACCGCTCAACTGGAAGTGCGTAAACCCCCGATTCAATAGTAGAACTCAACGACTAACACGCAGTAGGAATCCGTACATGCTTGGAAAATGCCTCTGGAAAATGTATCAAACACCCCGGGATGGACTTGACAGCAGCGACCAAAAGAGCCCCATTACCATGGCGATGGTACTGGATACGCTGAAAACATCGATTGAGGTAGCGCAAAGTGCCAGGAAGAGTAAGAACAGCGACCCGATTCTAGAGCCGCATTATAAGTTGGTCTCTATCCTGCACAAACTTGTTGATCGTGGGGATATTCCCGCAGCAGAAGCCGCGTCGCTTCTGGCTGAACAGCCATTCGGCATTGTTGTAAATCCGAATGACCATTTCGCATCTTTCTCTGAACCGGAAGACTGGGAAGAGTACATTATCCGCAACTTGACTAAGCTTCGTGAAAAGGATAAGTCTAACTGGCAACATCGAATCGTCATGCGCCATGCCAAGATTCTCTTTGACGAGAGGCACATTGCAGCGGACAGCGACGGCACTGTAGAAGCCAAGGCCGCATTTGCCATTTTGAAGGAAAACATGTTCACTAAAACAATGGTAATGAATGTGTGGAAGTGTGATGCTGAGCGGCCTGGTCGTCACCACGTCTTTACTGAGCAATATGTTCGCTTCATGACAAAGCTTCTGGTTATCATGTCGGACCGAACAAATCTGGAACTTCTTTTGAGACGACTTCGCAAAAAGGGTGCGGACTTTTACCATTTTGCAGACTTATGGCAGTATAGCTGCACTGAGTACGTGAAGCTGTTGCGTGCAGCGTACAAGGTGCCAGTCACCACCGATGAAGCATTCAAGCACATGTCGAATGAAGAGTTTGAAATCATGAGCGAGAGAATCACCGATTGGTCTGGTGGTGATGGAGCTCCAAACACAGCCTTTGAATGCATGAAGGAGGCCATTGAAGTCAAGAAGCTCAACGGAAACCTAATGAAGGTCGCACCTATTGACGATCTCATCAATGATTGTTACACGACAATCTATGTGGACGTTGCCGGAACTCTTCCAGGGCTGGAACCGGGGAGAATCATAGAAGAGCGCAACCACGCCAAGGAAGTCGCAGCTCAATTAGAGGCCGTAGCCCAAGTTGAGCAGAAGCCAAAGAGCTCACTCAGTAATCTGCTTAATCCACCAAGCGGAGGGGACAGCGCAGCTGGATCCGCTACGCCAATGGAGACTGATAAAGCAGAGGCTATTCCCCGAGCGAGGAGACTGGCCGGTGTGCGTCGGCCCGAGATTTTACGAAAGGCAGAGCAAGCTGTCGTGCGTGCTATGGAAGCACCAAAATCTGTTACAACTAAGAGTCGGGTTGGAAGCATGTCAAGCACGAAGCGTGGTAGTCAGACACCTGCTAGACATGGCAGTATGGCTCATAGCGACGATGAAGATGAAGGGCCAGATGCTCAGGTACGTCGAGAGGCTGGCGAAGATGTTGACGAAGAAATGGGTGAAGGAGAGGACAATGAAGAAGCAGTCGAGGACGAGGAACATGGTGACTCCCGATTGGAGGACAAGGATGAAGATGATCATCCTGGTAGTATCCATGATTCTGCCGATGACGAGAGTGATCTTAGTGACGTGCCGGAAGGGTATGATGACGATGTGCCTCCCGGACTCTTGTTCCCCAATCTTCGAAGGTCTGAATCGAGTGGGGACGAAGCGGACAGCGAAGACGCCGAGGAAGATGAAGAGGAGCCCGACGACGAGGAGGAGGAGGAGGAGGAGGAGGAGGGTGGCGAGGAAATTGAAGTTGAAGAACTAGAGGCAGAAGAGGAGGAAGACGAAGGAGATGAGGGTGAGGAAATAGAAGTTGAACAGGAGGTGGATGAGGAAGATCCCGAGGAAGAGGAAGGCGAGCAGGAAGAAGCCGAAGAGGAGGTAGAGGAAGAAGAGGAAGACAATGAGGATACAGAGATGGCCGGTATAGAAGAGATTGAGGGTGAGGGTGAAGAAGATGATGATGAAGAGGAGGAGGGTGGCGAAGAAGTAGACGAGGAAGCCGAGGAGGAAGCCGAGGAGGAAGAGGGCGATGCAGAAGAGGAAGAAGACGAGGAAGGGAATGATGAGGAGGAAGCTGAAGAAGGAGAAGAAGAAGAGGAGGAGGCCGAGGAAGAAGAGGACTAAGGCGGAGCATGCCTTGAATTGCGTTCAGAGGATATAGGATATTGCGCACGGGACAGGTGTGCGAACTTGTGATATGTATTTTTATATTCGGGACAAGCGGCGCTGCTAGGTTGGGAAATATTGTATAATGAACTCATTTCATGAATGCGCATTATTGGTCCAACGTAGGTGTATGGATTTTTTGACTTGCTCCCAAACTGCGAGATGGAATAACGCAGTGTAGCAGTGTGTTTAGGAACCAGGATCGCGAGAACTCATAGCCTAGTAGATGACAGGGGCTGGATGGCGTTGTAAACTGGCAGCATGCCGCATCGTAGGGGATGATACTAGGCTATGTAAATACCGGAGTTGTTGTTCGGAATATGAATATTGCCAGCTTCGTAGAACAGGCCAAACGGCCTGAAAACCAAGGACATGCCTCACCGAATGTGTGATAGCTTCTCGCATGTATTGAGTTCGCCGGCGCTCTACCTACCAGGCTTCCCTTTAACTCAACTTTAAAAGAAATAAAGAGCTTTCTTATTCTTTAAGTGAGGGCCATTTCTGGGGTTGAAAGAATGTGTAGTTGGAAGACGATTAATCATGGATCAGTGCACCGCCGGGATCCCTGAAGCTGCTACTTATTGTATGCATCCACGCACTTAATGGGCCATACATGATTTCTACTGCGCATGGGAGCAATATGTTAAACTATGGTATTACGTGGCTAGCGATTCTAACCCTCTTCTTTGTCCATATCGTCGCGATGCCTCTTGCCAGTGCCCTTGATTCCCTTGCCCCTCCTGTCCTTTTTCTCGGACAGGCTCTTCATTTCGATTCTCGCCTCCCTTTGCGCCTCTTCGACGCGGTGCTGGAACGCCAGGACTTCCTCCTTCTCGGTGGGGTAAATGTCCAGCTTCTTGCCCAGCGCGGCCTCGATGCGCTGGAATATTTCGATGTCGTACTGCGTCACCAAGCTGATTGCGATACCGGACTTGCCCGCTCGCGCCGTTCGGCCGACTCTGTGGATGTAGGTTTTCGAGTCCTGCGGCAGGTCGTAATTGAGGACGACGTCGACTTTGGAAATGTCCAGACCACGGGCCGCAACATCGGTGGCAACGAGGATGTCGCGGGTTCCGGAGCGGAATTTGTTGAGGGCGCCGAGGCGAGAAGATTGCGAGAGCTGGCCGTGCAGAGGAATGGCGCCGAACCCGAGAGTGCGGAGCAGGATTGCGAGTCTTTGGGTTTCCCACACGGTGCGTGTGAAGACGATGGTGGACTTGCCGGCGAATTCGTTGACTAGGTAGATGAGATACGTGTCCTTGCGCTTCTGTGGGACGACGAGCAGGTTCTGCAGAAGCGTTGACACAGTTTGGTACTTGTTGCTGCTGACGCTGACGCGAACGGGGTCTCGCAAACTGGCCCGCTGCAGGCTTTCGACTTTGGAACTGAGTGTCGCGGAGAAGAGGTAGGTCCGTCGTTCGCGCGGGATGAATTTGAGCAGCTTGTCAATCGCGGGACCAAAGTCCATGTCTAGCAGACGGTCGGCTTCGTCCATAACCAGGTACTTCAGTGTGCGTAGTGAGAATCCCTTTGTCTTTTCGAGGTGGTCCACCAGTCGTCCAGGGGTGGCGACGATGATGTGCGGCTTCTTTCCAAGCGCAACGGCTTGGGGGACCATGTCTAAGCCGCCGACAATAACGGCACATCGTAGTGATATTGATGACCCCAGAGCTTCGAATGCCTGGCCAATTTGATGCGCCAGTTCTCGGGTCGGGGCGAGGACGAGGCCGAATAATGGCTGAGGTTTGTCGAGGAGAGCTTGCAAAATTGGAAGCGCGAATGCAGCCGTCTTTCCGCTACCAGTTTCGGCGAGACCGATAATATCACGATCCTGCAAGGCGACGGGGATGGACTTTTCTTGGATGGGGGTCGGGAATTTGTAGTTGAGAGATTCACAGGCTTCGCATAACGAGTCGACGATTCCCTAGATTGGTGAGCATTGAACGAGAGCAGAGGCCTAGGACAAGGGCATCTGCTATGCTTACCAGCTCTTTGAAAGTCTTGGGTTGAGTATCGGATTCCTCTGCAGCAGCTTCATCAAGAGTTGCTGATTCTTCTTGATCACTCGAAGCCTCGGGTTCTGAAGACGGAGCTCGTGGGGGACTGCTCATGGGCACATGGCGGTTGTTCTGAGCGCCATGAGCAACCTTTCTCCTTTTGATATCGCCCATGGCTGTCAAAAGTTCTTGCGACCAACAGAGACAAAGCGGAGGTACCAGGGCCGCTCAATCAATCGGCAAAAGAATTGACTGTTGAATAATGTGATGGGTTGGTTATATAGAGGACAGCCTCTGGCCATGCCCATTTTTTGTGTGACAGGGTAGACGGGAAAATTTCAGCGGGGCCGTGCTTATCGTGCATGTGGATTGGCCCAAACGAGACAATTCGCTTCTTATCGTCAGTTTCCCCACTCAATTTTTTTTGTCTGCGAAACCTTCATTTCTATCACGAATCATATATTTCAGCCTCAGCTTGTCACTGACTAAACCTCAGTCCTCTGTCACAAGCCAACAATCATGGCGCGAAGACGAACAAAGAAGAGAACGCATGTTGGTGCCAACAATCCGGAGACAGCCGCAGCGGGCCATGCCACTGCTCGCGATCCCAAGAGCATGGTCATCAGGATCGGCGCGGGTGAGGTCGGTCCCAGCATCAGCCAGTTGGCCGCCGATGTGCGCAAAGTCATGGAACCCGGTACGGCCAGTCGGTTGAAGGAGCGAAGGGGGAACAAGTTGAAGGACTACGTTGTCATGTGCGGGCCTCTTGGTGTTACTCATCTGATGCTGTTTTCCCGCTCAGAGACGGGCAACACCAACTTGAGGATGGCGCTTGCGCCGCGAGGTCCGACAATGCATTTCCGCGTTGAAAAGTATTCGCTTTGCAGAGATGTTCAGAGGGTTCAGAAACACCCCAGAGGTGGTGGGAAAGAATTCTTGACGCCCCCGCTGGTACGTTTAGTTACTCGTATTCCCGTGCGCGGAATGCAAAAATCGCTAACTTGGGGTAAAAAATTTGTATAGCTTGTCATGAACAACTTCACCTCACCAGGTGCCGACTCCAAGTCCAAGGTCCCCAAACATCTCGAATCTCTCGCCACCACCGTCTTCCAATCCCTCTTCCCCCCCATTAATCCCCAACAGACCCCCCTCAAGACAATCCGACGTGTCCTCCTCCTGAATCGCGAAAAGTCCGAGGAAGATGACGGGACCTTCATCGTGAATTTCAGACACTACGCCATCACGACAAAGTCTACCACCGTGTCGAAACCTCTGCGACGAATCAAGGCCGCTGAAAAGTTAATGACAACCAAGTCAAGCAGGCAGGGGCGCATGCCCAACCTCGGCAAGCTCGAAGACATTGCCGACTACATGATTGGGGGTGAAACAGGGGACGGATACATGACGGACGCTACCAGTGGCAGCGAGATCGACACGGACGCGGAAGTCGAAGTTGTCGACAACGCCCCCAGAAAAGTATTGTCAACAAAAGCCCGTCTGGCTGCCGAACAAGCCGGCCAAGAACCTGAAGAGGAAGTAGAAAACGTGGAGCGAAGAGCCGTCAAACTCGTCGAGCTGGGCCCCCGCATGCGCCTACGACTGACCAAGGTTGAAGAGGGACTGTGCGCCGGCAAGATCATGTGGCACGAGTACGTGCACAAGAGCCGCGAAGAGATTCGGGAACTTGAGAAGCGATGGGAGAAGAGAAGGCAGGAGAAGGAGGCCCGCCGAAAAGAGCAAAAGGCTAATGTGGAGAAGAAAAAGGCCGAAAAGGAGGCCAGGAAGAAGAAATCTGGCGACGGGGACGGCGAGGAAGAGGAAGAAGACGAGGACGAGAATTACAGCGACGTGGACTTTGACGACTTTGACAGCGAGGGCTTGGCGGGCGATGCCGAGTTCAAGGCGAATGAGCAAATGGAGGAGGACGGGGCGTGGGAGGACGAGAGGGAAGAAATCGGGCGCGACTAATTATGTACATATACGTATCTAGCTGCATGATCATCTCATTTCCACAGTCTTGGTTGCAAGACTCGACCCGACTCTGCTCGCCGTGACTGCTAATCACACCATCTCTCGCAGCACCTACCCCAGGGAAATCTCTACGCCAAGCTGCGCAGCGCACTCGTCGACACTGGCGTCCCGAAGGCGGCGATACAAATCATCCGCGTCGCCCAGCCCAACACCAAGCACGGCCTGCAGGCCCTCGACATCCATCTCGGCATCCAACGCCCGCGCCGGCCCGGCACCCAGATTCGACTGGAAGATGCCCGCGGCGGACAGGGGCAAAAAGTCCTCGTACGTAATCGGGCTCGCTTCCACGACGCCCAGCCGCACAAGCTCGTCGACCGTGTACGCCGCGCGTTCCACCGCCGCCGGCCTGCCCCTGACGCGGTACGCAAAGTACACCAGGTCCTGCGCCCTCAGGTCCTCCCACGTATCGGGGTACCTGGCAAACACCCTCGCCGCCGCGTCGTCCAGCGCCTCCGGGGACGCTCGCGCGCCCGCCGTGGCCATGGCCTCGTCCAGCAGCGCGTCGTACAGCCTTCGCCCGCGGGGGGTGACGGCCGCGCCGCGCTCCTCGACCTCGCCGAACCTGGCTCTGTGCGAGGCCCGCGCATCCCCGTTGTCGGCGGCGAAGCGGACCGGCTCCTCGACGGCCAGGAAGCTCGTCTGGCGCAGCAGGATGGGGCATCTCCGCGCCGGGGGGCCCTCGATCCGGGCCTTGACCTCCAGGCCCGCCCGCCTCATGGCCTCCTGGGTGGAGGCAATGTCCAGCGTCCGGGGCGTCAGGTGGTTCACGTGGGCGGAGGGAAAGCATGCCACGTCGGCGAGGACGGGGTGCGCCGCCCTGAGCGCCGCGTAGTCGTGGGGGGAGGCGGCCGCGGTGCCGTGCCACCTGAATGACTCCATGGCGGCGGCGACGAAGCGCGTGCCCTGGGCGGGTGTGAGGCGGCCGTTTTGCGAATCGGCCCTGTCGAGGAGGGACGTGAGTTCTGGGGTGAAGATGTTTCGACTGGAGAGGAGGTCTAGGGCGAGGTCCGAGGCGGCGGCGTCCTCGATGAGCTCTGGTCGGAGGACCGAGACGAATAGTCTGAAGGGGTTTTTGGCCAGGGATTCTCTTGTTTTTGGTCGGAAACAGGTGGCGTGCATGGGGAGTCCGGCGGCCGTGAGGTCGTAGTAGCCGACGGGGTGCAGGCCGATGATGGCCAAGATGCGTCTGACGGTGTGTAGCTCGCGGGCGGTGCCGAGACGAATTGCGCCGTGGCGCTCAATGTCGATCCTGGGCGAGGGGCCGAGGGCGTCGCCGTAGCGCATTGAGAGTATTTTTGGATCGAGGCGTGACTGTAGCGTCTCCTGGTTGACGTCGGAGACGATGCGGACGAGATCCCCGTAAAGGGGGACTTCGGATTTGTACATGGACGACATGGCCAGGGTGAAGCATGTTCGAAGGTCGTCCGGGTCCACGAAGGAGTCTTGGATAACATTGGCGGGCATGATTACGGGTGCTTGTGCTTATGCAGCTGGGGTTTGTTGCTCATGCAAGGCGGCGGTGGTATCAGTTTGTGTTTTGTATGTGAGTTGGTCCATTGGTTCAGGTATCTGGATGACAGGTGGAGGCACTCGGAGTGGGATCCCAGCCTCTTTATACGCGGACGCAGCCGATGATACACGCGACATGTCGGCTCATGATGCATCACGTATGCAACAGCTTACAAGCATGCCGGTTTCGGGCGCCGGCTCGTCACCGGTGGGATGTGGAGAAGCGATACGGAGCACACAGGCAGATGTCGACATCAAGGTATCGAGAGATAAGTTTCAGGGAGATGAAGAAGATGTAGACAGGGGTTGTGCACGGATCGTCCCGATTGAGGAAGAGATGGTGGTGACGATATGTTGGGCTTATTCTCATTCTTTCGGAGCCGTCGTCGAAACCAGTGATGGACAGAACGGAGAATTTCCGTCTTTTACATGCAGCGCTTGTGCGAACGGACAAGAGGCTGCGGCCACTAAGCCCTCGCCTCCTTGACTTAGGCTAGTGTGAACTAATGAGGTACACGGAGCACCATCAATTGGCCGCGTCACAGGCCGGTGGTCGGCGGACGCCAAGATTGTCACGACACCGGCGATATCGGGGCCGGATGGATCCGTGATTCGTCGGACCCCCGGAATGGAGACCTGCTTCTTGCGTCGGGGTGTATTTGCAGGCCCGAAGTCAAGTCCAGGTGAGTGTTTTTCTAGCAGTTCAATTACCTTTGCCGCGATATACTCGACTAAGGTCCAAATGGTGGCATGGCCTACGCAGCTGGTATGTTTTGCACTTTCCATCCAAACAATCCGATAAAGAGATTCTATAACCACTTGTTACATGCGGCAGGTGGGGGTCTGCGTCCCGTCCCCACCATCATGAGCCACGGCCGGCTCGGAGGCGCATCTTCCCCTCGCGTCAGCAAACACAGATGCTCTACACGGCTTCCGTCAACCTGCAGTGAGGCCGCACCGCTCTGCCGTGCCAGTTACTTGGAAACATCACACATTACCCATGTGTTTGTCTCCCTGTCGTGCATTCTTCACAACAGCAGCCAACCATGGCACCTGCAACCAGAAAGCCTCGGCTGGTCATCATGGGGTCCAGAGAGTACCACATCCAAGACTTTGTCGCCGACTACCAGCACGAGTTTGAGTATTCCGTACACCTTGTCCCTTGTTCGAACAGAGCCAAGGCAAGACTGCACGTCCTAACATGCGCAGGTCCTCGACGCTCAAAACCGCCAGGAAGCACTCGCCAAACTACCGCAGGACGTGGCGCAGAACGGCCCGATAGACGCCTTCATCATCCGCGTGGGGACCAGCGAGTTCGAGCCGTTTGACGAGGAGCTCCTGGGCCCGCTGGCGCCCAGCTGCAAGATCATCGCGTCGGCGTCGGCGGGCCACGACGAGTTCGACGTCGACTGGATGACGCGCAGCGGCATGTGGTTCTGCAACACGCGCGACGCCGTGGCCGAGGCGACGGCCGACATGGCCATGTTCCTGACGCTGGCGGTGCTCCGGGACGCGCACCGCGCCGAGCGAGGCGCCCGGTCGGGCTCGTGGAAGGCCGGCCTCGTGCCCGCGCGCGACCCGTCCGGCTCGACCCTGGGCATCGTCGGCATGGGCACCATCGGCAAGCACCTCGCCCGCAAGGCGGCGGCCTTCAACATGCCCGTGCGGTACTACAGCCGCCGCCGGCTGGCGCCCGCCGAGGAGGCCAGGCACGCCGCGACCTACTGCCCCACGCTCGAGCGGCTCCTGTCCGAGTCGGACGTGGTGTCCGTCAACTGTCCGCTGACTGAGGCCACGACGAATCTCATTTCCCACAGGGAGGTCGGGCTGATGAGGGACGGCGCCTTTCTGGTCAACACGGCGCGTGGTGCCATTGTGGACGAGGAGGCGCTCATCCAGGGGCTGGAGAGCGGCAAGATCACGCGCGCGGGGCTGGATGTGTTTGTCAACGAGCCGGACATCAACGACTACTTTAGGACCAGCGACAGGGTCATTTGCCAGCCGCACATGGGGGCCGTGACGACGGAGGCGTTTAGGAGGGGAGAGAGGGAGTGTTTGGAGAACCTGCGGGCCTTTTTTCGGACAGGGAGGCCGCTGGCGCCTGTGAATGAGATTGCTGCCGTCGCTGCCAAGTAGATGCAGTCGGTGTCGCCGAATGGGGTGCTGCTGTGTATGTAGTCTTGTTGGTAAATGAGGCTGAAATCGCGAGTCGTTGATGGGGTTGATGAATCTCGGGACGGTCCCGCATCCCCACTTTCGCCAATCTCGCCAACGAGCCGATGCGATGCGGGCCAACGATTGGCCAATTGGCGCGAGTCTTGCAACTCGCGCGTGTGTAGACTCTAGACTCTAGACTCTAGAGTTTCTTGCTCCCGTCCCGTCCCGGTCTGCACCTCGCATCCAACCTCGACCCTACCAGCGCCGAGATTGTCCCAGCGACAGCGTGTGGAAATGGAAAGCCTCGGGCCCCTGATCAGCTGGGCACGCACCCGGGGCGTCGAGCTCGACGGCATCGCGCCGCAGCAGATGCCCGGCCGTGGAATCGGCGCCGTGGCAACGCGGTCAATCAAGGTTCCGTCTGCGCACACCGTCAAGCCTCCCAGCGCGGCCGTCTAATCCGCTTCCCACAGGCAGGCCAGGTGCTCATGACGATTCCCGCCGGGGCCATCCTCAGGCTCGACTCGGTGCCCGCCTCCATCTCCTCCAGACTGCCGTCGGCGTCCATCCACGGCCTGCTGGCCGCACAGCTCGCGGCCGGCAGCGACGCCGAGACGGCCCTCCGCAGAGACGCCATGCCCTCGCTGCAGAGCTTCGCCGCGACGACGCCCCTCTTCTGGCACCCCCGGCTCCGGGACCTGCTGCCCGCGGAGGCGCGGAGGCTCGTGGCCCGGCAGGAGACGGCGCTGGAGCGCGACTGGGCCGCCTTCCACGAGGGCTTCCCCGGCGTCGCGCGGGACGCCTACCTGCGCTGCTGGTTCGTCGTCGGCACGCGGGCCTTTTACCACGAGACCGACGCCACGCTGGGGTACCCGTGGGAGGACCGGCTCGCGCTGCTGCCCGTGGCCGACATGTTCAACCACGCGGGCGTGCCGGGGTGCGCCGTGGCCTTCTCGCCCGAGGCGTACACGGTGACAGCGACGCTGGCCTGCGCGAGGGGCGACGAGGTCTTCCTCTCCTACGGCGAGCACTCCAACGACTTCTTGCTGGCCGAGTACGGGTTCCTGCTCGACGACAACCCGTGGGATACGGTTGATCTCGGCGCCTTTGTCCTGTCGGGGCTGGACGCGGAGCAGCAGGCGGAGCTTCGGGCCCGGGGCTTTGACGAGTGTGTTGTTGGGCCGGGCGAGCAGTGGCATCTGCCCGACGGCGCGCTGGATATCCTGGCGCGTCACTTTCCCGGCGAGCTGCCGCAGAGGGCGGCGAATGGAGGACGGCAGGGCAAGCCTCAGAAAGAGCGCGTGCTTGCGGCCGTCTTGACACGCTTCCTGGACGAGATACGCGACGTCAAGAGCGCCATTCGAGCCGTCACAGTCGGAGACGACGCCCAGCGCGCAACTCTGCGAAGACGCTGGGACCAGATAGAAGCTCTGGTCAAACGAGCCATCCGGGGGGTTCCCAGCTAGCTCGCCCTCCGGCATCAATGTGTCATTTTTTGGATCGACCACCGGGGGGGTAGGGAGAGCAGGGGGCATCCCCGCCAACCCATGACAGGCTGCAGTTTGCATGTGCCCAGAAACTAAATCTCAAATCTCGATACGTGTACGGAGTACTACTCCTATCATTAGCTTTTGGACACCTATTCAAAGCGTCGTTGTCCCAGGTCAGCGGGGACGTCATTGGTGCTCGCCGCCATCCAGGAGGGCGGACGGCATCAAAACCGGCAGCCAAGCTTCTCAACCAACCATGCGTGCTATTCGAGCATGAGGCAATGCTTCTCTGCCCTGGATCCGCAAGTCATGCAAACATTGAAACATGGACAGTGGACACGGCCGTGTCCAGCATTTCGTCGACCGGGCACGGCATTGACGCCGACGTGTCACTCAACGCCAACTATACACACCGCGGCCTACAGATATTCACAGTCACCGCTTACTCACCAACGAACACGCAACGCACGACTCTCCAGCGGGCAATCGCCGCGCCAAAACGACAGGCAACGCACCATGTCAACAAGAGACCATTGACGCATCGCCCATTCCCAGCTCGAACCAAGTACCATCGCTGCCCACAAACCCAACACGTCCTCATCCCCCAACCATCAGAGCAAGCGGCATCACATAAATACCTAGTTTCAGCAGATTTCAAATCCCCTCGCCCCAGCACGCAGCGTCCACGTCAGCCATAAAAAAAAACTGGCGGTCAGCCAAACCTCCGGACTAGCCGGACCATATCCCAGAGATCAGAAAGGGCACTGATTCGCAAAAACGCAAATACACAATGTAAGACGGCGACGGCAAAGGGGCCAAGATGACCGCCAAGGTCAGGCCAGTCAATCAAGAGTCAAGACAGTATGTGACGACACCGGCCGGCCGACGACATGAGTGGCTGCTTGCTTGGCGATGGTCTGCTTACGCCGCGCCGCACCACACGCCCCGTGGCAGCGCGGCATCAATCGGCGTGTCCCCAATGCGAAATACACACACACACACCCAGCAAGCAAGCAAGCAGTCTACAGGTCTTGTCCAAGCCGACACGAGACAATCTTCCTCTCATGCCATGCCATGTCCACCCAAGGCAAGGCAAGGAAGGGGCCGTGATACTCGACGCCCGATATAAACGACAAGTATGTACTCCGTAGCATATCCCGGATAGAATAGCCATCGCATAAAGCAAAACTGACTCGGGCATGCGTACCAATTCATTTTCATCTACTCTAAAACTCCTCTATCCTGTTTATTTGTTATACTGTGCTGTCGGTCCATTTTCCATGTTTCCCCCAAAGCCCGCGATACAAAACGTGCAAAAAGAAAAGCAAAAACCCATCGTCAAATGACTGTACTATCAGATGCACCTCCAGCCCTTGGAATGCGCGAGCCCAATAATCCCCCCCCCTCCCCCCAAGTTCCACCAAACACGTGTACTGCCACAATCCCCCAGCATCGCAGCAATGGGACCAGACCCAAAGGCCAAGAGGGCGAAGGAGCAACAAAAGGCAACATTGAGCCATCGGCCCATGCAGCGTAACCTAAGCCAAACACTCTCTGGGAAAGAGAGCCCGAATATGGTTGTAGGCCCCGTCTCCGTGGGAGACTTGGCCCACAATGGAGGGGAAGCCCGCGTCCAAGGTCGAGTCTGCTCATGCTTCATGCTCATGCTCATGCTCACCCTTGCCTGCTTCACCGACTACCGAAATCTGGCATGGACGAGCTGCGGGCCATGGAAAACCTTGTTCACACAACCAGCCTTGAAAATCGGTTGCGTTTGGTACTGCGCTTGTTTGTTTTTTTTAAAAGAAAAAAAAAAGAACGTTTTTGTAGTTGAGACACCTTCTTGTCAATATATCCCTGTCCCAGAATCCTCACGTTTCCCCCCCGCCCCTCTCTCTCCCCTTTTCTTGATTCTTTTTTTAGTCGTCTTGTTTTTGGTCTGTTTCGGCATCACCCGTGGAATATCATGCATTCCCCAGCAGTGGCTGCCCAGTCGAAAGGCTTCCTGGGGCTATTGGTCCGACACGGACGATCTCCTGTTTCGACCGGGGTGGGTTGCTGGCGCAAAGGGTCGTGCATCCTTGGCGCACCTTGATTCCCGTGCGACGCTCAATACGATATTGAAGTCGCCTTGCCGTGGCGCTTCCCCGACCGGCCGTACTGCACCTGCTGCATGCCTTGGCTGTAATACGCCATGCTGTGCTCCCCATATGTGTCCATACACATTGTAGGATCGAGCATATTCTGCGTCCAGCCCGAGTCCATGACCACTTCGTCGAGCATCACGGGATCGGGAATGCTTGACGACCCGTCAGACCATACCGTCGTGGCGTCCCAGGGCGAGCTCTGCCCGTTGCTGCTGCCGTCCTGGTGCGACCAGTGCTGGTAATACTCGTTGCCCGCGTAGAAGCCTTGTCCCACGAGGTCCAGCGTCGTGTCCAGGGCGTCTGTGGAGGCTGACGAGGAGGAGAGGTCGAATGCCATGTCGGGCGCGGCTAGTGACGACGACGAACTGTGCTGCTGGTCTACGGCGTCCAGTTCTGCTGCGTGGTTTTGCTGCACCGAGAAGACGTCCATCGACCCGGAGAAGGCGGGATTGGGACCCAGCCCGAATGCTGGGTTGAGGGGCATCTTTACGCGAGGTTCTAATTTGTACTCGCAAGGCACGGAGCGGTTTACACACCTGCTGCCTGGAACATGTCGTCAGTACCGAGCCCAAGAACCAGACAGAGACTACGGCAGCCTAGGTCGTTTGTTGCGACAAGAGTTGAACCTACAAGAGGGCTTCTCGTAGCCGCATTTGACTTTAAACGATATACACCGCTCGCAAGACCGCTTCTTGGTCGGTATAATCTTGCCAATCGACTTTTCACACCGCCGTCTATGGCGTTCCCTCAGGTCTCCTGCTCCCCCGAAAAAAGCAAGGCACATACATTAGCACATTGAGTCGTCCCAGCGCAGTGGTTAAGCTTGTGGAGAATGTTCGTAGTGGTAGCAGCGCAAGAAGGGCGGGAAAATAGGCTTAAAGGTAGACTTACTTCGACTGAACTGTTTTAGACAGATATGACACACATGGACGTCGCCCGTATCCAGCTGGGCGGATGAGCCCGACCGAGAGTGAAAAGAACCAACAGATACCATGATGGTCTCTGTGATGCCCGGCCCTCGTTCTTGACTTTTGGTAGCACGGCAGTCAGTGGTGGCAGAAGCGGCCGTAGCGAGGCGACAGAGGCAGGCCCGGCCAAAAATGTGTCGAATTGACGTCCCAAGAGAGTCTAGGTAACACGGCAGAGCATTACCCGTTCAACGGTGTCAATGAAACGTAGAGTTGCAAAGAAAAAGAAGTTTAAATTTTGTCTTGCAGAAACAGCTTGTTTTCTCCGCGGAGAAGGGTGGCAACAAGAGCACGAGATTCTGTGTGATCGTGCCCGAACGGCCCGTGTCTGTCTGTGTGTGTGAAAATAAAAGTCCGCTTCCTGCATATATGTACCGAGTATGTTGCCCGGAGAGCCAATGCGCCGCGTGGGTCCCGTGTCTCTTTTTTTAAATCGTCTCGACGTCGTACGCCGTCTCGAAATAGATTGAAACAAGCCCTGACAGCTGGACAGGAAACGTGCAAAGGTTTGAAAATGGCGGGCAAGATGCTATGGCGAGTAATAGCTTATTACAACCTGAGGACCCTGAGTGGGACAGGGAGATGGTGGGATCGAATCCTTCTTATTGACTTCTAGCCACGGGCTCAGCAACAACAAGAGCATGTATGGATGGGTCTCCCGCTCTTGATCCGGACTAGGAGGCAAACCAGAATACATACATGAAATAATAAAAGGCTGCGTCTATTAAGCGGCGGAGACAAGCCAACGAGGCGCCGGGCTAGTGATGTGTGCCCCCATCCCCATAACCGTCCATGTTTTTTCTTACCTATCCGTACATTCGTACGGTCCTTCAGAACGGCGTTTACGACGCGATGCCCGTCCGATGGGCATCACGCAAGCGACGAATGCGCGACGGGGGGGGAATGACGAACAGGGCCGCAGGGCCAAGAACGGGCACCAGGGGCGTGTGTTCTCTCCTCTAGTATCCAGTTGACACCTATACGGTGCCGTCTCCGTTGGATAGCCAAGCTCCGTAATCACGGGTGGAAGTAGGACCGCCACGTACCCTTTTGTCAACCTCTACGGCCTCTGTGCTAGAGGGCAAGCCCAGGAGCATGGGTACTATTTTGCTTCGTCTTGGCGTCTTAGGCCCAGGTAGCATGTGTCAACTTGGTGTGAGAAGATAGGTAGCTGCTCCATCCACTGGCGCAGCTAAAGGCCGGCCCCCATGCGCAATCCGCTATTCATCTGGTCGTTCCGGTTGTCAGATGTGTCAGGCAATCAGGCCTGTCGGTTTGGTTGCATTATGCCCATTACCCAGATAGTGTTACACCAGGGGGGGCCGCTGCGAGTGTCACATCAAGTGTAAGAGCCAAGGGTGGTGCTGTGTCCGTGTGTCCATGTATGGCCATGTGCGTGGACGGAACACAAAGTCTTTTGTACAGGCCAATACTAGCATGTACATACTTTGTAGTTTGCTGTCTGTGCATGCGGAGGAACTCTCAAAGACGACTCGAGGCTCGGCTTGCCTCAAGGGTGAGTGGGCCGGGGTATGACGGCCCGCAGATCGTCGTGGCAGCCACAAGTACCTCTTCTTTTGTTTGGCGCCGTTATCCAATCGGTATAGCAAGTAGTTAGTTGGCTGGTTCGATGTGATGTGATGGCCGTGTCGAGTGTCTCTGCCTCTCTCGTCCTTGCTGTCTGCCTCACGGGAGAACAAGATGCTGCAGTCTTTCCGTCGCTGTCCCCGTCCAAAAACGAATCGACAGGGTATCAACGGCGTGGAATCGGAAATGGGCCTGCAGTACTTCCGGGGCGTCCGCCTCGGGTCGACCCCCAAACAGTCGGCCTGCTTTTCCTACTCCAGGCAAGAGCGTCTGTATGTACGGAGTATAGAGAAAGAATTCCCCTCGGTCGCGTCAAAAGGTTGCTCGCGGGAGGCAGACAAATCCACAGTGGGGAGTAGCCCTCGGCCGCCGGCCGAACTTATCGACAGAATCTCCTTTACCCTGGCTGATTGTGACGACGTTGGCCCAATCAACCCCAGCGCGTGGTGCTTGGCCTTGATTTCCGTGCCCTCTGGCTGCGCTCTCGCTGGACGCGAGCCGGCTACGCGGAATGCAGTATGCGGACATGGCCAGTCGGACAAACCCATGGCTAAGCTGAAAAGCTTGGTAGCACCCTCTAATTCTCCGTATTCCGCCCGCCACTGTCGAGAGCATCCGCGTCCAGCTGGGTAATCAAGCTCTGTCGGAGCCGAATCTTGCCTGCCGGGCCTCGACACGTTCCCCCTAGCTGTAGCCAGTGTACGAGGTTGGCGATGGCGCCGCAGCCACCTTGAAACATTGCTTGTACATCAAGCGCTGACCTCGAACTGCTGTTCCCCGTCACACCAATTGGAGTTTATGCTTGCGCCAGCACATCTGAAGTTTGACAGACGTGCAGCATTAGACACTTCAGACACCGTACGGTGATCCACTGCGATGGGGAGCAAAAGCTATTGACTGCTGGTACCGGCCTGGGACAGCTTTGACGACGCGAGCAGACACCATCGGGTGAGTACTGTCTGTATTGGACGGAAGAAAACCTAAAACCCTTAACGAGCCTCAACCCTGGTCCGGCACTCCTAGTACATAGTTGCTCCACCCCTGCACTCTTCCGTGCCTCCATTTCTTTATTTTGTGACTGTTTCAGAGGGGCCTGGGTGCTGTAGCTGTCCAGGTCCAGGAGCCAGACCCCCAAGGCTACCTGATGTCGACGCAGTACTCCGTAACTGAGCATAGTCTTCAGGGGTGTGGTTGTCCTATTTCTGGAGTGAATCGCGAATCTGGACAAAAATACTCGAGACGGGCATCGTCGATCGGAGTCTTCTTTCGACGTTCCAGATGTGTCGGGGCATCCGCTATGACATGCGAAGATACCATGCTTAAAAATAAGATGACTACCGTGCCTGAGTCAGCGCAAAGCGAGGGCACGATGCCACCATGCATGCAGTACCCGTGTGTCCTGTCCTGTTCTGCTCTGCTCTGTCCTGTCCTGTCCTGTCCCTGTGTGCTTCCTCACGGCGGATACTGCGACGCTTACGCTGAGTCCGTACATGGGTAATGCGCAATCCATCGGCGTATGCTTGACAAAAGAGCCAAGTTTGTTCGGGCCTTGTGCCGTCTTGGCGTGGCCAAACAGTTCGCTTCTTACAGACAATGAACCGCCTCCAGGAAATCGACCCCCGTGTTTTCCGTGCGACCAATAGGGAGACAAGATTTTAAGTTCGTGTAGACGGAGTAGCATTGCCGCATGTCGCGAGCCCTCGAATACCTCATGATGCGTCTGTAAATGACGAGAGCGGATCATGGGAAGAGACAGATGAACTGCGAATTTCGCCCCGTTCGTCCGGTCTGTTCGGCACGGGATACCCGAGGGCATCGCCCGTATAGGAAAGAGTTTATATTTCCAACGCTTTTACTCCGTACAGACATCAAGAGCGGCTAAGATCTCCGGGGGCCATCGATTTATCAAGGGTCTCGTGGTTCCACGCTTGGAATATCTATAGCCCTGTGGAGTATTCGCGCCGCATCATGTAGAGTGACACAGAATTGGGACTTTGTGGAAAACATCCAACGGTCCAGGGTTCTTCGTTTAGATACTACCTAGACAGCTTCCTCTCTCCAAGAATTCCCAAGAACGTATAGAGCGCATGTCAGTCGTGACTCGGTAAACAGCCGAGCCAATTCGCTTCGCGAAGGCCAGCCGCTCGCACCGTTTTGGACAACTAGACGACTGCCCAACAGGGCAACTATACTCGGACCTGCGGCGTGCATCTTGGCTGGCGCAATCAATCCGTAAATGACGACGAACATGGTGATGCGTAATCTATTGATAAGCGGCGGTCATAAGGCATAGAGTGATATTGCCAGTATCACTCCAACTCTCAAGTATGCTGACCACCAGATTGTAGGTGGCACCGAGTAAGAAGCACTTGAACAGGATACTGGTTGGCCAGCTTTCTGAGAACCTCGATATCTTGGACGGCACCAGAGGCAAATTGGACCCACCGCTTTTCGACTTCCACGAGAACCAAGACATCACATGCATCCAGATACAACCAAGCCTGCCAAGGGCTCTACTGAGTCCGATGTAACATGCTGACAAGCGCCGCGGGTCAACACGGCTGTTTCTGAGAAGCCGAGTCCTTGAACGCGGGGCACGTCTTGATAGCTGATCGATGTGCAGCACACGTTTCTTAGAATTCTTGATTGCGTATTTCATATGGAGAAGACCAATCCTGGACTTATCAAACAAACACAACGGACTGTCTGCAACTACTAACGACTAAGCGATTCACAGTGAATGTTGAAACGATCGGTTTTTCCTTTTTTTCTTTTTTTGTGCGTGTGTGTGTACACGTGTGTGCGTGTGTGTGCGTTTTCTTTTAGTCCTTTAATTGTGGCTGAACTTGACTTGCGCTAAACAGCAACGAGAATACCATTATGAGCAACTGTCGCAAGTCTTAAACTAAAGTCGTCCGATAGTGGTTTCATCCCGTCGGGATTATTTCGTGGTACTCCCATAGGGGTCCTGGAAAAAGACGACTTGAACCGTTACATCATCTCGGATGTATCGGCTGACGGGGCTGTAAGCGGTCATGGAACCACAAAACAGAGTGCGGCGGTTGCCGCCCAATGCATTCTTCACTAGGCAGACGGCCGCATTGTCAAGATCCTCAATTGCAAAGAACTCGGGAGTTGCTTTGTAAGATGGCCATCCGTCCTCTCCAACCGTCAGAGCCGTCTTGGCGTCGATAACGGTCTCGGGCTTGCCAGCTTTTTTGGCAGCTAACCACCTTGAAACGCATTCTACAGCATCGTCGTTGGAAATTACATCCCACAATCCATCCGAGGCCAGAATGACAAAATCCTTTGTGGCTACCTTGCGAGTGGTAACTTCAGGTTCGGCAGTCATATAAGGCGGCGACTTATACCCGGGGCGACCGGCGAAGCCGTAGAAGTTCCCCTGGAGTGACGTGACGGCGTCTTTGGATAGCTTCCACCGGTGATCCCCAAATCCTCGAGTTATGGCAATGCCCAACAAACGCCCGGTTTTGGGATCAATCATGTCCCCAATCTCACCGGGGTGAGCCTTGTCGAGACGCCTCACCTCGTCCTGGTTAAAGCCGGTTTGATCCTTGCTGAGAGCTACAGCGCTGTACCCGCCAGCCTCATCAGACCAAGATCCGAGCACGGCTCGAGAGTCGCCAGTCACAGCAGTTCTGAGCATTGAAGAGGCCGGTTCGTACATGGACAGCAGAGCACAGGATCCCGACACGGCAGGAGCAATGGCGGCGAGGACAGCGGCAGAACCCGGCTCCGCGGCCGCGGCTCCTTGAGCGGCATACTTGGCCTCGTTCATGATGCGGGCATCGAGGTTACTAAAGGCCGACTTGATAGCTGAGTCAATGAGCTCGGGGCTTGTCGATGCTGCAATGCGGCTGACGGCGTGGGAAACATAGGGAATCAGCGCTTGACGAAGGACTGCTGACGTCGCCCAACCACTGAATGGGGCCAATAAGGCAATAAGCGTAAGCAACTCAGGATTATCGTCATGGGCCGTGGAGGTGGGGGTTTTGAGGGGGGAGGGATGTGAAGACATTGGTACTCACGCGTGACCGTCATATACACCAGCATACAATGTTTTGTTGCCTCCAACCCCCTTTCCGACAGCCACGGCCCATTCATCCTCGACGGGGTTATTGCTGGCTACACGAACGACGTCGATTCTTCCGTGGCCATTGTGCCCGTCAAAGGTGAAGCTGGTTGCCTGTTGTCGAATTTTGGCGTCTGCCGCTTTGAGACTGTACACCTTGACAGGGGACCTGACGGGAATGTGGCCCTCATCTGCAGGCTCGACGAGGGACGGCACGCTGTGCGATGCGCCGGACTGACTGATGGAATAGAAACCGCAGGCTCCGGCGATCAAGGCTCCAAACGTCACAGCAATGGTTCCAGGCGAGTCTCTTGGGGGCTGAGAGGATGACGAGTAGTTGTTGGTGTTGAGGCAGGAGACACGCGGGTGCGGGGGGTGCCGGTGTCGCGAAAGCACCAGGCGCGCTGTTGTGGTGCGTCGAAACATGGCGATGAGCACGCAGAATATCGGGAGGGTTACACTGTCGGCCCAGAGGCTGGGTCTAGGTCTGTCTGGAACGCATACGAAATAGCTGGAGCTGGTGGTTGAAACTGGACACCAGTCGACTGAATTGCAAGTGTTGAGCGTTTGGAGAATATCGAAACGCCAACTGCCCATGTAAATGTTCCAAGATTTCAATGTTGGAAGGACCAGACGCTAGTGCCTGCCCTGAAAGGAAATGGCGACGACTTGACGTCTCAGCGTGCCAGCACATTGAGATGTCAACTCCTGGGTGCCAGCTGCTCGGCCCAGCGAGCCGGAGCCCGGAGGCCCTACATGCGGCGCATTTAGTGCATCCAGTCTGGTACAGTGTCAAACTTTTAGTGCACATACCGGTCTGGTGCTGGTGTCGAGTGCGCCTCTCAGCGATTCGAGTCTAGTGCATCTAGGCCCCAAGTCCGCTGAGCTGGCACGCTGACCAGTTGACCAGCCGAGTCCAGTCCGCTGTAACCCAGGCCTAACGACTCCATGTCTGGTGCCAGCAGCGGGCGCTCGCTCCGGCCATTCAACCTTCAATGTTCCATGTTGACAAAGTACATGCCTCAAAGTATCTCCCACGGCCCTCCCCGCCCTGACGCTACCTGGTCGCGTGTCGTCTTGCTCAATTCGTCCCTCAATGTCTCCATGTCCTTCAATATCCCGTCTGTATATTAATTTCCGTGCCATCTTGGACCCTCTCACCAAGTGGCGCCTGCACGCACTCGTGGCGGTTCACAAACTCTCACCCACATGAACCTGAGCCACCGACTAGCCTGGCGGATGACGACTGGAGGCGTGCTTGTAGCATTAGCACCAGGCACCCTGTCACGCCGCCAGCACCAGTCCTGCACCCTCGCACCAGTCCAGACACCACCGGCGACCCTGCAGCCGCCCTCGGCCTGGAACTGTGGCCGAGTTACCGGTTCTCAGAATCCATCTCCCGCATTTCCCTTTTTCTACACACTGGTTTTTGTATCCATGGCCATAAAAGCCTTCTGTTATAAATCGTAATATCCTACCCGTCCTACACCTGCCCAAGATAGTATCCCACGGGTTCCACGGCCCACTGCCCAAACGAGCACAAATACACTGTCCCACTCGCCTGTTTATTGGTGTATTCTGCTGCATAGTAGTTAATATTCATAAACGTCCATCCATCCGTGGTGGAGGCGACCAGAGCCGGCGACCGAGCATGATGTCACCTGCCCCCCCGGCCATGCCAGTCCATGATACAAGTATTCGTTTAGTTACCACTACGTAGCAGCGCCGTTGGACTGATGGCTATGAGGCATTTCCGCTGGAGTGCACAGCCCTAAAAGATACATCTTGTAAAAACTTGGCGGGGTTTGTTGGTTTGGTTCAACGTACGGAGCATTAGCCGATCTTGATTCGGAAGTCGGCTAACGACTAGCTACAGGGTAGCTCGACCAGACTGATGTTTTAACAAATGCCAGCCAGCCATTTTCGTTTCAATGTTCCATCCTACTTTCCTTCTCCCCGTCCCCTTCTCTATCTTTTTCCCCCAATGTCCCCAGTAAATATTTGATCTTCTTTTCTATTAACTCCTTTGTCCCTGGCGCTATTCAATTGACCCACCAGATTAATGTCTCTTTCCAAAAACCCCCTCTAATGCTCTCTCGTATCTGTCCCCCCCCCTCCAACCTGCAACGGCCATATCCGTTGCAAAATTCAAGACACAAAAAATATGCAACAACGTATTTAAGTAGTGAAGTCGCAGCAATCATGGAACATTCTAGAACCAAATCTACATCTGCGTCTCCCGAGACGTCGTTATCCATTCTCCCGCGTAAGCACTCTCCTTCCCGAAGACTTATGCTTATCCCACCACCTTGCAGCCGCTACCCGCGCAACCGCGTTCCCCACGCAAAAGCACCAAATCTCTGTCACCAACCCCGTCCCCGAAGCTCCTGGTACGAACGAACGGTCCCTCCACAACCCCATCACGACATTTCTCCGAACAAAAGAGCCTCTTTCCGGAACCGGAGGGGTGTACATATTTTTTTCCCCGCTGGAACCGTGTCCCGCGGCTCGCCCGTGGTGCACAAGCGGCTCGCGATGCTACCGCACGTGCCCGTGACATCTGAAGTCAAGGGGCAAAAAAGAAAGTTAAATCCCGACGTCTTGGTGTAAATTCCACCGAGACTCGGCGATATGTTACACTGTGCTACCCCAGAATCGGACGGCCATGTGGTCACCGAATTGTTGGCCGAAACTTGCGACGGCCGGGGGCAAGGGTGGAGGGGGGGTAAGGGAAATACGGTAGGAAAATGACTTGTCGGAGACTCCGCAGTCGGCTTCCTGTCCCTATTTACGAATGCTGATGTTGATGATATCATAGCAAAGCTAAATTATGTACCTGATCCAATAATAGACCAACTCCAATGGCATCACACCGTCTGCCCAATGCCCTCACGGTCATCACGATTGCCTGGACTTGCATAACTGGCCGCCCTGGCCGCCTCGACTTTTGCCGTTGTCCCCAATCCGCCTTGCCATATTTGCTGCAGCTCCGTCTCTTCCCACCGAGGCTCACTCGTATTATTTGTATTAACACTATATTCGCTCCTCTGCCATATTTGCAATGTTGACGCTGGTTTTGATACACTTGTCGCAAAGTTCTCCGTGCTTTCCGATGACTCTGGCTTCCTATGATGAACAGCCTTGTCGCTGACTACCTTGTTCTTGTTGGCGCCGCGGTCTTCCCTATGCCTGCCGGATGAGGCGCGCCTTGTTTTGAGTATGCTGCCAGCCAGGCTGCTGAATGCTTTGAGCTTGAGTGCTTTGAGGGGGAGCGCGTAGCAGTGCGGTACGTTGGTGACAACGATGGCGGTGCTGCCTTCGCGAACATACCAGTAGATCCAGAGGATGCTCTCCGGATGTGCGAAGCAATAATACCTATTTAGCACAGCGGCAAGAATCTAGCCAAATGGTCAGAACGGACGCTCATATCATTGGGTTTTGGCGACGTACGACAAATATGCCCAAGCCGAATATCCCACAAATGGTCGCCTTCCTAAGGCTGGTCAGTGCCGATTGTAATTATTCCGGGGGGATTACGCACTTTTTCCAGGGAAGCTGGGATTGCAGCAACATTGATATGGGAACGGCGAGCATTAAAAGATCAGATGAAAGGTTGAAAGCAAACGACATGATCAGATGGCTCTGCGATGTCGTACAGCCGGCTAGATCCCATGACGGCGCTCAATGTTAGTACCCATTGCTTGCTACGAGAAGATGACTCGGGACGTACGTGTATTCCCTGCAAAAACTCGAAAGTAATTGCGAAATGGTTGACACCAAAAGCCGAAGAAGAAGGCCTCAGTGACGACCCATCCCGCTAGAACGTAGCCAAGCAACAGCTTGACGTGCAATTGTCGCTTCAATCCCGACCTGGGTCCAAACTATTGTCAGTAAACAAATGCGCCCCGTAGCATTGAATGTTGTCGCAGTGCTCCCTCACGTCAACTTCATAAACAACAAACACATGCACACCTTGCATAGCATTTGCAAAACCACCATGGACTCCTCAATTGTAAACGTAATCTTGCTTCCGTAGACGCGATCACGCATCTCGGCTCCGCTCATGCCACTGGTGCCCGTCGACGGCAGGATATTGGTGTGGGGGTGCTTTTCTTGAATATTGACCCATACAATGACATTGGTGTAGACGCCCTGCAAGCTGTCAGTGTCAAAGTGCGGGACGATCGCCAAGTGTCAGCGCCACATATCGGCTTCCTCCGCGAGTGGGTCAGCGGCGGACATGACTCGACTCGACTTTTATCCTCGTCCACGTTGAATCGAGACATGTTTCCTTACAAAGGCAAGAACCATGACATAGTCTTCGACCTCGAAACACCGAACTCCACCCAGTCGGATCGACCTCGAGACGCTGCATCCGAGTTAGTACTGGCGCTGACACTGACGCTGCTCAAGCTAGAGTTATCGGCACACGAAGCACCGAGCCATGTCCGCGGAATCATGCACGTACAAGCGGCAGAGTGTGAAGAGGCTGGCGAAGCCATACCATGTCCACGACTCGACTTGCCTCGAGTCGGCCATCTTTTGCACCTAACCGTTCGCTGTGCGACCCGCGTCTATCCCAACATTTCTATAACAAAAGTTCTCGAGGCTCGGAGACGCGTGGGGAGGATCTGCTTTCGGTGAGCGGACAGCCGCAGTGGTTGTCGTCACAACTGTGGATTGAAGAAAACGAACGCGCCTTCGGCTGCGAATATCACATATTCGAGCAGATGAAATGCCGTGGCGGAATAGTACTGTATTGAACAGCGGCGTCCTTGAAGATTTTAAGGGAGGGGGCAGCTCACAATCGACCGGCCCCCCAGAGGTGCCAAAAGCAATGAAATCAACCAGGCATTGGGCCATTCACGATTTGCTGATCCTGCGCCTTCACCCCGACCTGCCTCTCACCCATAGCGCAGTGTCTTTGAGGCTGTCAAATAGCACAACGGCCGGCGGGTTACACCGAGAGACGACGTTGAACCGTATGATTGAATATCATTTGTTGGCCTGAGACAAGCCCTCGGCAAAGCGGCATTTTATTGGCGAATTAAAAGGAGGGTGGCGCTCCATGTCTTGCACGGCTTTTTCCTTTGGTACTCGTCTTCAGTGCCCGAGCATCTTCTGCACAGGTAATGTTGTCCTTGCCCAATATAAATTGCTTCCAGGTTATTGTTTCGCCCCAATATTCAGGCGTCAAAATCGATCGTCATGTGTAGAAGGCCAGGTAAGGCTGGGAAGTTCCCGGGCAAGTATCATCGGGATCTCGTCGTGAGAGATAACGTGTGCATTATCTCAGCTGACAGATTGGCCGCATTACCGACGCGCATTTGAGCATCTTAATGCTCTCGGCCCCCATGTCTCACGGCAGTACGAATACGACTCTGCTGGCGCGTGGATCTGTGTTGGTCCGGACAGGACTTGAAAGGTCCGGATGCCTAGATGGGTGCATCTTTATAGACCCCAAGCTGCAATGGTATACCTGATCTGGTGTAGCCTTGTGGGTATTTTATCTCTTCAGCTTTACCCTTTCACCTCTCCCCGACGGAATTAGCAGGATGAGGCATGCCGGTTTTGTTGGTCTCGACGCATCACCAGTTTGGATAGACTGAAGGCGAATTTTGTGCTGAACGGGAGGAGCTGCGGAAGGTTCGCTCAACCCGAGAATATGGCTCGATATGCTAAACGTACTTGTGAGTCCTATATATCGCTCACCCTTGCGATACAGTGAGGTCACAATAATGTTCATGGCTCATTTTGGCTCGATGGCGGGTGATGACGCATCTGATGAGCGGCGAGCTGAACTTTCTAGTGACGAGTTCCATGAGGGCATATCGAGTAAGCCAACGAATAATCGAATCTAGTTGTTTGGCCGGATTTATCCTCTCAATATGACCTGAAGTAGGCAGTAGGATGTAGATTATCAGAGGAGTTGAGCTGTGCCCAATCGACGACGCAGTCGACACTTGGGACACCAATCAGGCCACAGCTGGCATCTTGCATACAGCTGAATGGCGTGACAACGCTGGCCGCATCTACATGCAATTTCCAGTGAATAATAGAACAGAACGTATCAGTTCCGTTGGTTGTCGTCTCGCTCCTGGGGAATCGACGCCGGCAACGCCGGAATAACACCATCTGTCCGGTGAACATGGATGGTAGGCTAGGGTTTAATCATCAACAAAACTTTAGTCATACCTATACATCTGGACCAGCACCAACGGCCAGCTAGAGGTTTCCCTGTATCCCTCACTAGGATCCCCAGACTTTGACCTCGTCCGCTTGAAGATCGCCATGACCCAAACCAGTCAAGCTTGACCAAGGCAACTTGGATAATTACAAATGGTATCTTGGGTCGTTCATGTTCTCAGCAAGATGAGAGACCCTCTCTTTGACTACCGAACTTGATGTATGGGGGGAAGAATTATGGAAAACAACCTTGCCAAGGTTAGCACGACGGATCTTGACGCTGGCTGTATTTCGACCCAACTTACGGAGTACTGTTATATCCGGTCTGTCTGGTAGCCAGAAAATGGATTGGATATCAAGATCCAGTTCAAGATCCAGTCCATGCGACAAAGGGCCCGGGGGTCTGCTACTAGTTTATCCCTTCGCAAGTTTGCATCCGATTTCTGCACAAGCCAAAGCCCAACTCGGACGAGCAGAGGTAAAGCCAATTGCTTTCCACTATTCGATTATGAGGAGCAGGGCGAAAGCTTCATCCAGCCCTTGTAGGCTAGCAAACTGACTCGTCCTTATCGGGGGCTCCCTGTGCTTGGCCTGTGAGGTTGTAGTTTGCGCCACACTGGTCATTTGGGTATAACATTTGACGTGTAACAAATGAACGTGCCAACAAAGGAGGACTTTGCTGCCGATACGGAGTACTCCAGGCTCGTTATTTGCAAGAGCACGGCTGAGCCATTGATAAAAGCGGCGTCATCAAGTAGCGAATGGGCTGCTGGGATCATCTTGGAGGACAGCCACTTGAGCACGAAATAGGAATAAAAAGCGTTTATCAAGCCTTGGGTCTTTTGTCCATCTGTGGACGACTGACTGGCCAGTTGACGCTTCTGAGACATGGACTCAGCGGTGTATGCAGCTTTTGGTCTGTTAGCGTCGGACACGCACCACCTTTGGCTCACCTGTCTATGACCGTCTGCCATGCATGCTTCCTTTACCTGCGACTTGGAACTTTCTTCTGTCCGCAAATACGCTCTCTAGTTCGTCGTGGTGAAGCATGGGAGATCGAGGTTTCGTCCTTTGTTCTCTTTTTTGAAATCCCGCCCCGCGCAAAGGGAAATTTCTCACGTGGTTGAGTGTCGGTCGCTCCTGCCCCTTCATCTCGCAGCATTTGTGTGCGTCCCGGGGGTGCCGCTCATTTTTGCTGCAACGCAACCCATTGAGATCTGCGCGACTGTCTATACCTCATCTCGTAGTCTCGCGTCTCAACTGGGCAGTGGGCAGAGGAGAGTGGGCATATTCCGTACACGCAGAGACTATGCACATCACCATGCCATCCAGCACGCCACCATCCACACCTGGCGCGGGCGGCGAGATCGAGAAGCACACCACGCTTCCTCATACGAACTTGACTGACGACTTGGCTGGCTCGTCGAGTCAGGAATCTGCCGACCATGGAGACGCAAGGATTGATGCCATTCAGCAAAAGAAACCTATCTTGAGGTTCCTTGCGAATCTCGAAAGTCGAATCGACCGATTTGCCAAGTTTGAGGCCATGGGCGTGGAGAGGGTTCCTGAGGACAAGCGCAGACCCCCGCAAATACTCAACGTATGTATGTACAGTGGTAGGGCGTTATGGGCTATGGCGCTAATATGGCTGTTCAGATGATATTTTTCTGGTTCTCCGTCTTGTTCAGCCCAACAATGATTCAAATTGGTATTTTGGGCCCGATCCTTGGACTCGCAGTCAACACCTCCATTATTCTCACCATCTTCGCAACATTGTCCGGATCGACTGTGCCCGCCTTTACCGCCACCCTTTCACCCATGACCGGATTACGACAAGTGGCAGTGTCGCGGTATTCCTTGGGACTTTGGGGCTCAAAGTTGGCCGCTGTGCTCAACGTCGTCATCAACATTGGCTATGCAACGATTGCCGCTATTCTTGGAGGCCAGCTTCTCCGTGCCGTGTCAGGGGGCAGTCTGGCACTGGTCGTCGGCATCGTCATCGTCATTCTTGCTGCCTTTGTAGTGTCTTTGTTAGGCTACCGAGTTATCCATCACTACGAAAGATATGCCTGGTTCTTTGCTTTGGTCCTCATCTGTGTCCTCTACGGACAGTCTGCCAAGTACTTTTCCCCAACACCTGACGCCGGTCTAAGCTCTGGAATCGATCTTAGCGGGGGCTGTTTGTCGTACTTTGCCATCATCTTCGGCGTCTGCGCTTCTTGGTGTCCGATAGCGGGCGACTACTACATCCACTATCCCGTCGCAACTAGTAAATGGTTGGTGTTTGGGCTGACATATATTGGCTTGATCGTGCCTACAATATTTGTTGGAATTCTGGGTAATCTCCTCGGGGGGATTGTACTGACAAACGAGACGCTATCCAGCATTCACCGCCAAAGTGGCACGGGCGGTCTCATTCTTGCCATCATGTCACCCCCTGACGCCTGGGGCAAGTTTGCCTGTGTCTTCTTCGCCCTATCGTTCCGTAGGTCTTATACGTGGTGCAGGCGACTAAACTGGCTCCTATGCTGACTTGACTAAAAAACAAAAAACAGTTGGCGACACGATTGCGAATATTTACTCCAGCGCGCTTTGCATGCAGCTCCTTGGCAAACACTTTGTTGCTGTTCCGCGGTTCTTCTGGTGCACAATTTTGAGTCTCGTCACATTTGCACTCGCCTATGGTGGCCGTAATGTGTTGGAGGAAATTATTAACAACCTGCTCTCCATTCTCGGTTATTGGACTCTTGCATTCGCCGTCATTCTCTTTATTGAGCACTTTTATTTTCGGCCCATGATTGGAGGGTATGACTTGACGGCGTGGCAGGACCCAAAACGACTACCGCTGGGCTTGGCTGGTACAGGTTCTCTGCTAATTGGCATTGGATTTTCATTCTTAGGCATGTGCCAAACCTGGGTATGCAACCAACCAAGAAGCTGAGCGACTGATTTTGGGTCTCATCTCATGCTAACGGCGAAATTAGTACATCGCGCCCATCGCCAAGAAGATTGGCAGGTATGGAGGAGATGTGGGTGATGAGCTTACTCTCATCTCAGTCACGATTGCCTATCCCGTCTTGAGAACGCTGGAGCTGAAATGGGTTGGACGGTGAAAGGGCCCAGAACAGTTGCGCACGGTCGACAGCATTTTGCAGGGCTGCCGTTAACGGACCCAATGTTTAGCAGAGCGGACATCCCTGAAGTGGCTTGCCAAGACTGTCAGGAGAGCTTCGGCCCGACGCCATCTCGCATCTCTGGTGGGCCATTCAACATGGAATGGTCCGGGGCGTTTTGGCGTCCGGTGGAGATGGCAGGGAGTAATTCATTCGCCGAAACCCTGAATACTACATTAATTTAATCAGGATTGTATACGGAGTACGGAGTGGTGTATATTATTCAGGCGCTTATTCTGGAGGTGATACCCGAAGAAGGCTTTTTGTTTATGGAGTTATGTAGCTGAGTAGTTTGACTCGCATCATGGGAGATGAAATATCGTGGGGGAACTATGGATGCGCCTGGTTGGCATCTGAAGTAGTAAGGCCCACGGGGTGGTAAATCGTTCGCTATTTGAACTTTATATGATTACTGCATACCTACCTTAGTAAACATTCGTACAAGCAACGCACATACAATCATGTTCAACAGAAGCAGCATCTACCACCACCAGATTGATCACGGTCATATCACAATACAACCTGGCGGCTCACGGATCTTCTTTCCACGTCGTAGCTTCGAGCCACCCCTCACCGCAAGTGCACCAACAATGATCGACTACGACCTCCGCTTCTCCCCCTCATCTTGACATTCCATATCGTTAACACTACATCTCAACCACCTTTCCATATCCCTCAGCTCCAGTGAATTCATCCATCGTATAGTTATATACGTCAAGCAAACAAAATGACAACAAACGACAGGTCTCACGCCTTTCACGGCGTCGTCATCCACGCCACATCCCTCTCGAGCCTTGCCATCCTCGAGAACGCCCTCCTCATCGTCACCCCCACAGGCCGAATCGCCTCGCTCGAAGCCAACATCCCCATCGATCAGGTCTCTTCCAAGCTGGCCTCGCTCAACTACGCCTCATGTCCCATCACATACCTGGCTCGTGGGCAGTTCCTCATGCCCGGCTTCGTAGACACGCATCACCACGCTCCGCAATGGCTACACCGCGGCCAAGGCCAGGGCCTCCATATCCTCGAGTGGTTGGACCAAGTTGCCTTCCCCCACGAAGCGCGCTTCGAGGACGCCTCCCACGCGAAAAGGGTCTACGGCCACGTCGTGCACGGCATGCTGCGCCAGGGCGTCACAACAGCCAGCTACTACGGCTCCAAGCACGGCGAGGCCACCAAGATCCTAGCCGACACCTGTCTCTCGCGCGGCCAGCGCGCCCTCGTGGGCAAATGCAACATGAGCAGAAACGCACCCGACTACTACCGCGACGCCGACGAGCGCGAGTCCCTCCAGGCCACGCTCGACTGCATCAAGCACATCCGGCGCATCGACCCCGACGGCGAGCTGGTGCGCCACGTCCTCACGCCCCGGTTCGCAATCTGCTGCGAGCCCAGCCTGCTCGCGGGCCTGGGCGACCTCGCGCGGGAGCACCCAGACATGGCCATCCAGACGCACTTCAACGAGTCGGAGCAGGAGAAGGAGGCGACGCTCGCGCTGTTCCCAGACTTCACCAACGAGGCCGACCTCTACGAGCACTTTGGCCTCCTCAACGACCGCTCCATCCTCGCCCACTGCACCATCATGACCGACTACGAGACCCGGCGCCTGGCCCGCCTCGGGTGCGGCGTCGCCCACTGTCCCACCGCCAACATGACCGTGGGGGGAGGCTTCATGGCCGCCCCCGTGAGGGACTTTCTGCGCAGCGGCATAAAGGTAGGTCTGGGCACCGACTCGGGCGGCGGCTACTCGTCGTCCATGCTCAACGCCATGCGGCACAGCCTCGTGGCCTCGTTTGCGCGGGACTACCTGGACGCGCAGGACGGCGCCGCGGCCGTGTCGTTTGAAGAGGTTTTCCACATGGCGACCCTGGGGGGTGCGCAGGTCGTCGGGTTTGGCGGCGAGGCGGGCAATTTCGAGAGCGGCAAGGCGTTTGACGCGCTGGTCGTCGACGTGCGCGGCGAGGTGGGCGGTGTCAACGCGCCGCTCGAGGAGGACGATTCGGCGAGGACCATGCTCGAGAAGTTTGTCATGACGGGCGATGACAGGAATATACGGAGCGTGTATGTCGCGGGGAGAAAGGTGCACGGCGTCTAAGAGAAGGAGAGGGGCCGGCCAATATGACCATGTACTACGAAGTACTAGTTAGTTGCCCTGCATGATATGAGAGGCGTGAAAAAGGGTGACGGTACCGTGTACAATAGCTACATTGTATCATCTATTCGGGTATCTAAACGCCCGTGTCCACCGAAGAAAAGGCACGCCTGTTAAATATCCAACGCCCAAGCTTACTCGTCATCCTCCAGGCCATATGCTGCATCCATATCGGCATCATCGTCATATCCACCCTCAAATTCGCCGCCGTCGCCGTCGCCGTCGCCATAGTCCTCCCGCTCTTCGTATTCTTCCTCCTGGGCCTCGTCGTCGCCGGCAACACTCTCCTCTGGCTCTTCATTGGCATCATCGCCCCCCAGCGTGCTGCCAGCCACGCTGGTTTTGCGACTCGTCGCTGCCGAGCCGAGACCACCCGCATTGGGAATGTCAAAGATGCTGCGGATGGCGTCGTAATTGATTCGCTTCGACCAGGCCCTGTCCTTGACAACATTGATGGCTGCCTCGGCCGCAGAACTCGCCGGGCTGGTCTGGCCTTCGCCCATCTTGGCGCGCTTCCGGCGTCGGCGTGTCTGCTTTGGCCTCTCTGCCTCGACCTTTTTTCGAAACAGCTTCTCCTGGTGCTGTCGCAGCCAGTCCTTGTTTTGGTTGACCCAGATGAGCTCTTTGATACGGGCCTCATCGGGCGACAGCAGACAATTCTGCACCTCTGGATCGTCGGCAAACTCGTCCTCTGTCACCTCCTCCGCCATGGATATGGCTTTGGACGGCCGTTGCTGGAGGGCCCAGTCGGAGTGGATCCTGGCGCGCTGTTCGGCGTTGGCATACGCAAGTGCGTGCTCATAGGTCAGCGGATCGTTGAACATTTCTTCGATTTGGCCTTCGAGTTCTCGTTCGTCTTCCTCCCAGTTCTCGTCGATGGGAAGTTGTGGTGGCTTGGCGCGGCGTTTACCCTTGTTGGAAGACTGCTCGCCCTCCCCTTCTTCCTGGTCCAGCTCCTCGTCAATCGCGTCGCCGAATTCGTTGACCAGGTTTTCCAGACTCTCCGATGCTTCGCCTTCCGCCACGCTCTCGTCGTTGACGCGGATACTTGGCATGTCTTTGGGGATCTGAGAGGGCAGTGGTGGAATGATGAATCCTTCAGTGTCCCGACGAAATTTGATGGCGGGCGCTTTTGACAAATCGGCGCCCCCTTCCGTCATTCTTCGCTGACGAAAAGCCGTTTCGACCACCGAGGTAATGTCGCCATTTTCGCCGTTTTCAGTAGCACTTCGTTTTCTCTTTCGTGACTTGTCCTCTATCACCTTCCTATATTCATCCGACTTCCGATAAAAGGACGGAGGATCATGGGAGCTTTCTAGGAAATCTTGCTTCAGGAAGTCCTCTACCGACATCTGACTCGACTCGGTGATGTTGAACTCTTGGAGTCTGTTCTGAATGGTGTGATTGGTGACCTTGACAATGTAGACAACCTCGCGGACCGTGCGTCGGAAGTTGTGCATGCGAGCCGCCATCAGCAAACAAGCGCCGCAGATGCCGGAAGGCCGTCGACCCATGACCATCCAATCGCGGCTCATTCGCTTGACCAGTCTGACTGCGTCTTCGGCAACCTTGGCTGTCTCTTGGTGAAACTCCATCTTGGTCGCGAATCGCCAAATGAGATCCTCGGGGTACACCGGAATGAGCCCGTCGTTCCCAATAGGAACAACTTCATTGAGCTTCTTGAAGATGCGCCCGAGTTTGAACACGTTAAGTTGAACCAGATCAGCCAGGTCAATCAACATTACTTTGCAGGGCGGTTCCGCGCGGCAAGCGGCATACAGGCAAACGGCAGCGACACTAGCGAGCGTCCGTCCCTGGATGAAGTTGGCGCCGGAAGCCAGCTTGAAAACCTGCGTGCCGGCAGTCACCAGGCTCTCGCTCACACTGAGCTGCTGAGCGTAACCCTGCATGAGACCACGGGCCTCACGGATGCTCTTCTCGCGATCCTCTGTGCCGCCAACCCTCCGGAAGGCCGGGCCCATGCTGCGAACACCGGCTTGATCGGCCCCGATGAAGGAACCGTGGACGACTGCCGCACCCGACGAGGATTCGCCAAACTGGACCTCGGCCACAATGTTGCTGTCGTCAGCGACACGACCGCAGGTTTGACAGGTGCCGTCGACGACATTGGGCTTTGGACAAGCTTTGTTAGGACATTGCTGCCGAGCAGGAGCCGCGACGCTGCCGCCGCGGTTGGCCGTCGCAGACGCTGAGCGTGACTGTCCTGCGGCCTGCATCTGGCGGCGCTCCTCGCGCTCCCTCAGAGCCCGGGCGGCATTTGGCCGCGCAAAGGGAGACTTGGCCGGGCCGCCCGCGCTAGGTTTTCGGGTGGGTGTTAAAAACGAAGACATGAGGTTGATGTGGTGTGTGCAAATGTCGAATACAATTTGATGGTGAATATGGAGTTTCGGATCCCCCCACCGGACAAAGAAAAAAAAAGACAAATAAATGTACAAAAAAACTCTATCCCAGTAACACAGTACTATTATGGATAAGACATGAATATTCTTGGCCCTCTCCAACCGGATTGACCTGGAGCAATGCCACGAACGGGCAACGGTCTCATGGGACGGGCGTTGTGTGCGTGTCGACGAGTCTGCACTGTGACGATGTGTTCAGCATGGCATGGCATGGGGTCTGGTCGAGGAAAAGTGCAGAAAAAAGGTGAGCATGGGGCGACGACTTTGGTCGTGGGCGCAGCGGACGGGGTGGTCGAGTGGGGATGGGCACGGGCAGAGTTTTGCGTCGCGTCAAGCCTCTTGCTGAGTCACCGCCGACCTCGAGGATTCGAACGCCCTCGAGGGCGAAATTATTTTGGGCGCCGGCCGGGGGTTGTCAATCAAGTTGACGGCTGTGTTGACGGCTGTGCACATGCATTGCTTGACGATTGATTTCGGGGTCGGCCGAATGCAAGCTGGCGACAGAGCTACTCGGCACGGATTCTGGACAAGCTCGCCGAGATGGTCGCTGGCTCAGTCGCTCTGGTCAAGCTGGCAAAGGGACGCTGCGGCGTGGTTACCGCCGACCAGAAGTCACGTGCTTAAGGTTCATCATGACGCGGGCACGGACACGGACACGATAGGAAGGCATAGGGTTAGGGTTATCTGTCACGGACTCGAGGGATTGTCTGTCAATATGCGGGCACATCTATTGTTTGTGCTTGGCCATGGAACAATGATGCCCGTTGCACTTTTTGATGAAGGGGCTCTTGACTGAACATGTACTTGAATAGCTGACGTTGACACTGAGTCGCGGACACTGTCTGAGGCTGGGAATATCTCATGCCATTCAGCACAGGAGCTGCTTTATGTGTTTGCATTTAAATCATAATATTTGTATTCCCGCCCAGACTCGTTCTCAAATACGCACCAGACACGGTAAAAATAGCCCATCAGTTCCAGTTGACGGTAAACTCGGTAAACGTGGCCTCCAACTTATCCGCCGTGTCCTTGGAGGGCCTCGCAATGGCGGCGGCGACCTCGACCTCCCACCCGTCGCCGGCGGCCGTCCCAAACGGCCAGGTGATTTCCCTCAGGGGCGTCTTGCCGCCGTCCCGGTCGAGGTGGTACACCCACAGCGTCGTGCCGGTCCCGTCGTCGCTGCGCTCGACGGAGATGGTGACGGGGCGGGAGGCGTTGCGGACCTCGTGGCCGCAGGGGGCGTCTGAGACGCTCCAGTCGGAGTAGTTGTCGGTGCAGACGGTGGACAGCCGAGGCGCGTCGTTGAAGAGCTCGATGCCCGACTTGATCCATTTCCTGTCGGCGCCGTTGGTGAACTTGAAGAGGATGCCGGCCTGGTCGAACTGGTGGGTGTATGTGGCGAGGAAGGTGATGCATGCGGATTTGAAGCCGAGGGTTGGGCCCTTGGAATGGACGCGATAGGGGGCTGCGGCGAATTAGTTTTTTTTTATTTTTATTTTTATTTTTATTTGGATAAAGTTACAAATGAACAAGTTGCGCGTGGTCTGGTGATGAACATTGTGTGAGGTGAGGTGAGGTGTGTGGTTTTACCTGTAAAGACGTCATGCGCGGGAGGCTTCTTCCAGATGTCGGTGTTGGCGTCGGCTGCAAAAGTAAGCGGCGTGTGCATTTTGGTATTTCCTGACTGGATATGTATGGGTTGTATATGTTTTCGGGCGTGTGAATCAATCCCGCTCAGCAAGACGCAAGATGGCAGCCGTGGTATTTATACCGCGTCGGTTTGTACGCCAGACTATTGACTGCCAATGCCACCCTCTCCGCACATTGGCTCTTCTTCACAGGTCAAAATAAACTACGAGCCCGCGTTGCCTACCTGCTGGCTAGTCGAGGCCGTGCATCGGATCTACGGGCCCTCAGACCCTAGTCTCCATGTTCTCGCCATTATTAATGACTTTATGGAGTTTCATCAAGCAACTTGTGTCAAAATGGCTACTCCGCTAACTCGAGCAACGTGGATGGTGGGTCGGCCTGGCTCCAAAAGCGTGGAGGCCATTTCGGCGAGACAAATGCGGTAGTTGGCACGAGCATGGACGAGGTGAATTCGGAATAGATGACAAAACAAGGTCATGAGACATTTCGAAATGCACAAAGTGGACAGAAAGTGCCCCAGAACTGGCTCTTTCTAACATTAAACAAGTCACGATTACGGCGTACAAACTTGGCATTCACCACCACCAGACCAACTACTCCATCGCCAGACCCTTCATGCCTCCCCAGCTCGCGGCCCAAAGATCGAAAAAGGGATACCACCTAGGCCGCCACTCGCCCGTCCCCCCCTTGGGAAACACGCTCGTCATGTTCTCGAGGTACGTCGACGTCAGCCTCCACAACGGCCTGGGCGCCATCGTCTTGGTCTCGGACGCGTCCACCCGCGGCGCGGCCCAAGTCAGCCTCTGCCGCTGCAGCTCCCTCATCACGCGCAGCATGACGGTGGCGGCGCAGTCGGCCCCCAGGGTCCACGAGTTCTCGGCATATCCAAACGAGAAGACGAGGTTCGGCACGTCCTGCAGCATGCACTGCTTCCAGGCGAACCGGTCGGTCAGGTCGACGGGGGCGCCGTTGACGGAGAACCGGATGCCGCCGCCAAACTTGAGCCGGATGCCCGTCGCGGCCACAATGACGTCGGCCTTGAGCACCTGGCCCGACTTCAAAACGATGCCGTCCTCGGCGACGGTGTCGATGTGGTCCGTCACGACACTCGCCTGCCGCGACCGGAGCGCGGCGAAGAGATCCCCGTCCATGACGACGCACAGTCTTTGATCCCACGGCCCGTACCGCGGCTGGAAGTCCCTCTTCCAGTCGGCGTCCTTGGGGAGCTGGAGGGAAGTGAGGAGGCGCAGCAACCCTCCCGCGACGAAGGGCATGTTTCTGCTCACAAACAGCAGGATCTGGGTCTGGATCAGCCAGCGGTACCGGTTCAGCCGGCGCGCCATTCGATCGGGGAAGATGACGGCGAGCAGGCGGGCTATTCTGCCGTACTGGTTCAGCGTGAGGTACCAGCTCGGGCTGCGCTGGAGCATGGTGACGTGCTTGACCTTGTTGGCGACGGCGGGCAGGATGGAAATGGCCGTCGCGCCGCTGCCAATAATGACCATTTCCTTGTTGGCGTAGTCGTAGTCCTGCGGCCAGTGCTGCGGGTTGATGAGCCTGCCGCCAAAGTTGTCGATGCCGGGGATGGCCGAGGCAAGCGGCTCCTGGTAGTCGTAGTACCCGGTGCCGAGGAAGACAAACCGACCCCGGAAGAGCTGCGGCGGCCGCGTCGCCTTGCCGTCGTGATGCTCGCCGCCGCCTTGCTGCTGGGCCATGACCTCCCAGCACTTGTCGTCTGGGCTCCAGTTCGCCGAGACGACCTTGTGGCCGTGGCGAATGTGCTTGTCGATGCCGGCCTGCTGCGCAGACTCGACCATGTACTGCTTGATCTTTTCCCCCGAGGCAAGCGACTCCCTGCCCGGCCAGGGGTTCCAGCCAAAGCTGAAGGTGAAGACGTCCGAGTCGGACCTGATGCCTGGGTATCGCCAGAGATTCCACGTCCCGCCGATGGCGTCGCGGCTCTCCAGGATCACGTACGAAGTACCCGCCGGCGCCTCATTCTGCACGCGGTATGCGGCGTTGATGCCAGAGATGCCTGCTCCGATGATGACTACGTCAAAGTCCAAGCCGTTGGACGGGGCTTCCGACTTGGCGTCCATGGTCTATCTGGCGTGACACGAGAGTGTTTGGGATTAGGAAAAAAAAGAAAGATTTTGTACGACACAAATTTTTGTTGCCGGCCTGCTGCCGGCGTGTTCTCGGCCGCTCGCATTGGCACATGCGAAAAAAAAAAAGGGTTGCAGCTATTTTGATCAGCCGAGCCGTCAGTGTAACCCCAGCCAAGACACCACCAAATTGGTCGGAATGCAGATGTCGAGCGGAGGCGTCGACGAATCAAGACATCTTGCCCCTTCGGTGAAGATTAGAAGAACCCTTCAGCTCCACTTCCCCTCCATTCTGCAGAGGGCCCTCGTCTGTTTCGAGCCATTCATGGTGAAGGATGGAGGAGGACACTATCTGGATCAAGGTAGACCCTCTCATGGAACGTGATATCGAGACCCTGTGTTTTAGGTGTCGAGACAGGCATCGAATATCCTGTCAGCCCATGTTACGCTGGGTGAGAATGAAATGCATGCTGGTTGGCATGCTGCCCGTATCGATCACGCGGTCCATCCATTGCCATTTGGACCGATGCCGCCAGACGTTTCCAATCATGCATAGTATCAGGGCCGCAGCGTGACTCTATCAGCAAACGTAGTATATCGTTCACCCCTTCTTGTTCCACACCTCGGAGCTGGTACTCCGTACTCGGCAGTAGGAATCGACCCTTCCGATGCCTTGTTTTGTCTCTGTGCAACGGTTTCTCCATCAGTACTGAATAGCAAGATCGGAATGTGTAAAAGTCACTGCGAGGTAAGTCGCTGTACGAGCCTACAAAAGGAGTCGCATCCTACACCAGGTATTGGCAAGAGTTGCAACATTCGTAGTTTGTATGCGGGTTGTCGCAACCAAGTAAACTCCCGGCAGGTTGATTGTGCGGCAGAGATTCTCACGCAGGCAGTGTTGCAAGGAAAACCCGAAGATCTCAAGTGCGACGAAAAAATAGCATTTGGAGACCTCCACTTTTGGCAGTCGTTAAAACAGGCAGCAATCTGTTGATCCACTTTATCCCATTGACAACGTTGAACAGATTTGGATGCCGACTCATTCAAATCATCTCAACCAGCCACCGTTTGCTCAATAAAACGACGAATGACGGAATACGCAATGTACCAAGGCCGGCTTCTTCTCTCACTGGGCACACCTCCCTCCCATTTGATTGCCGTGCTGGGGCCGGAGCCAAGCTTGAAGCAGGAAACAAAGTCAATGCGATCCCACCCTGCTGCCTGATGTCGATGCTGACACAAGACGTACATGGAACAGAATATAAGCGCTAGTCATTGTTCAAGAATTATCAGGAAACTTCGAGACGTATCTATGACTTTGATCAGCAGTAGTACACTGCGCGTTGTGGAAAGCTTCAAAAAATATATAATGCCCGGGAGCTATCCTACGTTGTCATGAATACACAGCGTTCTTCACTCCTTCAAATCCCTCTCGCAGAGAACAGGACGATTCCATCATGGCCGACTACGCAAAACCTCCCGCCGGCGCGACCCTCGCCATCACGCCCTTCAAGGCACACGTCGACGAGGAAAAGCTGCAGCACTTCAAAACACTGCTGCAGCTCTCGCCAGTCGGTCCCGCCGTCTTCGAAAACACCCACGCCGGAAACACATACGGCATCACGAGGGACTGGCTCCAGAATGCCAAGAATACCTGGCTAAACGACTTTGACTGGCGCAAGCACGAAGACCGCATCAATTCGTATCCCAACTTCAAGACGTCGGTCCAGGATCCCCAAGGCAACACCATCGACGTCCACTTCCTGGCTCTCTTCTCCGAGAACCCGCACGCCGTCCCCATCGCCCTGTTCCACGGATGGCCAGGCTCCGTGTGCGACTTCTTCGACATGCTGGACCTCTTGAGGCAGAAATTCTCGCCGGCAGACTTGCCGTACCACGTTGTCGTGCCCTCGCTGCCGGGGTACGCCTATTCCAGCCTGCCCCCGGATGTAGATTACGGCATCGACCTGGCGGCCGGGGCGATGCACAGCCTCATGATGGGCTTGGGCTTTGGGTCTGGATACTTGGTCCACGGTGGCGACCTGGGCAGTTTTGTGAGCAGGATCATGGCGCTGCGGTACGCCGAGTGCAAGGGGATGCATGTCAACATGATGGGCGCGCCGGCGCTGGATGAGAACCCCCCACGCAGCGAGGACGAGAAGCAGGCGTTGCAAAGGGCGCTGGAGCATATTGACACTGCGAGCGGATTCATGTTGCAGCAGGGGCAGCGCCCGGCGACTGTTGGACTGGCACTGAGTGCTAGTCCTTTGGCATTGCTTAGCTGGTGAGGCATACTCCTTTTTTCTTTTTGCACAATTTTGGCATCGTAAGCACTTGCTAACGGCGAGCATAGGATTGGTGAGAAATTCCTGGCGTGGACAGATGGCGATTTCCCGCTCGACAAGATCCTGGAAAGTGTGACGCTGTACTGGATGACGGATACATTTCCTCGAACCATGTATCATAGTCGCGGGGTATGTGCCCTTGGTCCTGGTAGTATTCGAGTGGAAGCTGACTGTGTCTTGTAGTTGGCCGGCGCACATGACAAGCCAAAGATTGCGAGAACCAGCGTGGTATGTACCAGCTTGTCTGAACAGATTTGATGAGTGCTGACGAGTCGATGACCAGGTCAGCAAGATGACGGCGCTGCAACTTCCGTACGTCGAAAAGCCGTGCGGCTATTCCCTTTTCGCCAAGGAGATTTTCCCTGTTCCCAAAACTTGGGCGGATCTGAGCTGCCGTCTGGTGTCGTTCAACCAACATGCGCAGGGCGGCCACTTTCCAGTGAGTGCACACTTTGACGGCGACGGCTTCGTGTGTGAGTAGGCACTAACGATATTCAGGCCATGGAGAAACCACGCGCACTGCTCGCTGATGTGGAGGCGTATGTCGAGAAGGCTTGGACTGCAGACGACTCTGCAAAGTGAGGGTTACCGAACTATATGATGGGATGCGAGATGAACAAGTTGGCCAGGAAAAGAGTATGAAAGAGTCGCGGACCTGAAGATTGCATACCACAGGGACATGTTATAAACAATTCACTTTCTACAGCTTAAATTACATGCGCAATCATGTATTCTGATGCAAACCCTGCAGATCATATCCCACCGCCGCCCAACTCATGTCGCACGGCTGAAAAGAACCACGGGCATCACCTTGCCGTCAAGCCCCCGTCGGTCAAGAGCGCCGTGCCAGTAATAAACGAACTTCTCCCACCAGCAAGGAACAAGACGCCATCCGCAATCTCCCCCGGCTGTCCCATGCGATTCATCGGCACCGACGCGCGCACAGTCTCCTCGACGGCCTTTTGGAGTTCCGGTGTAGCCACCATCGGCGTCTCCGTGTACCCCGGACACATGGCATTGATGCGCAGCCCATCCTTGGCGTAGTCCAACGAAGCCGACTTAGTGAGCCCAATGACGGCATGCTTGGACGCCGTGTACGCCGCGTACCGCGGTACGGCGACGAGGCCCAGGACCGACGCCAGATTGACAATGGAGCCTCGCTGCAGCGGGCGGCCGTCGACGGCGGACCGTATCGGCTCCTGCTTGAGCATGATCTGCGCGGCGGCCCTGAGGACGAACAGGCTGCCGTTGAGGTTGACGCCCATGACGCGGTCCCAGTCGCTGGTGTCGGCAAACGCGGCGCCCTCGTCGTGCCTGACCGTCACGCCCGCGGCGTTGACGACGTAGTCGAGCCTGCCGAACGCCGCGGCTGCCTCCTGGACGGCCTTGCTCACTTGCTCCTCATCGGTGACGTCGACGACGAGCGTCAACAGGTGGCATTGCCGGTCTGTCTGGCGTGCTGCGAGTTCTGCGGCAACCTCTGTCTTGGCTGTTAGGAGGGCCTGCTCGGATCTGTCGAGGAGGGCGACCCCGGCGGCGCCCTCGACGGCAAAGGCGCGGGCGCATGCTTTGCCGATGCCGGACGCTGCTCCGGTGACGAGTGCGAATCCGGGGACGTCCATTTGGCGATGGGGGGGAGGTGTAGTGTCGATGCGTGATGGCGAACAGGGTACGAGATTCCGGGGCCCTCTGTGAGACGGGGAGGTGCTTCTCTGCGCTGGTTTGGGGGTTCTTGGTTGGAGCATCTGTCGAGTGTTCAACTGGGGCCTTGGCAAGTTATTAATTAATGTCAATTTAATTGATGTTTCCACAGTTTGCCGATGCCTGGCTAGTCTCGGAGCTGCCAGGCGTCCCCTGGTCATGCAACGGCGAGTATTCAATGTTCCCACACCTCGCCCCATATATGCAGGTCATGATGTATGCGGCATGTCTGGTGTTGTTGGGGCTATGGAGGCCAAAGGCATCAATTGATGTCAATTGACTGCAATATCCCTGCGTTAACTTGTCGTAACTGCAGCCAACATAGCAGCTTTGTCACACTTTGTTCAGCATCGACGTAGATATACCATACAGCCGAGGAACCCGAACGGGCATGCTTGAAGGCCCTTTGCTCCCTTGATGTAAGTTATTTAAAACCCTTTTTCTTTCTTTCTTTATTTTACCCTTTAAACATACTACCATGATGATATTACGCGCAGCCCCAACTATGGTTTCACTGCCTCATGTTGGAGATGGTCAGCCTTGGAGATAGGCCGCCCCTGTTGTTGGGTATGCCATGACATTTGCCCTGCTCGATGCAAACACCAGACAACAAAAGTCGCAGTTGCCATTTCCAGTAAGGCTTACCTTTGGTTCTGCATGAGGCGTGCTGCACCAAGCAGTTCAACCAACTCGCCAGCTCAAAGCCACTCAGTGACCTTGTCCATTGGAGCAAATATATATCATCAATACCCTGAACCGCCTACCTTTTCATTCCACTCTTTACTACGAGTCTTGCATCATGGAGCAGCAGTCGACATTACCGCTGGAACTCGACGAGCTAGAACGGCTTTACAACCGGCTGGACGGGGAGGCTCCCACAGTCTCCATGGACTACTCTAGAGACCACCTGACTCTCCTCGAGCTGCTCGAGTCGGAACCCGCGTCAAACAACTTCGTGGAGCGCCTCAAGAAGCATCATGACCTGCTCACGCTGTTGCAGAGCACAACAAATGGCGAATACACCGTTTTCGTCCCAGTAGACGCCGGCTGGACCGAAAGCGACAAGATGCAGTGCCATGAAAACATGCTGGCAATGCATATTTCCCCTCACTACCTCAGCACGACAGCTCTCAAAGACTGGCCGAATCTGCCTACATTACTGAGGACGGGAGCATCCAACAGGAAACCCGTGCTTCAATCCTCATTTGCTTCCTCTGGCTGGTGGATCAACAGATGCAACCGCATCGTCAAGAGCAACATGGTGGCACGAAACGGAATTGCTCACCTCATTCAACGGCCGTGTCCACCACCTCCATCAGTCGACTCTGTCGTGCAGGGCAGGCGAGACCTTTGCTTTGCATCAGAGGCGATCCGTCAGCTCAGCCATGAAGAGCTCATTTCGACTACGCAGGCACAGACCCTGGTTCTGCCCTCTGACGAGGCCTTTGACGAGCTTGGCAGCGACGTCGTGAACTTCCTGTCCAAGACGGAACAGGGCCGTCCCTATATGCTTGCGCTGCTGAAGCTGCACATCTTGCCTCAGGTTACCGTCTTTTGCAACTTAATCTGGCCGAAGAACGACACGGAAGAGAGATGGGGCTCGTCTCATGTGCCGAGGAAGATTAAAGGCAAGGTTTGTTATACCTTTGCGTCGCTGGCGAGCGATAGGCAAGGCGGAGCCTTTTGCGTGACTGTGGCCTTTTATCGGTTCAGAGGACTCGTCTCTATGCTGGTCAATCAGTTTGCTAGGGTCACTTCTCAAGATCACTGTGCGATGAATGGAGCGGTGCATGTTATTGATAGGGTTCTGCTGCCTCTAGGTGATGAAAGCGCGACGAATCCGGGTTTGGCGCACCTGACGGTCGATCAGCTGAGGGAGGTTCTTGCAGAGTATATTTAGTTTTTATACTCGACACAGAGGTCCGAGAGACTAGTTACAATTACTGCTCATGTCATGCTCTGGGAAATGGTATTGCTGCAGAGCAACCACACCACCACTCGTTCCCACCCAGCTCAAGTCTGATACGGGTTCTGGACATGATGGTAGAATGCACTTTATTCTTTAAAGAAAATAAACCCGTGTTGCTCTCAAAAGCAGTGTGTCTGGTACCTTTTTTTGACTTGCCTAAAGCGATTCAATAATAATATGAGGCATTTGTTGGTCCTTACGCTTCGTTGTCCCGCCTGCAACGTCAGATCTGTTGGTCATGATGGCCTCGGCCCCTCTCATGGAGTTGCCGTCCTCACCCACCCGCATTAGGACGATAAGGAATGGCGGGAAGCGTGAATAGCCTGGTTCTTGCTTAGCAAACACGGCATGCAAGGGCTGTTGGTTCCGGTTTAGAGGAGAATCTCTGATGGGAGCAGTATTTTAGTAGGGGTAATTTTATACGGCCACATTCCCGCTGCCACACTTGCCTATACATCTTAGAGATTCTCCAAAAAGCCATCCTCGTGAAGTAAGGCTAGCATTGCGTACGTTCCTGCTTCGACTGCGACGAATATGGCGCTTGGACTATATATGCTGTTTCTGGAACAGAATGCTAGTTAAGAAGAGGAGTATATTAAAGAACCTAGTCTGTTTAGAAGAGGCATATGTAGGCTCGGGACTCTATACATGGGAGGAATCATATGCGAATATGAGCATCTGACTGGAGAGCACCACAATCAAACCTCGGAACTATTAATAAACGCGAAAGAGTACAGTAAGTTGTAGTAATCATAAAAAATGTTTATATGTTGCAATTTTGTTCTCTCGATTTGTTCTGCATCTTGCTTCCATAGCAGCGGCTGACATTCTATCGTTATTACTCAATCTTGGTAGAGTAGTAAGCCATCGGCGGAGAAATGACTAACCCCGACTCTCCGTAGGCATACTTTCAGGCTGTTTCGTATACGGACATTCAACGCCTGCCAAGCATTTGACAACCTTGGGCCTCGCGCGGTGGCTTTGGGCGGGACTAGTGGTGGTCTTATGCAGAGGCGCAGCCGCCGCCATATTCTGCCACATCTAACTGGTGTTGCGAGAAGCCACGTCAGCCATTCTCATGATACTATCGTTACCAAAGATGAGCTACTTGCGGCATTGTGTTTGACAACATCCGGAGGCCTGCAAGGCGCTGACCATGGCAACGTCGTTCAGCTTTCGCACTATTCAAGGCATGCTTGATCAGGCGCCTCCATCTACGATACAAAACCAACATTGGGCATGTTCATTTTGAACTGGCCCGCTGTCCATACCGCCTATGTGGTGGCTTGGTGAAATTAAAGTTCAGACCAGCCTGGCGTGGCGTAAGCCGTTTGTGCCGCTGAAGCCGTCAACTGGGTTCATTTCTCCGCTACCCCAGGTCAATTATAGCAAGTTATAAGTAGGCCGGCGCCAGGCTCATTGACGGTATTTATCAAGACAAAAAAGTATCACCGGAAAGCCGTCAACACTGCGCATAGCAAAGCATTTGTAGCTGCGTCGCAAGTCATCCAGCGAAGTCGATCCAGCGCGTCAAAACTCAAGCACAAGGCTACTGTGACAGCAGTGCCACTCACAAAAATCCACAAGTACAGCAATTCATCCGTCGCATCTATTGCCACTTGCCATTACGCAATGTTCGGAAGAAGAAGACGCACCCCGTTCCTTACGGCCGCTGTTGTCGCAGGAACAGCCACCGTCGCCTCGAGGCACGGGGCGAGGAAACAGTCCGAGATGGAGGCACAGAGACAGTTTCAAATGCAACAAGAATACGAGTTCCGACGAAACCAGGAAGAGAGGGAGCAGGCCAGGAACCAACAGGCCATCGACCAAGCCGTGAACGAGGCCCTGGCGAAACAAAAAGCGAGCCAAGGCGCCCAGCAGGGCTCTCCTGCTCCGGCTATTGCGCAGCCTGCTCCGGCCATTGCGCAACCTGCGCCCGGTCCTCCTCCGATGTACATGGCCGGTGATGAGTACGCATCTGGGTCTGGGGCGTACCTCCAGCCGGGGGCTGTTCCGCAACGGCCCCGGAGTACGTCTGCGGCCGAGTCGGGCATATGCTTCTGCTCTTGCTGTGGAAAGCAGTGCGGCATGCAGGACAGGTTCTGTAGCAGGTGTGGCCGGTCCCTACAGGTAGAGAGTGCTTCCTATGATCAGCCTGAGAAGCAGGCCATGTGATGGATGTGAGACGGTTGGGGACGGGGGTTCGAGCGACGGAGGACGAAGTTGCTGGGAATGAAGTCTTGTTGGCAAGGTGCTGACATTGTAGTTTTATGACGGTTCGAGTCTATGGCGGAATGTATTTACCCACCGGGACGTTGTGGTATGTTCGCGATAGCAGGGTGCCTGATCTGGATAAAGGCTTCTGCCTCCCGCTGTATTTACTGTTTTTGTAATACCACACATTTGAAGGACCATTTTACTTTGATTATACAGTGAGTATTTGACCGGTACGAATGGAGTGCCCAGGATGTAGGGGAAACAGTAGCTGGACGGCTTGCAAGGGAAACCGCTTGATATTCCAGCAAGGAAAGGTGATAATAGCATGAACTATCTCGGTGTTAGATGTAATGGTAGGAATAAAGATAGCTTGAGTGAAGTGGTTGTACGGAGTAATATAGGTGGTGACAATGATTGAGGCAAAGTAGTGATCAGGCATGCAATGCCTGTGTACCATGTTGAAGATGTATATTTCATGGCTAGTTGAAACCCAATCCGTGAATGTTGGCAAGCATTTACAATAAACACACTCGTACTATTTTGGATTTATATGATCCTCTGAAAAACTCTGCTGGCTACCTGGCGTCTTTGCATCGAGTGTTTGCTGAATTCGCTCGCTGGGCAGCCACCGCTCTGCCGGGATAAACCACCACGAAAGCAAAGCAAAGATGGTGACAATACCCATAATGACTGGTGCATAGTTGAATGTAGCGGCGGACACGGGGAACGTATACGGCGAGTAAAGCACAGCGACCACCCATCCGTTCCATAGAATAGCAATGGCCTGGAAGGGTTTGCTAAGGCGCCCCAGACTCCAAGCAGCCCTGGGGAAATTGTTAGGCGTAAGAAACAGCCGGCCAATGCAAATGAGCCCGTACGCCGCGGCAGACGGTACGCCAGCAGCGGAGACCAGAGACGTGAACGCTACCGAAGACGGCAGTATGGTGCAGGTGATGATGGACGCCACAGCCCAAACGACAATGACGGCGTTTCGTGGTTGCCCGTCGACTACTTGGGATACCCAAGGTGAGAATGGCAATACGCCGTCGCGGGCAACGGCGAACACGAGCCGTGATGCAGCGAGGACGGCTATGGCGGTGTTCTAGAGCAGCTTGTTAGATTCTTCTTGATATTTTGGCACTTCCGTGGCTCAACTTACAAACCAAAGAGCAACAATGCAGACGATGTTCATCAAAATGTGTCCGCCGTCACCGAGAATGGCCGCATACAATGGCACAAACGGTTGCGCGCCGCCAAAGCTAAAAAACACGTCCGACGACGGCTGTTGGGAAACTCGTCAGCAAGTGCCATCTGATTCCTAGAGGCGGATATAGAAACTCACCACGCAGAATAGGAACAGAATGACAACCACGAAGCCGCCGACTCCGCTGACGACTGTGCTCCAGAAGATTCCCCTGGCTGCTGACATGCTTGCATTCCGAGTCTCTTCGGCAACATGGCCGGACGCGTCGAAGCCGATCAAAATACCAGCAGTAGCTAGGTAAGACAGACACCAGTTCCACCCTGCTGGAGCTCCTGTCCCATTATACGTGGTCATGAATGCGTCGTGTGCAGAACGGAAGCCATATGTTTTGGAGGTGGCAATGGGAAGCCAGACCATGTTCAATACAAAGTCTACTATGACGGACGACGTGGACAGGTAAAAGATCCACTTGAAGTATCGCGCTGCGGCTGTCAGTATATAAACATGGTCCTCGAGCAGGGCGTGAAATGACTGACGGGGCAAGAGGTTCCAAATTGCGGCCAAGGCGAGCAGTATTTCGGTCGCCACCCACTGCACGGCTCGGAATTTGACGCTCGAAGCGTCTGACGGGAAGTCGAGATTGAAGACTACGATTTCCTGTTTGCGTATCAGTACGTATACCCGCGGGGAGGGCTCGGCTGGAAACCTACAGAGAGCATGTAGTTGACTGCCGACTGGGTGTTGCCTGCAGACGTGTCAGAACCGCGCCATATCTTCGCGACAAGACATGTCCTCTGGGACAAGCTCACTTGCACAGAAAGTAGTCCAGGCCGTGGTACTCCACCAAGCGACAACGAAGCCGAAGAGACGCCCGAAGCGTGGACCGCCGGCCTCTGCTGCCCACAGGTAGATGGAGCCGGCCAAGGGGAGCGACGAGCATATTTCCGCAATTACAGCTGCGGTGATGAAGGTAAAGACGCACGTAACTATGAAGCTTGTCCTGTTTATCCCGTTAGAAACGTTCTTGTATGAGGGCTGGTGGCTGTACCAGTAGGCGAGGTTGCCGCCGGCAGCAATGCCAGTAGAAAACGTGACGCGGACACCACCGATGAAGTAGAGGGCCGCTGCATTTGTTAGCCGACCATGTTGACTTGAGAGCAGTGAAGGTTGCGTACCAAAAGTAGTGGCAAAGTTGTGGAAGAGGTTGAATGTCCGATGCAAGACCTAGAAAAAGTAAGATATGGTTCGCCCAAGTGGACAAAAGCAGTCACCGTACGGGTTTGTAGCCAAGGCTCTCCTGATGAAATTATTAGTAAATCTTCTCAAGTATTATCAATGACTTGGTGACTTGGCATACCAGTATCCGCGAGTCTGCCGTCATTTCCTGCTCAGGGTCGCATGAGTTATTAACGGTGCCTGCATGCGCATGACGCGCTTGAATCCCCTCGGCAGCCATTTCCTCTTCAGCACTGAAGCCAAGGCTAAAAAATGGTTCAACGTGAGCCTCTTAGTTTCGAGAGAAGTCTCAGGAGTTCCGAAGCGTAATCTTCATGCTAGAATGTTGAGTATTGAAGCTCGCGATTTCCTCAGCCTAGCAACCCGAGTCAAGTCGCCTAGTATGCTCGCCCGCCAGCTGCGCAAAAAGAATCAACGCTCAGAGTGCAAGTCATCAAGTTGTAACCAATTGTCAAGAAACCGTCTATGATGTAGTAGCAGGGAAGGCGTTGGTGATGGATGATGAAAGAAATGTCAACAAAGTGGTGACGAGCGGGTCGAGAGACGGATCACGTTATTGGGTGGACTATAATCTCAGCAAATCTACATTCCCGCCTATATTATCTCCGTATTACCGCCTTCCCTACTGGGCTAAGAGGCGCTTACCAAGTCTGTCGTAAGCGTGGTTGACTCGGACTAGATTGGCCCACTCTCAACCTACCCTCTTCTCTCTACTATTTATGAAACCTCTTACAATACAGCAAGAAAGGATAAGTAGCTGAAGGTGCTGACGGGTGCTTTTCCCGCATGATAGCCGTGGGCTGCTCATATGTGTAACCTCATTTAAAATTAACAGGCAGTCTATCAGCCAGCTGGACTGTGAGCTCATAGCTGGGCTTCTATGATTGACAAGCTGGGGTTGATTGAGGCTGTTGGATTTGAACTTTGCGGGCCGAGATTGGTTGAAGCTGTTAGGTATGACGAGATATATCGCGTAGTTATCCTGTAAGCTGCTATTATTGATCTTCATGACTCTGGTAATGTGTTTGGAACCACTCCATCTGTTGCCTTTACACGGGCGTTGGGTCATAGTGAAAACACGGTTCAAGTCTAAAAGAAATCCTATCAACTATGTACATTATCTTGCCGTTAACAACAATCTTCACTATCAGAGGTTGCTTTCTGGCATCGAAATCATGTTGTACCGAGGTTTCACGTGTCCATAAATGAGACATCATAAATTACCTTCAACAAATAAAAATTCAGCCTCCAAAAGGAGGCTGAAGTGCTATATTTAGATGGTCGTTTGCGGAAAAAAATCGTCTTGCCTCAGATAATAAATAGAACAAACGAGAAGCGCATGACAAATCGATCTGTTGGCTGTGATGGCCAGAGGGAGGTGTCGGAGCTACAAAGGACAAAGAGAGATGGCAGTCTCGAATGCCAGAGGTCCTCCACTCGGGGTAGTACAACAGAAGCCATGGTACCGATGGGAGGTCTGAGCTTCGTTTCAAACCATTCAATTCCGGAATTGCTTTTTCCCAATGCATGTGAAATCTGCCTGCATGTAGCTGCCATAGGTCGCCTGAACGCTAAATTCGGTCATTTTGGACGGAGTATAGGACTTCCTGGCGAGTATAAAGAACAAGCTTGCAGTACCTAATGCAAACAATACACTTTGACTGTAACAGCTCACATAGAATAGCATAAAGGCCGTGAAAAGAACATGTCAGCCAAGGCAAGAAAAAAAGAGATGTGTCAGATCCTGGTCTCGAGCACTTGCCACATTGTGCGGTCCCTCGCCGCATCCCGCATTCAAAGATGTACTGGCCGACAGTTGACCCGTGAGTCAGTCATGAAACGAGTACCTCTAGAACTCCTACAGTTATATATCTGGTTCTATTCCCAACTGTTAGGTAGCTGGCAGCTCAAAAAACTTTGCTTTACCAAAGATCGAATTGATTACACTATTGCCCGTCATTACAGCGATCAGTTGAGAAGCGATGAGCTCGAGCTCAGGATGGAGCGACATGAAGAGGAAGGAGAGTAGCCTGCAGTAAGTGGCTGTGTACCTTGGGCTGGTCCCATTTGTGCGGACTGACCGTGATTCTCGTACCCGATGAAACTGCGAGCTGACGCCTTCTGGCAGTGTCGCCATAGTTCGGGGAATTGGAGAGGGCCCCAAAGGCTGGGACAGAGAAAAGGTGGTGAAGTGGGTAAAAAAGTCATCGTACAGGCGTTACGGAGCCCCCGAGATAACAGAATTCGCAAACACCTTGGATTTCGATGGAGGGATCACGCCAGAGAGTATTAAAGAGGCGGCTGTTAGGCTTCTAGAGCGAATGCGAAAAGAAATAGAGGAATCAGGGGTGAGCATCTACAGCATTCCTCAACTGGCTTACCATGCCGAGATGGCTGGTCGCACAGCACAAGCTTTGAATTACAGCTGACTTGCATCTCACTCCTAGTGTCCATCATGATGTCTAATAGGTTATGACATTGGAGGGCTCGTAATCAAACAAGTGCAGTGCCCTCTGAACTTCCTCGCGGCCAACACGACCTGACATGGTAGCAGGCCGCCTTACTTGCCGTGAGCACTCGGGAGTATTTATCCATGGCAAAAAATATATCCTGCTTGGTAAGCTTCAAAACAAAGCATCTATTTCTTTTTCACTGACGCCATCCTCTCAGGTATTCATTGAAACTCCTCACCGCGCTACCGAATTCGAATCGTGGGAGAGCATATCGACAAAACTTTTGCTGCGGAGGAAAGATCAGGGCCATTGCCCAAGCTCCACAGCTTCGGAGCAGTTGGGTAACACGCTGATGAAGCTGAGCAAGAGTTTTCAGGTCATGGCCAGAATATATCCTATTGTTAATTTGTATGAGTGTATCAACGAGGAGGCATTACGGTCAACACCTTTGGTACGTTGCAGCAGCCCCATGCCGCTTCTCCCTTCTTGTTCAAACCAGCTCACATTCATCAACTACATCTTGTCTGATATAAAGGCCGTAGGCGTTTTCCAAAGACACGACAACAATGGGAGTCCCTGGGGAAGTATGTGACCGTCTACGAGAGAGCAAGAATAGGGGTAAATATGTGAAATTTTTCACCCTGATGGACCTATGGGAGGAGGGTTCGTCATCCAAGACAGTCCACCGGCAGAGGTTTCTACTAATCAACCCCATTTTTAGGACAAAAGGACACCTATTTTCGCTGCCTCATGGACTTATCGAGGGCCGACTCACACCATTCTCTGGGTGAGCATGTCCATCTCTCTTCCTGTACTCCCGATAAATTCAACTGGATTCTCGACCGTGACGCATGCAAGAACTGGATCGGGCCAGCGTGCAGACCATTGTGGCTGTACGGGATGGCCAAGTCAGACGTGGCTGCCTCGATGGATGTCTTGGAAAGGAAGGCGCGTGCGACATTTCCAGACGCCAACGTCATCAAATATTCCTTCGATGCCCAAGACGACCGCTGTCGATCGACATATGGAATGCTTGCTTCTCTCAGCCACCAGCTGCTGACTCTTAAACCAGGCCTCTTTGAACACGTCAGGTCTCTCTACCATGCATGTGACATGTTCCTAGAGGTCGAGTTCAAAATCGAACATCTATGGGCCTTCTTGCGCTCGTTGCTATCCTGCCCACCCAAGCGCCATGGCGTCATCTTTTGCTTTATCAACATGATAGACGAGTGCGACCCTTGCAGCAACAAGTTCCTGAAAGACCTGCTGCTACTGGCGAGCTCGGAAACCTCAGCTGGCGGCTTCAGGCTGGCCGTCACCAGCCACAAGGCGCCCGACTCTGATGTCGAGTTTGCAGCACATGCGATCAACGTTATCCAGGAGAGACATGAAGACCCTGATGAGAAGAAGAAAGAAATAGAGAGTGTGGTTGCCAGGGAGACTCGTTTGCTGTTCGAGGCCAGGCCGGAACTGGAAAAATTGGACGGCATTATAAATGAGAAACTGAGCGCTGTTGATGATGTTTTCAACATCTCACTCATTGCAAAATTGCTGCAGGCACGCCTGCCGCACTGGGGAGATGCAGAGCTCGAAACACAGCTGAACGCTCTACCTCCCACCACCTTTGAGATATATCGACACTTTTTGGACAGCATACCCGCAGACAATCAATCGTGGGCGAGAGATGTGCTCTCTTGGATAGTCCATGCGTTTCAGCCATTGAAGGTGACCGAGCTTGCCTTGGCCATGGCTCTTCAAGACGACACCTTGTCAATCTTGGAACTGCAAAGGTTGCCACAGGGGCATATCGAATCAAAGATCAAGAATGTATTTGGCAACTTGATCCAGATTCAACATGACAACGTCTTTTTTATTGACAGCAGCTTTCGAGATTTTCTAATCCAAACTCAATCCAGTTGTCAAGAAAGAAGTCTGAAGTTGGTTAACCATGCGAACTGTGCCAGGTTGTGTCTCCGCTACCTCTCTTTGGTGACTTCGGCAACGGAGGAATCGAAGCCTATTTTCGACAAGAAAAACTTGTTTACGCCTTCAGAGGGGATCGAGTACGGTTTCCTTGACTATGCCGGCCAATATTGGTTTCGACACTACAACTTGGCGAAACATGATGCCTTTCCAGACCTTCAAGATGAGGCGTGCGCATTCCTGGAAAGACCCAAGTCCGATATAATGTGGTGCAAGCTAAAAGTCGACTATTCGACATGGCAGCGCGGTAACCCGGCTCACGTGGCAATTAGCCTTGGATGCAACGATGTTGCCCGAACGCTGCTCGAAAAGCCCGAGTGGAACGCCGAGGTCCTTGATCACACTCAGGGACTTAGATTGACAACGACACGCGAGACAGCTATTGATTTTCTCTGGGAAGCCGGTGCCAGACACGGAGTGATTCTCTACGCCGCGGCCATGCGTGGGCGAGACGAGTTGGTGGACCAAATATTGAAGGATCAGGCGCAAGTGGAAATGGGAAAGGAGTATATATCCCCATATGGCAGGACAGCCTTGCACCAGGCATCTTCCCTTGGTTACCATGCTGTGGTTAGAAAACTGCTCAATGCAGGTTACAACGCAAACGTTACGAATGACGAGCTACTGGTGCCTCTTCAGCTCGCCAGCCGGTTTGGCCATGTCGATGTCATAGAGGCTCTTCTCACCGGAAAGGAGAAGGCTGATGATGAAAATATGGATACAGACACCCATCCAGCTTGCGCCGCCGTTGTCGGCAAATCACCTTGGCTGGTTCAGGAGTCTCTCATGATGGCCATCGACTCTCAGCAACATGACGCAATCAAAAAACTTCTCGACCGGGGCGCCAAGCTTGAGAAAAATCCCAAAGCGTTGAGTCATGCCGTTGCGTCTGGTCGGGAGGACATTGTGGGATTAATTCTACGTTACTATGAGAAACTCCCGGCGAATATTCTCCACGAAGCAATGGCGACACGCGGCGAGAACAACTACACGCCGTTGGGATTGGCCGCACGCGGGGGCTACATGGATGTGGTGCGGCAGCTTTTGGACAAGATGGAATCTAGAATGGACACCACAGAAACAGAAGACATGAAGAAGAAATCTCCTAGAGATATGCCGCTTCATCTGGCGGCCGAGGGTGGTCATGCCCATGTGCTCAAAGCCCTCATCGAATGGCAATGGCCCCAGGACTCGGAGTATCGTGACAAGTCTAACATCAGAGCCGCCAATTCTTCAGGCCAAGCTCCAATCCATCTGGCAGTCCTCGGTGGTAATGCATCCCTCGTCGTTCAGCTTTGTTTAGAGCATCAGACACAGAAGGTTTCCCTCCGCCTCTTGAATAGCCGTCTCCGGAGTCCCCTCCATGTGGCATGCGACTGCGGCTTCGTCGACATGGTCGACATCCTTCTCGAGCACGGCGGCTGGTACGGCGAAGCGGATGAGAATGGCGACACGCCGCTTCTTCTCGGGTGCGCAGCCGGGGACTTGCAGACGGTGAAGAGGCTTCTTACCCACGACTCGAACCTCCTCATCAAAAACTTGCAAGGCCGCTCGGCGCTACATCATGCTGCGGCGTCAGGGGAACCAGACGTGGTTCAGGAGCTTCTCCGCGCCTCTAGTGATGCCAACGACATCCGCATCTATACGAATGCAAAAGATAAGTCTGGGAGCACACCACTTCACCTAGCCGCGGTGGCTGGCAATGTTGAAGTGATGGACATACTCTTGGATGAGATGGCGGACATTACACAAGTGGATGGCTCGGGCCACGACGTGCTGTACCTTGCCTCCCGACATGGCCATGCGAATGTGGTGACATTTCTCATCCAAGAATCCCGCAAAGGTATCGAGGGAGATGACGGAGATACATTCCATTTCGGTGGGGATATTTTTCAATTCGTTCAAGAGATGCTATCATACTTCCCGCATAATCTTCCTGTGGCCGAGGAAACTGATATTGCCGTCGAGATTGGCCCTAGGGAAAACTGTGCTATGGTACTGGCCAATCTTACAAGTCTTGCTAACCAGTGGACTCCTTCGCAGTACGGAATCACCCTGCATCTGGCCGCAAAAGGGGGAATTGTCAGCGTCGTTGATCAAGTCCTGCTTAAAGGGCAGGATCCGAACTACATGGACACGATGGAAAAGACAGCTCTCATGTATGCGGCTGAATCGGGGTGCTCTCGGGTGGTCGAGCGACTCTTGAGGGTCCCCAACATTGACCAGGATTGCCAAGACACATTTGGTTACTCCGCTATTTCATACGCAGCTGAGAGCGGGCATCTGGAAGTTGTCAAGATGCTTGCCTCGGGGCGCAAATCCGCCATCGACGCTCAAACCTTGACGGCTGCGTCAAGATGTATGGCAAATATGAAGGGCAGTAGCATCATGACCTTCTTTCTGGATAATGACATCGATGGATCGCTAGTGGATAGTTCCCTAAGAATAGCTGTATCCGAAGGGTTCGTCGAGGTTGTCTCGCTGCTCGTGGGCCGAGGTGCAAATGTCAATACCACCTACGAATCAACATCCACGCCCTTGCACAAGGCCGCGGGGCGTGGAAATGTTGGAATTTGTAAGATTCTTCTCGAGGCCGGTGCCACGGTAGATTCGGAAACGAAGGACAAGGAAACACCGCTCATTCTTGCGGTATCCCGTGGCCATCAAGAGGTATCGGAACAGCTCCTACATTCTGGGGCGGATCCGCTGGCAGCGACGAGCTCAGGCAAGACACCGTACCATGAAGCGATTTGCGCAGGGCCCGAAATCTTCAAAGCCGTGTTATCGAGGGTCTTGGAGTTGAACAAGTCAGCCCACACGAAGGATGCCCAGAACAGAAGCCCTGTCCTTCTCGCGGCAGCTCAAGGCACACAGGAAGCCTTCATGGCGCTAATCGACATTGAGGGTGCGGATGTCAATGAGAAGGATAAGAACGGCTATACACCTCTCTGCCACGCGATTTTCAGACAGCAAGCGGTGATTGTTGAGACCTTGCTCAAAAAGCCGGAACTGAAGCGGTCCATGAGTGCGAAAGACATGCTCCAACGTGCAGCTGGGTTTGAAGAAGATAAAATCATGAAACTGCTGATCCAAAATGGAATAGACCGTGACCTTGAATTCGACGACTTATTCGAACTTGCGATGGAGTCGGAAAACCTCTACCTCGTAGAAATTGTCTTGCAGACGCCACACGACGGAATCCGGCTGGATAAACACAGGTGGTCTCTCGAGTGTCTGAAACACGTTCTTATGGACCCGGAATACAAACGAGAACATATGATCAGGAACTCAGACACGGACCTAAAGCCGCCTTTGGGTTGGTGCCATCAGGGTGAAGTAGATGTTGAGAGAGCCCCCGAAGATGCTTGGGGATTTCCTGGCCCAAGTATGTCTGTTTCTACAAGCACGCCCTCTGTCGGACTACCATGAGTTGAGTAGCAGCTGACGTATTATTTCGCCCTGTTCTTTAGTTTTTCCCAACCTTCGACTTGAGAATGGGCAACGGCTTCGCGCGGACCACCCCATTCCGCCCGTCGGCAAATTCAAGTTCGAAGTTCATCTCGTAGACGCAACACTAAACCAGTAAGTTACGTCTTTTGAACTCGGTGATTCCCGACGGCAAAGCCCTGCTTACACGGTATTCAAGGATCTTTATTGGCTTTGGACACGAGCATGTGCTACACGACAACGACAGCTCGCGGTTGAAAACAAATTCTTGTTGCTGTCACATCAATGGTAGTCGTACCGGATTTGGTCCCCGCACACGTCATGAATTGTCAATGAACTATGCATGTGGCATGGGAGATGTGATAGCCTGCCACATCAACCAGACCGAGGGTATTGCCTTTTTCACAAGGAACGGAAAATTTCTCGGTAAGAGGAATCGTCTTTAGGATGTGAAATGGTTACTAAGTCGACATAATAGGTCTTAGGTTTAAAGGCCTCCAGGGGCGGTTGTACCCTGTAGTGGGAGTAGGGAACACGGAAACAACCTTCATTAAAACCACATTTACCTGGAAACCCTGACAAGGTTTTGACTTGGGGAGATTGCATCATATGAAATAGGCTGCTACAGCATATGCATGGATGCTAAAGTGGGAGACGGTGAGAGTAGCGGCGAGCCGTTTTTTTTTCCATTCAAAGGGTTTTCCGCTCGATGTGTAAGTGGAGGTTCTATTAAATTCAGCCTCTTAGTAACTGGGGCAAATAAACAAACAAATCAATAACGCGACCGTCATAAATTCATAATTGGGGCTTGCGTGACTGCTGGATCTAATATACAGCTTGGTAAGATTCGCTGCCTTTTCCGGAATAGACATGAAGAATACCTTGCGGACTCATGTTTTAGGAGTTATGCTAGATCCTTCCTCACTCTGGAAATGCGCCTGCCACGAGAGTTGATCGGACTTGACGGTTGAGTCGTGGAGCGAAGAGACCCAACCACAGGTGTCAACTCCATGGTCAACTAAATCGTAGCATACAAGTAGACACTCTGGTACTTGTTATTAATATGCAGCAATTCAATGTCAGAAAATGTCTAGTATCGCTACGGCACACACTGGTGAAACTACTCATTTCAACCACCTTACCCCAAATCCGTGCATCATGAAATTACCACCAGACGCTTCAAGCAGTAGGAAAATGCAGAGCCCCGCTCTTGATCCGTATTGCCTTTCCATACACCTGTAACAAGACAATAATCAAGAATGCAAAAAGGCAGATTCCAGCCTGGGTGCCGAAGCTTACTTTGGCTCCCACCGAATGAGCCCAATTGACCTGGAAGTAACTAATGATGAACCCGCCAGCAGCTACGATGTGTTAGTGAGAAGAAACCGTAGACTGACTGAATAGGACTTGAACTCACTACGAGCAAAGTTGATCCAGGCAGATACCTCCCCCGAAGCTTCCGGGTAGCTGTCCAGATTATACGCATTCAAGGCCACCGTGGACACCATGATGCCAAAGACGTACAGTCCCCAGAACACAGCCGTGACCATGTAGTGATATGCGTCCTCGAGAGCGAACCCCAATCCCACCAGGCCAGCCAGCATGAACGGCGTGCTGAACCATATGGCGCGGAGTCTAATCTCGGGCTCAAAGTGCCCAGCATGCGACGTGATGTACTGCCGCGCAATGCCATCGTGCAGCCAGTGGCCGGTGATTTCGCCCAAAAGAGCCGCGACAATGGGCGTAAAGTAAAAGAAGCCAATCTGCTTGGGGCCAAAGTCGTACAGGGGCGTAAGGAAGATGGACAAGGTGGTGTTGATGCCCACGACCCAAGCAAACGTCAGCAAATAGTACAGCGAGGACAGAAATACAGTCGGCTTGAGAATAACGCGAATCGGGCGCATGCACGCCTGGCCAAAGCTATTGCGCAAGTAGCGCGATGGATACTGCGCAATGCCCGTCAACCTTGCCATGCGTGAACCCCTGGGCGGCTGATTCTCCGGCGCGATACGGCGGTCATAATACGTCTCCTCTACGAAAAGAATAGTAAGGATGAGAGCGAGAGCAGTCTGCCAGTGTCCATGTCAGCTTCAGACGTGATCGTCACCTTGGGGATGCGCACCTCGACAAAGTACACCCAGAAGGGAATCTGCCACGAAAGGCTTGTTATCATAAAGGCAGCGAGCAGAGGCCCCATGTACGGAGACAGGATGATGAACACAGCCCAGATGTTGATCTTGCGGGCGCGCTCGTGGAAGAAGAACATGTCAAAGATGAACATGAGCCCTCCGCCCTGGGCGACGGTGCTGAAGAAGCCGTTGAGGATGCGGGCGGCCATGAAGGACTCGAATGTCGTGGCGGCGGCGCACCATGCGGCTGTTGCGGCGGCGAGGACGAGAAAATAGAAGAGGATGGGGAGACGGCCTGCCCACGCGGAGAGGGCGACGACGAAGATGCCCCCTGCGCCGAGCATGAAGACGTTGCCGACTTGCGAGTGGTTGACTGTATCTGGGCTCATGTTCCAGATTCTGGAAACGGGATTAGCAGCGGGAGCAGGGCGCTGTTAGAAGTCCATGGCTTGCTTACTCGGCCTGCGGGATGAGCGTAACGGCGCCTGTTGCGCTGCCGTAGTCGGGGAGGAAGGCGGCGAAACTGATAATGAAGAGAATCACATGCTTCTTGACCGGGCTCCAGTTCAGGGGGTCATGGGGATCCTCGGACGGTTGGGGAATTAAAATGGTGCGCCCGTTGTTGGCGGTCTTGAGGTTTCCGCGATGTTCGGTGTCCGTCCTGGTCACGTAGCCTTCTGATTCCTTGAACTCGTGGAGGTCCGATGTCGAATTGGGGTTGTCTGCGAACTCATTTTCGGCTGTTGATGTATCTGTAACCTCCTTGAGGCGGTCCATGGCGTTGAATAAGAGATGATTTGCAGTTGGCGTAGACAACGGGTTGTTTTCGCGATAAACAATAACGACCTGGTATAGATGTATCACCAGGTGAATCAAGACCCCTCAGGAGAGAACTTGGCCAAGATATATGGGACCTTGGAGGCTTCAGAAGAACACTTTCATGATCCGGCCCTTCTTTGCGGAAGTTGGGGACTGAATCTGGGGTACCCCGGACTTGGAATACTTCCGGAGGTGGCTGAGAGCAAGAGCCGGGGACGGGGCCGAGGCCCGGATCCTGTCAATCTTTCGGAATACGCATCCGAAATTGCCAGGATTGTTCAACATGGCTGACTACGAGAGCCGCTATTGGCGTGTCTGTGCACGACGGCCCGGGTCAACGCTTTGATCTTGTCCATGCAGCCTAATTCACGGGCTTTGTGCCCAATCAGCTTTTGAGCCGCCGATTTCCGTGCATGTACATTCAGATCTGTGCTTGGCAAACCGCCTGCCTAGTAGGATGCGAAGTGCTTGATAGGCCACGGTGATGAAACTCATTGCCGGCGGTTTGCCTACGTTTTCCGTCATCGCTTACATGGGCGGAACGCGGGAAAAAGCAAGAGAGCGTAACTTCCCGCTTGATATCTTTCATGTAATATAGAATACAGGTGTCCCCAGGCTCTAATTGGTTAATCAAAAATACATTCGTACTTATCGGCAACTGGTTAATGGGAAAATGTGGCTTACACCACGCACGTGTGCATCGCGAACCTCGCAATTTGGTGTTGTTGATGTCCAAGCCAGCTGCAGGCCACAGCGGGAAAAACAACAGCTTCAACGGCTTCAACGAGCCCAAATTCAGCAGTAGCTTTAATTTCGGCGGGCTAATAAAGGCCCGAATAATACCAGACGTATTCTTCCCTGGCCACCGCCGCTTTTCCTACCCTTAGGACAACTCGTTCGTTGGCATCACGGTGTTATGTACCTGCAGAAACACGGCTTTTGTATTATTACAAGACGCAGAAGGAGAATTTAAATGCTAACTAAACAACCATGGAAATAATCCTCTACCAGTTTAGGATCCGACAGAGGCGCCAGCATGCCAACGTAGCCGTCAGGCCTGATTACTGCAATAATTCCCTCATCCTTGGGCACGCCAAACACCTTGTACGCATCCTCGTTCTTGGCCAATCCATATGTCCGCATCTCGGCAAATGTCTTGACGCTGGGAGGCAAATCAGCCCACTCGAATCGCTCCGTCAATGGATGGAGCAGTACGAGATTGATGGCGCCCGCCGGGAACTTGTGGATAATATCGATAGACGATAGTATAGCTGATTGAGAAGCGCCATATTTGTCAAGAAGGTCGTTGCTCGCAAACAAAAGCACATGGTAGCGGCCCGTTGAGGGCATTTCTACAAGTAAAGTCAGCTCATGTCGATCCTGCGCCGAGTGAAACCCGTAAAAAGCATACCGTCTTGAAGATGTCGAGTGTTGGCATCGGCATAACGCTTCACCTGGACATCGAGAAGCCGCCTGCCGGGCGTCAACGCGCCACAGAGCGAATCCGCCTGGGAAACCTCCCCGGCAGTATCGACAGGTGTCCTCACAAGCCTGTTGGGTTTGTAGTGAAGACCGCAGCCGCTAGTGAAGCCATTTCCTTCGCTGAACACGCGGAGAAACTCGTCGTGCGTCAGGCCCGCGGCTTCGGCGTCCGCCGGGCCAATCTGCCCGGAAAACATGTGAGAAAACTGCGTGTCGAACTCAATGAGCTGACGAGCGATATCCACCCGCTCTTCTTCAAAGGTCTCTAGAACGGCGTCTGCTGCGCCAGAAGGCACACGAGGCGTCAGCCCGTGCAGGCTGTGGGCAAGCTTCCAAGCCAGGTTGTAAGAGTCCATCATGGACACGTTCATGCCCTGCCCGGCTTTCGGACTGTGCGTGTGGCAAGCTTTTCCAAGTCAGCATTTGTCATAGACATCGAGTATACGGGTTCGACGTACCGTCTCCCACGATGAACACTCTGTCCACGCCATCGTCGGCTCGGGCAGAGAACTTGGGCGTCATGCGCTGGCCGATCTGATATGCGGCCCACCAGTCGGGCTCTGTGCCTTGCTTGATGTTAATTTTGTATGGTGCAAAAACGGCCTGCGCCTGCTCAAAGATGTACTCCAAGGTAACGGCGCCACGTCTCTTCTTGTCGGCTGATTTCTTGTCCGTTTCACAGTCTCGATCCTGGGCCACCTCGCCGGGTACCTGGACGTAGAGGCGAGTAAGATAGTCACCAGTCGCGATTCGCTCTCGAGGAATCACCATGACGGAGCCTGCGTCCGAGTGCACCGCACACCGTTTGCGAATGTCGGGAAAGTCGGTGTCTACAACAAAGTCGCACACACCCCAGATGTGATCCGTCGTCTCGCCCTGCAGTTCAAGACCCATGCACTTTCGCACAAGTGAGCGGGCACCGTCTGCTCCTACGAGGTACTTTGTTCGAAGGGTGCCCTGTTGCGTCGTTCCATCCGCGAGGTCATATTCGTACTTGACCAGGATTGGGAAGTCGGGCTGGCTGTCGTCGAATGTGTACTCGAGGAAGCGATGCGACCTTCGGATTGTGTTGTTCGGCGCATAAAGATCCAGGTTCTCTTGGAGGATACGTTCGATGCGCCCTTGGTGAATGGTGACTTCGAAAGGGAAGCGCGCAGGCACGCTGACATCAGGGACGAAGCTGGTTCGCTCGATGCCCTTGGCGACTGATTCCACCGGGTTCCAAAATGCCACCTCCTCCATGTGACACCCCTCGCTGATTATTTCGTCCGCTATCCCGAGACTCTGGAGCACCTCCAACGTCCGGGGCTGCAGGCCGTCTGCCTGGCCGGCCTTTAATGTCCCCGGCTTGGAGTCTAGGCAGACAAGCGAAGAGTCTGTGATGCCATACCTGGCGAGTAACAGGGTCAGAAAAAGACCGCTCGGCCCAGCCTAGTATCGGTTTGTAAGTGGCCAATGCGAGTGTTTTGTCGGAAGTATGTTGCTTACACCTATGACTACCACCTCATGATTGCCCTCGGGGCTTGCACTGTCATCGCACTTGTGGGAAAGTCTTGGCAGTGGAGGAGCGCGCGACGGCAAGATTCTGAGATCTCTTGCGGCGGTTGAAGTTTCTTGGAAGACGGGCATTCTGCGAACTGGATGTGATTCTCGTCAAGGCCTGGCTTCGACGCCGTTTCGCAATTGAGCAAATCAGACTTTGAAGGCGGGCTGAGAATTGGATTCGGAGTCGTTAAAGTATAGAAGAAAGAACAAAGGAAAATCGATGACAAGAAGAATTCACTTGAAAACTTAAAAAGAGAGCTATTCTTGCGCTTTCCGCCCGTTCTTTCATCAACTTCCGGCTTCCGGCTGGGATATTTGACGACTTATCCGGCCGGAAGTTGGGGCCCCGGATGAAACCTTGACGCCACCAAACGTCAACCAATGTCATCAAGGGCTGTTGCATCGGTCATGGTCCTCTAGCTTCTTTTGGAGGCGGGGGAATTACAAATTGCTCCATAATGGAGTGCCAGGGAAGTGAGTGGGCGCATCTCCAACTTGGAGGCACAAGAGGACCGAAGATTTCCGGCCACCTCGCCATCCTGGCTTATCAACCGGGATTCAGCCACACGTGAAAGAATGCAGTCGACATCTGCCTTCTGCTGCATCATCACGTCCTTGGAATGGATGAGCCAAATCCGCCTCTGCCCGGCCCGCGCAACCTGCCGCGCGCGTCGCACGCATGTCAGCGATGTCGTGCGAAGAAGGCCAGGTGTGACCAGAGACAGCCGTGCGCCAACTGCATCAAGCACCTCGAGGAGTGCACGTATGGACTTCGAAGACGAAATAATCGGAGTAGAAATAGCCGAGCCCCAAGTTTGGACCTGTCGAGCGCGGAAAGTCCGCAACGTCGTTTGCCAACCTTCCCGTCTGCTCGAGATGACAGAGATGAGCCGCCGAGGGGGAGCCAGACCTTGGAACACTCTCAAGAATCAGACCGTGTAGGTGAGTTCAAGCCTCTTCCCTCTCACAAAGCTACCAGACCGAGACCAAATTTCGCTAATTTTCGGCCAAAGCCTTTGCGCAGCAACCGCTACCATCGAACAATGCCGATGTAGTAGGGCATGTCAACCAGCACACTCACGGAACCGAGTTTTACGGCACGTCGTCTAACTTTGTGCTTCTCAATCAATTCTTTGCGTATGCTCAGCAGCATCTCCCTGGGCATCCCAACTCTGGCGGCCTCAAAGAGACGTCGTATCTCTCTCCCGCCAGCGGCAGGGCCAGCGAGCCGTCCTCTTTTCGGGATCAGGGTAGCCCATGGACATCTGGAGGCATTGTTTCGGGACCTGGTCTCACTGCTCCGTCACCGGTTTCCATTGTCAACCTTCTTTCAAATGAAGAATCGCTGGAGCCGCCGTCGAGGCCAAAAACACCACATGATGCAGTAAATCAACAACGCGTTTCTGCGGAGGCTCCTCCTGCTCCGGGCCACACTAGAAACGAAAGTCATACGGAATTAATGCACCATGACGGCCACACATCCACTCCCAAACATGGCGCCAGTAGAGAGGGCACCAGCAATCTTCCGTCGTCTGCTCACGTCGCCACCAAGGGAAACCCCGTCCCCGATAGTCCTCTACAGGCTGCTAAGAAGGGGTTAGAGCGAGAATACGTCCGTGTATATATGAGCAATCTGCATCACATCCACCCCATGCTTGATCCCATTGGGTTTACAGCAAGATGCGAGGAGGTCATATGGGGTGTACAGACACCACTTGAAACGAACAAGGACCTCAGGCACTTCTTGGCCCTGTACAACATCGTGGTAGCGGTCGGGGCGCTCATCGCCGACCCCAGCATAACCCAGAACTTTGAGCCAGATACAAGCTCATGTATCAAGCAGCCAACACAATGTGAAGACTCGAGCTCAGCCCCTTCCAGCCAGGTACTGTCGAGAAAGTATTTCCGAAAGTCCAGGGCTTTGCTCGGAGACATGTTTGAAGTCTGCTCCTTAGAAAGCGCCCAAACCCTTCTTCTAATGGTGAGTCACTCTTCGGCCACGGTCTTCGGAGCATCCCATGTTGACCTTTATCAAGTCGCTGTACTGCCAAAACTCTCTCAAGCCGCACGCCTGCTACATGTACTGCGGGCACGCCGTCCGCACCGCCCTCGCCATTGGAATAGCCAGAGAATCCATGCCCAGCTCCATCGAGGACCACAAGGCCGCGCGACGAACCTGGTGGTGCATCTATTCCCACGAGATAGACATGAGCTGCAGCGCCGGCCGCCGCGACAGCCTTGGAAAGCCGCGAAACTACCAAATCAGCCTTCCTCGCATCCGGGACCAAGTATCCACGGCCTCCAACAAGTCGGAATTCGAAAACCGCAGCGTGGCCATGATTAACGAAATGGTTCACTTTGCAGCTATTCTGAGACGCATCTCGAAAGAACTGTACTACGACTCAAAGGGCCTCACTTTGCTGCAAAAGTCTACGGTTGCCAAGGAACTCGATGCTCTCCTGGGGGACTGGAAGGGCCGGCTACCAGAGTACCTCGATTTCAGCCGGCTGTCCTTCCGCGAAGCAGAGTGGGCGGCAAAGCAGAAGCTCGTCCTGCACTTGCGGTATTTGAACGCCAGGATCGTCCTTCATCGGCTTTTTCTAGAGGCCCCCGTGAGCAGGACGCGGGCACAGTTGTCGGGACACGTGGGCTCTTGTCTGGACGCGGCGCGGGACACCATCCGCGTCATGTACGACGCCTACACCAACCGGCACTACTTTCGGACGTGGTGGTACAACTCGACGTATACCTTGTACGCTGGCATGATTGTCCTATACATTGTCATGCTTGGCCACACTAGCGTGTCTGGTGACGAGCTTCTCGACGACGTCATCAAGGCGCAGGATATTCTCGAGTCCATGGAAGAAGCGGCTGTGGCTCGACGGAGTGCGAATTTGATACGAGAAGGCTTGGAGGTGGCGCGGGCGTGTGTCGAGAGCCGGTCGGATCAATCTGCTCGGTTGGAAGTGGCTGACTCTGAGCAAGAATACGGCGAATCGCAGGGCCAGCTGGGTGTCAGTTATATGGCGAATCAGCCGGGAAACAATTTGTCGAGGACCTTGTTTTCCCATGCTGTTCCTGGACAGGACCCTGCGCTATTGGCGTCTATTATAGATCCAAACTTGCTGCGGGATTTCACGGCAGCAGATAAGGATATGTCGGACCAGGAATTTGCGGCATTTCCGTCCGATAGCTTGTATGGGGAGGGGCTAGACGTTCATCTAATTTCGATGATGGTGTAAGGTAGTTGGTTGGGCTAGTCGAGTGATGGTGGTAGTTCTTGTAAATATTTACTGAATAAATAGATTGGATCGTGTCACGGATCTTACACGAGAGCTGTAATTACGAAATCTAGCGCACAATGGTCTCACCGACTTTGTATATGAACAGAGCTCTTTGGTCATCTATGCCTTGAAAACAACCACATGTGCAAGGACATTGAATACCAAAGACAATTATTAGATGAATTGAGCCATTGACTCCAAGCCCGCTACTGAACCTTTGTCACAAATTGTCAACTATTGCTTTAATGTTTATTGAAACAATATATATGGTTCTAATCTACATCAGGAACAGGAAGGTCGTCAATGAATCTGAATGTACGCCCCAAACCAGCCAGGGCTTCTTCCGCCTTTTGTCTGCGCAGTGCGGCCGCAGCCTTATCCGTGACCAGGACAAAGTCATAGGTAATCAGAGCAGAACCCAGCTTGACGTCGTACTTTTTTGCTATTTCTTCATCCTCAACCTTCTTCAACTCCACTACGAGCGAGTCCTTGACGCCAAAGACGGCATCGGTACATTCATACGGGTCGTCCTTGAGATAAAGCGCGCTGAACATGCATGTCAGTGGACACCCAATGAAGCTACTTTATACGTGGACTTACGTGATGAGAGGATCGTACCCGCCCTTCTTGAACATGAAGTGCATGTGACTCGGCCGGTAGGGGTGGCGATTCAGCACCTTGAGGAGCTTCCCTACCGGCCCGTCGTGCGGGATGGGGTACGGCACCGGGACAATGGCCTTGAACCAAAAGTTTCCCCGGTCATCGCTCGTCAGCACGGCCCTGCCGTCCGGCCCGCCCCTCTCTGCGTACTGCACGTCGTAGAAGCCCTTCGAGTCCGTCTCCCACACGTCGATTTCGGCACCCGAGATGGGGTTTCCGTCGGTGTCTTTGAGGGTGCAGAGGACGAGGAGGGGCTCGCCGTCGGGGTCATGCGATATGAGACTTCCGGCGCTGGCGTGTTCGGCCTCTTCTGTGTGGAAGGGCCCCAGGACCGTGCCCTCGGTGCTGCCCTTTGGTTTGGGATGATCGATTGAATCCACGAGAAGGGACAGTCCCAGAACGTCTGATAGTAGAATGAATTCCTGGCGAGAGGTGAGCTTTGAGTCTCATTGTGGATGCGCAGCCTTCATACCTGTCTGACGTCTGATGAAATCTGGCCAACTTGCGTTAGGAAGAGGATGGCTGCCATCCATTCGTTTGTGGTCAGTCTCGTTTCCCTGGCGAGCTCGTGCAGATGTGCGACCGTCCGCTCTAGGATGTATTTCAACCGCAGACTGCCACACTGCGAATTGATGGCGTGGACATTTTCCGTGATGTTGTCGGTGGTAAGATCTTTCAAGTTGACAGGAGCGGCCATGGTGCGAAATGTGTGTTTGAATGGATAGGATAACGTAGGTTGGTCTCAATTTGCGGCGCGCTTCTACATTCGAGGCGGAAACTGGGCTTAAGACTGCGCGCCGGCAGCCGGGCGGCGTCTTGCTTTTAATCATTCAAGTTGCTATTGGCCGCACCAAGACGCTCGGCATGTGCCGGGCCCGGCTTCTCCGGAAACCCCGCCTCTTCCGGAAGCAGCTTCCAACTTCCGATCCGGACTCCCCATGGGGCTCCGATGCACGTGTATGTATGCTGATCAAGCGTCAGGCCGTCTCAAAAGCGAGTAACAGATTCTCCCACTCCACCCGGTCATCGCGCATCATGTGCTTATATACTGATTAGACACTTGATGCTACCGAATGCATTAGCCGGCGCCGGACGCAGCCGTCACGTACTCGCGCCTTTGATTCCATTTCCCATTCACACTCGACAAGCGCACTTCCAGATCTCGGCACACTTCACCAACAAGATGAAGGAATTCGAGTACAACGTCCTTCCAAGCCGAGTCATCTTTGGCTCCGGCTCTGTCAAGAAACTCCCCGCTGAGATTCAGCGTCTCAATGTTTCTCGACCCCTTCTCCTCGCAACGCCCGGGAAGAGCAACTTCTCAAATCAGCTGTCTGACATCATCCAAGCCGCCGCCATCACTATAGCCGGCACTTTCCCCCACGCAAAAGCGCACACGCCGACCTCTGTGACGGAAGAAGCAACCGCCTTTCTCGCCTCCGTCGCCGCCGACTGCGTGGTTTCCATTGGCGGCGGCTCAGTAGTCGGCCTAGGCAAAGCCGTCTCCATTCGCACAGGAGTACCCCATATCAGCATACCCACGACGTACTCGGGCTCGGAAATGACGCCCATTCTCGGCGAGACGCAAAATGGCAAGAAGACGACGCGGTCGGATCCCAAGATTCTGCCCGCAGTCGTCATCTACGACGCAGACTTTACCATGACGCTGCCGCCCGCCATCTGTAGTACTTCTGGAATCAACGCCATTGCCCACGCCGTAGAGGCGCTCTACGCGACGAATGCCAACCCCATCACTTCGATGCTTGCGCTCGAGGGCATCAAGGCGCTGGCAGCGGCGTTGCCACAGATTGTCCGCAGCCCGGAATCCCAGGCGCCAAGGGAGGAGGCTCTTTACGGCGCTTGGCTTTGCGGCGCTGTCCTGGGGAGCTCATCCATGGGGCTTCACCATAAGCTGTGCCATGTGCTCGGGGGGTCGTTTACACTCCCCCATGCAGAGACACACACCGTCGTGCTGCCGCATGCGCTGTCGTATAACGCGCCTGCCATCCCGGAGCAGATGGCCAAGTTGGCTACTGTTTTCCCCGGAAGCAATGGAGACGCTCTACGCGGTCTGGAGCTGTTGCTGCAAGAGCTGGGGGTGCCGCGGGCACTCAAGGACTTGGGCATGGAGGAGGGCGATATCGAAAAGGCGACCGAGATTGCCGCGGGTAATCAGTACCCGAACCCGCGTCCACTGGAGAAACAATGGATTCGCGAACTGATTCGACGAGCTTGGGCTGGAGAAACTGCCAAGGCAGACTTGTGCAATGAGTAAATTAAGAATAGCTGTAGCGAGATGATTATGAAGATAGAAGATAGGTGGAGACTTTGTAAAAGCTGGAGAGACGGTTGACTCTCTTTTTCCCGGTGGCAAAGCTCCCCGTATATTTGTCAAGTCTTGAGCATCTCTTAGATTTCTGGCTTCTCACTCGCAATTCTCTGATAGTCAGAATCTTTGATAACCTCTCAATTCAATGGTTCCACCCGATTTGTATCTTTTGATTGTGTATTCTTTGGCTCAGTTGCTATGAATCGAGTCAAAGTAGAGGTTCCGGAAAGCCACGTCGCTAGCCAGGTCAGCGCAGCATGGATATTGCTGCCGACTGTACCGAAGCACCTGTGGGTAATGCATCTAATATAATATACACTGCTGTTTGTACAATATTCGAGCCGCTTTTACTACCACGGCTCTTGGTGTTGATATTGGCAGAAAAACGATGTCTCTGGGACAGTCATCCCTTTCGTACAAACTAGATGCGAGTATTGTTTTCGAACCAAGTTTATGTTATCGATGCCAAAACTCGATTCCCTGAATATCTAAATCCAAAACGACGTCAATAGTCTTGGCAAGACCCCTCGGAAGGAATCCGATCTTGTGCTTTCCAACTTTTACGGCATCCTACCCCATGATGAGTCTGAGAACTTGCCAGTCTACAGTTCTGTCAAATACATGATTCGCGGTGCCGATGGACATATTCAGAGCAGCTTCCGTACCTTTGATTAGGTTTCCTCTCTGCTTTCCATTTGCGTATACCTGAGGCTGAAGGAGCTCTCCGGCTGGAGTTTCGTCATCGGCGCTGATATGTGGTTTAAGGGTATATAAAGTCGGATACAAGGTTACTGACAACAATAATCTTGCTTCAGAGTACATCGATCCCTCTAGCCAGTGTTTACAATAGCCCTCCCAGTGCGAACTTGGAGGCCACGTATGCAATGCATGCAGGAGCAGAAAAATGAGCGGCTACACTGCGAATGTCAACAAGCATGTTTCCTTTCTGGTGTAAGCACGGGCAGTACTACTTTGATGCATCAAACCGCACACATTGAATTGGTCCGTTGTTGTCTCAGCATCGAATTCGGTCGCGCGAGTGAACAAGTTGGGTCAATGGTGCCTTATTTGCTGAGAGGGCCCGCGGCAGGAAAGAAATAACAGTCCTAACTTATTTCTCCTAACGAAATAAACCTCGCATATCCCAAATTATGTGTCGTGACATCATGTTTTACTTCTTCACTCTACTTTGCACAACAATTTCCACGTCCGCGTCGGTCGCATCTCACCCGGTATGGGCCAATAAACGTCGAGCCTTGCCAAAGAGTTGACACTCTGAATGTGACAAGGGTTCAACATAGAAGGCTTGGAGCAAAGGTGCTCAATTCAATAATAATCTCGAAGGGTCTCTAAGGTCTTGAGATGCTACAAGAGAGGAAGAGAAGGGTAACTGCCTTATATACATAAACGGAACGCCCGGGCCTATAGCTCTGGCCCGGGCACGTGTTCAAGCTGTGTAACTAATAAGTCCCGTATCGGTGAAGCCCCTTTATTGGGCGTCACAATCTGTTGGGCCTTTTCCGTGTAACACTGAAGTCGCAAAAGCCACGTGGCGTGGAAAAACGTCTACATATAAATTTGATTACTAGTGTCCCCCATTAGTCTGCTGTCAGACTGATGTAAACGCTTGCTCCGAGTTAGTAATGTTCCTTTCAGACGAGGCAGCGCATTTCATTGGTTCCCAACATCTTTATGAGATGAAACAAGCCTCAACTACCGAACCCCATGTCAACCAGCCATCCTGGCCGGGTAATCAAGTTTGGTTACATGGCTAGCGCGACGGGACGGACACGCCGGTGCATGTCGTCATCGTGGATGGCTTGGTATCCCGGCCACAACACATGCAGACAAAACCCAAACCCATGATATAGAAATCATGCCGACTTGTACGCTCAAATACAGTTGCTGCGCCTCACACGCTACGTCAAGGGATAATCTTACGACGACCACCTCTGCTGCAATTTGATGGGATACAAGGTTTTGCATGCCTTGTGCATGTTTTTGGGGCGACGTGGTCTTGGTTGGTGCATGACTGTTCATAATCTCCATGGTTACATTCGGCATATAAGCGACATGGAAATCACCGAGATTCCGCAAAACAGACTCCGGGCCATTGACAGCGTACGATTTTTCAACACACCATCCTCAGGGAGGGACAACACTGTCCTCGTTCTCTGCCGTCAAGTTGCAAAGGGCAAACCAAGCCACTGATCTGGAACCGGATGCTCGGGCGTGGTGTCGATCAGCCGCAGAGAGGCTTAGTTGCATGATAATATCCTTGCCACTTCCATAACTGGGAGGTCTGCTGACCCTTTGCCATTGGAGTCGACTCTTGTTTGATTGTGTTCAGTCACTTTGAGCGACGCAGAATTGGCGGGCGCGCGGAGAGGTAGAGAGTCTGGGATCGCCCGACGAACAGCCACAAAATAAGCATGAATATTCGGAAGTTTGCGTAAGATGCGCTGACGTGGTTTTTTTGCCCTGCGCCTTGACAGATAGTTACATGTACCTGTGATGATACGTGGCTTCGTACGCATTCGGCGTCAGCACGCGTATGCCTCCGTCTTACCCTCAAACAATTTTTGAGTTTTTAGCAATTTTACGTGATGGAAATGACGATAATTTGTGAGTCGTTTCAGGGCCTCGATTGACGGTTCTTTTGATGATGAAAAGTCTGAGTTGCTTGACAAAAATTCCTGCAAATTTAACCCCAGGCTTTTATAGCTGGTTGGGGACCCCTGCAAGGCCCTTGGGGCCGCTGACGATCATTTGAACCCTTAAATTTATCCCATTTTGACTCGGCAGCATGGTGTGCTCACGTGGGGGTTGCTTCCCTGTTCCTTGACAGATATTTCCGCGTGCAAATGATGATTCGTGGCCTTAAATGCATCTGGCGTCAGCACGCTTATGACCCAAGCTTGCCCTCAACCAATGGCATTCGAAGCCATCGCGGCATGGGCTCCGGGCTTTTCTCTTCCTGCATTATTTCATAAGATCAAATCATGCGAACCGAGTCATACAGGCCGGTCAGCCCGGAACTATGAGGCTACACGCCGAAAAATTGCACCGATTACCGACGGCCCGTTGGCAGTATTTAATCTCTGCCTCGGACTTTTATGTTTCGAGCTCATCATCCAGCAAAGCATCTTCTTCAACTCTTTATTGATCTTGAACCGGTACAATTGAGCAAAAGCCACCATCACAACATTACAATATCTTTAAATATGAAGATTTCAGCAACCATCTTCGCGCTCGTCCTGAGTTCAGTCGTGGCTGCTCATGACTGGGATCCGAGGTGTCCGACTGGGGAACTCTTCACCGAGTGCTCATATACAAGCTGTTTAGAAGAGGGACATGAATGTCCTTCTGGTCAGATTTGCTGCCCAAAGCCGTGTGGAGGTAGTCGGGTAAGTTTGCCTGCTGAGTGCAATTTCAAGTCGCAATGATGCTAATTGAGTAGTGTGTCGACTTGGACGAAAAGGATTCTACAGACAAATCCTGTAAATGATTTTACGTTTCTGTAAACTCTCAGGTGCAATAGATCGATTGGGGTGCCTTTTTTCAGAAGCTTGGCCATGGATCATTTGGATCACTATGATCATGCAGAGGCAGCCATAATACATACGACACGACCTAACACGACCTATTGCTTACAAAATTTTAACCACTTGTTGTATTCACATAGATTCTACATATTTAGATTTGAAACGGGAACCAATGCGATGGCAATCGTTCAGTATAGTCGTACTTATGCGCATATTTAATAGAATAGAGCCCTATGCCCTCGTTCCGCGGTCTTGATGTTACCAAGTGATTATTTATTTACGCTTTCTGACAATTTATATAGCTTGCAAGAAGTACTCCCCCCTTCGGTGCTTACTCAAGTTGCCTCCTTCCACAAATCCCAGTCCAATATGCTTTCCGACAGTGTCTCCGGATCTGGCATCTGTTGTATTATAGAGAAGAAATTGTCAGCCGAGATGCCAATACTATTGAGCAAATCCATGTTACTCGACGTATTGTGGCCAAGATCTTGCAGGGAGACATCGGGTTCCGGCATGCCCGCGCCTAAATTCTGATCGCCCACAGACAACCTAGCCTCGTTTCCAGCGTCAGCACCCCATGTGTCCATCGGCTCGCTCTCCAAATGGGACAATGTCAAAGTCTGGTGGCCCTGTCTCCTTCCTTGGACGGCCAACTCTGCGCACAGGGTTTCCAAGTATTTCAGCTCAGCCGTCCTCGCCCTTGCGATGCGGTTGCCTCTAGAGACCAACTCGTGAAGAATCTGGCGAGATAGGTGTCGGCAATGCTGATAGTCCACCACGTCGGGGAAGACGGCGCTGGCCATGGTCAGGTGAAGCGCGGCTCCAAAGGCAAATTCAACATCGTACGGTAGAAAGACTTCTGGAATATCGTGTCAGAAAGCTGAGCCGACTACCATCTTTATACGCGATGCATACCCAACATGCTGTATTCCTTGGACAGAATCTGGAGTGTTTTGGCGGCTGATTTGATGCCAGCAGAAATGACAGTGGCCGTTTGGGCCAAAAAGCCATCCCAGTTCTCATCGTCAGGATGGCCTAGCAACTCTGACCGCTCTTTGAGGGCGGCAAGAAGCGGCGGACGAGTCGCAAATATGACACACTATGGTAAAACGTAAGCACGGTGTAGATGGCAAGGGATGTCAGATCGATGAGGTCGAACCTGATGGTACAACATGGTCAGATAATGTGTCTCTCTGGGCATGGCTCCTGGTGAATTGTCAAACTTGAGACGTATGATTCTTTCTATTTCCTGTGCATGATGAGCCAGGGTATGCAGAATAGATCGAGTCTGCTCCAGGAAGGACGTCAGAGGGGTTCGGGCGGGCAAATAGACCGCTACATGCCGAGTATTAGCGCAAGGGACGAGAAGTAACACATGGCAGAGCCTTACTGGTAACGATGATGGACATTAGGTGAGAGAGATTGACCTGAAGACTACGCGCACTGTCACTTTGCGAACCTACATTCGGCGGGTTAACAGGTGTGGTTATGTCACCGTCTTGAACCGACATGGGCAGTCCGAGCGACGAGGAAAAGTGACGGTCCATAATGTACAACGTCCACCAGAGGTCCCGGCAATGCGTCACCTTCTCCGCGCCAAGCTCTTCTTGGGGAAGCTGTGTATGAAGACCCTCCATTTGGGCGATGCGTATCGCATTGCTGAGCTGACAAGACGAATTAGAAACAGTCAAGGTGTTTCCTGAGTCGCCAGAACATAAGGGGGGCGACCTACATAGCAATGAGCCGACTCTCTGTCGTCGATACAGAAGAGGTACAGGCCCGCCATGGCCAAGATTTCAATCCCCAGCATGCTCTCTTTCCACATGCAGCCAGGGCCCGGCATGAGGGCCATGGCTCTCGAAAAGAAACGGGAACCCGGTGGTTCCTGGGCCGTCGTGTGAGATGTGTGAAAAGCCGTGCCGAAGGCTAACACAAGGAGGAACTTGATGAACCACACGCGGTACTCTGACACATTTTGTACCGCGTTTGCATAAAAGTCCTTGATCTCGCTCTCGAACTCGACTTCATCAAACAGTCGATACGTCTGCCCGAGATGGAATTTCATAGTGGTAAAGAGATACAGTGCATGATTAAGTGATGGTAGACCTGAGATGTTTATTTCTGAAGCCGAAAAAGACGGCCACGGGAACTCGTATACCTCTGTGTCGAGCACGTTCTGCGGAAGAGATGAACTTCCGGGCCGGAGCTTCTCGCCCAATGTCAGCATGAGACGCACCGTAAAGGACCATGTTGACCAGGGAGAGAGCCAGACTGCCAAAGCCAAACACGAATCAGTCACGGTCCAAAGACGCAGGCGGTTTTTGGTGCCGACTTACTCCATTGTCTCCTGTTTCTTTGGAAATTCGGAATCGTCCTTGAAGGTATGACAAACGGATCTGTGCGCAACCGAAACTCTGGCTCACTCTGTGGCTCGCTTTGTGGTTGTATCGCGACATCTGGGCATTCCTCGGCCTGCAGATTGCTCTGGCCGTCCGACGTTGACACGGGAGACGTGAGATGCCTGCAACTATCAGATGGGCAGTAATTTGGGGAAATAATGTCGCTATCCGGACCGAGGGCATTATTCAATGTCCTTTTTGCCCTGGGGAACAAAGTCGTACTGGAGGCGGCATGCGTGGCCGGCGGCGTCTTGCCGGACACCAGAGGCGGCGATGACTCCGTGGTTGAAGACAGTCTTGGTTGACTCGGTGCATGCACTTGCGGCTCATGACCCCTTGTAGTCGAAGGTGACGGCTGTTGTCTTTCCGCTCGCCTCCGTAAATCCTGGAGGTATTTGCCCGTCACAACGACTTTGTGGCTGCCCGCGTCCGTGAACTTGCATGGAACAAGGCGTCGCTGGCAACTTTGGCACGGCTGCCTTCCGGAACACTTGATCTTGCTTTGGCGACATGCCGCACAGCTATGGAAACGAATCAGTCAATCACATTTTTACAGCACATTCGGCAACCATGGTGGAAACAGGCAATGGTCGGCATGTCGCAAGCTGCAGAATGTGAAGAGGCGGTTTCTTACGCGTTGGGCGTCCTCCTAGCCCTGCGAGTGTCAGCCTGCAACGGCATCTTGCTATTTCCACTCCAAACAAAACACGGTTTGTGATTGAAGCGGCATGGAGCAGTTTGAGTGATTTCGCAAGAATCATTGATATCGACGACGGCTTATGAATCGATTACCCGGTTGAGCTTGAACAACGCAGGGAGGTGACTTTGTGCGGGGCACATCGTTACGATCAGGTAGTGTAGTCCAAAAATAGTCTGGTGCAGGGCAAATTCGCACTAGTGCTGAGGCTAGCCGATCTCGGTCTAATTGCCTGGCTGCTTAGGTTATTAGCCAATAGTAGTGGCGGCTCTGGCGCCCAGCACGTTCCCATATTATTACCGTGGTGGCATAGTTATGTGGCAGAGCAATAACTCAATTCAGCTACTAATAGTCTTTGGTAGTATCAAGGGTCTTCGGTTTTCTTGAAGGCTTGGGAAAATGGGGGGTTCTATTTGTACAAGAAGTCGGTGAGCCTCGTGCCCCAAGGTCTCGTGATCGTAGCCCTTGTGTACCTCGTAATTATACTTTATAGCATATAATACGTATTAAATAAGAAACGTGTATTCTATCTTACTATATTTTTTATTGCATAGGAGAAAAGAACCTTGAGAATCTACGTCTCTGACAGGTGGGTTCATGTCACACGGTTAGGAGTCAGGACCCAATAACAAGGCTAAAGGGGCATCGCCGATAAAGGACCTGAAGGATAAACTCGGCAAATTATAAACACATGACCCGGTGGAAACCTGAGGCACAGCTGGTTCCTTCCCTTCCTCTTGGAAACCCAAGGACCTTTAATATCAAAGACTTAGTAGCAACATGGCTCTATGGGAACCTGTAACGGTGCCGGCACCGTAACAGAGGTGAAAATGATAGCACCACATGCAGCTATACTATCAATTGATAGCCTTTTACGGTGCCATCACTATACTGGATTTGTAACACCACATGTAGATGGTACCAAGGTCTCGTAGTGGCCCACTATTGCTGTTATTAGATGAATTCGGGAGTCATTGCTATATGCCTTTCGCCCGTTTCACACAAGATGCCCGGATCCGGCGCCTCGCCGCGAAATGGGATAAATAGTGCCGCGCTCGACGATTGACAAGTTAAACGCAGGCCTCGTTCATCCTTGCACAGTATACACATGATGAGATTGTCGCAATTTGTCACCGCTTTACCCCCGTGGCTCGGAGCATGTGCAGGATCAAGATGGCACGCACAGCCGAACGTGGTCGATGTTGATGTCGCCATCGTTGGCGGCGGCGCTGGCGGCATCCACGCCGCAATTCATTTGAAGGATGCCGGCGCCAGTGTTGTCGTCATCGAGAAAAAGGACCAGATTGGCGGCCATGCGGAAACATATATCAACCCCGACACCGGCGTAACCAGCAACGTCGGCGTCGTCCTCTTTGAGAAGACGGAGCTGGTCAAGCGCTACTTCGCACGCCTCGGAGTTCCCGCGATAACTTCCACCCTGGCGGCCGGCTTTTCTTCCAAACCACTGTCAGTAGAGCTGTATGACTTCGCCTTGGGTACGCGCATCCCACCCACAGATGCCGCAGACGCCATGGCCCAGCAGCAGGCTGTTGAAGCCGCCGCGCAAGCTTACACGCAGAATGTCCTGAGCAAGTACGCATGGATCGACCAGGGCTTTTTTGTCCCAGACCCCGTTCCCGAGGAGCTGTACCTTCCCTTCAGCCAGCTCGCAGACAAGTACGGCTTCTCTGCCCTGCTTCCCACCGTCGCCCAGCTGAACTGGTATACGGGCAACCTCACGACCATCCCGGCCCTGTACGGCCTCAAGAGCCTCGGACCTGGCTTTCTGAGCAGCATCCTTGAAGGAGAGTACATCTTCTCCGGCACTGGCGACACCAGGAACCTCTACGACAAGGCCCTGGAGGAGCTGGGCTCCAGCGTCCTCTTGAGCACCGCCATCCTCAGCGTTAACCGTCACTCCAACTCGACCGGTGTCACCCTCCTGGTTGCCGAGCCCGACAAGGCCCCTACCACGATCCGTGCCCGCAAGCTTCTCATTGCCATTCCGCCGACACTGAGCAACATGTGCGCCTTTGACCTCGACGAGCAAGAGCGGGCCATCTTCTCCAAGTTCTTCTCCCTTGGCTGCTTTGCCGGCGTGGCCCGGGTCCCCGGCTTCAACGGCTCGCTTATCAACTTTGGAGCCCAGACCCCCTTCAACCAGCCCATCATTCCGGGGAACAGTGTCTTCGTCAACGCCGGATCGCCTGAGGAGGTCTTGATCGCCGCGGGCTTCGACAGCGGCGACGTCACGGATGAACAAGGAAAGGACCTCGTCCGCAAGAACCTGGCCACCCTGGCGGCGGCGGGTGCCGTTCCGGAAGACGCAGCCGAGACTGTCACGTTCCCGTACACCTCCAACCACACGCCGTACAATGTGCGCGTCACGGCCGAAGACATCAGGGCCGGTTTCTACACCAAGTTGCTGGCGCTCCAGGGCTCCCGTAACACATACTGGACTGGGGCGGCGTTTGCGGGCCATAACAGCGCTCTGGTCTGGACGTGGAACGAGGGGACGATTGTGCCTCGCCTGAAGGGGGAGCTTGGACTGGAATGAGTCGTCGTGAGTCTTTGCCGTGTTGGCTCTTTCGCCCCTGGAAGATGCTGAGGGTTTACTTTATAATTGGCATCCCGCTGGGGCGAGTCCTTGGCAACACTATGAAAATCACATCTTGAAACAGCGTCAAGTCCTTTTCGACGTGTTTACTTGAAGGTCTCGACGGCCTGGGCTGTCAAGACCAAGTTCTTCATTCAAAGCATCGGCCATTATTATATGGCACTTGTAATTTGTATACAAAGCCATCATGTCATTCAGTTTAATTCATTTCAATTCAAACCACTGTTACCAGTCTGAGTCCTTGGCATTTAATTGCTATATCCATGTTGATGGTATTCTCCAAACCTGGATCTGACCTCTATTTTCCAAAAGACGGGATATTATACCATACACGTTGACTTTAATTGCAGCAGCCGTGTTGACAATACCCTCGGACCTCTCCATCCTATCGTTTATTTTCTGTGAGGAGAATATCATTATTCCGGGTCCCTGGCTAGAATCAGCTATAGCTATCCTGATAGGGCTCTTTCATATTTATATCTCTGTGAGCCTGCCGACCGAGACCAGCCCGTGGACCTCTCATTGTTTGTGGCGGGCAGTGCCATCGAGATACCGATGAGGAGCATAGCAGCAACACTGAGGGACTTGATATGAATTGTACAAGTAGTTCAAGGCACGACCCTCTGAATCATGTAACAAGAGTCAATATGTAAGACAGTCTTTCATTAAATTTCATGAGGCGCATGTCGAGATTTCAAAGGTGTAAATGAACACGAAAGTTGGTACTCGGTAACGATGCCTTCTCTCCCTGGTCAGACAAAAAATCAAGAGATGTAAAAGACTCCTTGGACAGGACAGGATAGCATTCATAAACTAATGTATACCCGAATGCTCTCTAAATATGCTCCGGCCAATTTGGTGGTAATACCTGACGTTGGAGCCTCTTCTTGATTCCTTTGTACCGAGTGCAGAATCTGTGACATGGCTAGTTATCTTGGACGGGTGTGCTTGACGAGTGTCGCGAGGATTGGTGGAGGGCCGATGGAAACGACCGGATCATTCTGGAGACTTCCAAGCGTTGTGTTGCTTGTCGGTCCCGACTCCTGTGCCGCAACACGCGACTAGGGTGGGAAGACGGCCCAATAGCTATGTCATTACTTTACACGTCTACACTGTGCATCCATTGTCTCTCGATGTGTCGGGCTTTTCTTTTGACACGACTGCGGGCCATCCCTCGGCACATCATGACGGCCCAGCCCCGGAAGCGACCCTCCACAAAACGCCACTCGGCTTCTTCACCCGAACCCTGCTGATTCGGATGACGGATGACGGATAACAGATGACAGATGACTTGATTCCTTGGACATCAATCATCTGTTAATAGTTCGTGTGGTACGGCAGAACCGCCAACCCAGCACTGTGACGAACACCAGACTGAGTTCAGTCCGCACAGCCTCGGGATCCTATTCCGTGATGTGACGAGACGTCCGGATTCTGAAGCCGACTCAATAGTCGACATGTCACAGATTTGGGCTGCAACCAAAGGGAGTCTTATCCAATGTCAATGCATAATTCAATTTCTTTTGGTAACATGATTGCTTCTCGGGAAACTCGGGGGCGTCTTTTAGGCGGGACTTGGGAGCGTACCGATGCAATAAGTATGCAACGCGTGCACATGGCTTCCCTCGATAAGGTGTTGGAGTGAGCCTTCGGCTTCTGTGGCTTCGTTTTCCCTCCCGGTAGGCTGCAACAGATGATATAAACTGCTCTTGACCACTTCCAATCCCCCTTCTCTTAGTCTCTGCTCTCCTCGGGTACAAGAAAGCCCCATAATCAAGAGGATAACACGCACCCATGATTTGATCTTCCGTTGGTGTCAACATGCCGGCTTTGTCTACTACTCCGACACTGGACCTCGGTGAGGCCTCTCCTATGAAGGCGCCTCCCGTCGTTGGACCAAAGACCAAAAAGGCCACTCGTCCAAACACAGCCATTCCCAGCTTTCTCATTGAGGAGGCGCAGGCCACACCCACAGATACCTGGGAGGTCCAAAGACACATGGCCTTTGAGCCTCCGGCAACGATTACCACCATGAAGGAGATTGGGCTTGAAGGGCAGGGAATTTCTCCCAACGCCGTCTCCGCCCCCTTCTCGCTGTTTACCAAAGAAGCAGTGTTGCAGATGAGACGGGAAATCTTTAGCGAGCCCGTCCTCAACGAGTGTCGCTACAGCTCAGACTTTATCGCCAACATGATTCGTGGCATGGGCCGCGAGTAAGTAGCCACGTGTGCATGGAGAAAAAAGAAAGCACTAGATTCTGACTGACGAGATTGAAGCCGAGCCCCGTTTACATACCAAGCCTGGAGCTCGCCGGAGGTACTCGACAAGATTTCCCAAGTAGCGGGCGTGGAGCTGGTCCCGGCATACGACTACGAGATTGCCAACATCAACATCTGCGTCAACGACGACCCGGAGGCGGCAGTCGACCCCGACCCCTGCGCCGATCACGTCTCTGCAGTGGCCTGGCACTACGACAGCTTCCCGTTTGTCTGCGTGACCATGGTTTCCGACTGCGCGAGCATGGTGGGCGGCGAGACGGCCATCCAACTGCCGGACGGCACGGTCCAAAAGGTCCGCGGGCCGAGCATGGGCACCGCCGTCGTCATGCAAGGGCGATACATCTACCACCAGGCGCTGAGGGCGTACGGGTGCCGCGAGCGCATAGCCATGGTGACTCCCTTTCGGCCGAGGTCGCCGCTGGTCAGGGACGAGACGATTCTTACTGGTGTGAGGGGCATTAGCAACCTTGATGAGCTGTATCCGCAGTACGCCGAGTATCGATTCGGCGTGCTTGAGGAGCGTTTTCGTGAGAGGCGCAGGGATGAGCGGTGCCGAAGGGGCGCGGGTCGCTGCTTTGACCTTGAGTCTGCAAGAGCCTTTATCCGGGAACAGAAGGAATATTTGGAGAGCATGCTGGAGCAGATGTACGAGGTGGAGTAGAGCAAGGTTGTCACATGTATCAATGATGTATTCAAGCTTGTCTGGTGGGCTGAGCGAGGCTGAGCATGGCTCAGACTCCGAGATGACACAGGCCAGTTGACGGCTACCATCACGGCGGCAAAATTGGTCCATGCTCGGCCTGGCAGTCTCTAGTAGGTTTCAGCAGTCTGGTATATTTCGTCGATTGTTTTCATTAGTTTCTTTCAAGTCCTCTCGTCAATTCAGTCAAGCATGGTTACAATGTAACCATATGGAACCCGCCTGCATGATGCTAAACCTGACATGTTGGCAGGCTTGGCATGATGAGACAAATTTTAATCAACGTAAGGTGAGGAAACTGTTCCTCGGTCCGGTCCGCTTCAGCTTAGAGTGAGCCGGCCTTATGCCGTAGTCAGTCGTGAGCGCAAGGTTCAGGGTGGCAATCCGACTAGCTGTCACTGGTGCCGTCGTATTGACATTGATCCCGGTATGACTCCCAGTCTGCGGAGAGGGAGAATTTCCAACCGGACTAGAGAGGCAATTTTGCGGGCCGGCCAATCATGGCATTGGATCCCTACTTATGTACACATGTACCTTGGCGTTAATGCTTCGATATATGACTAGCCAAGGGGTACTTGTACTTTAATATAAACGCAATACATGATTGATTACCTACTTAGGTAGGCAATACGCTTAACATGTGAACATATACACGGCTTAATTCTATAAAAAACATTATATGACATATTTTCAGTACATCTAGTTGAATTGCCCAACATGTCCAACTTGGTTTCCAAACCCTCCAGTCAGCTTGAATACACCCAACGTTGATCAGCCCACAGAGCAAGTTCTCATCACAACATCCCGTAGTTCCGGCACACGCTCCCCGTGTTGTGGGCCATGCGGGCTTCGAGTTTTGCGCCGAGCCTTGCCAAGTTCAGTCATGGCAGTGTACAGTCGCATCATGCTACACTGCCTTGGAATTAAGGATTTATGCAAGCATTCTAGTACTCGATAATCCCGTTCTTGGTATACTAAAAAGGAAGGAGGATGACGGGTGCCAATTGTGACATCAGGAGACGTCATGTCATATCCCACACTGCCGTCTCGCAGCGGACAGGATTGCATAATACCTAAGCAAATAGATTGTAAATCGAGTCAGTGGAGGAGACGCAATGTTCCTTTGTCTCATGGACCTAGGACCTAGATGGCTGGTTTTGCAGGGCGTAGAATGTATAGCCTCGTAAGGGACAGGCCTACTCTGCGCCCTTGGGCATCAATGGATTGTTTCTGCACCAGGCCATACTCCCTCACCCTCGTCATCATCCTACAATGCGCAAACGCTATGAGCTGAATACCCTGCTGGATTGTTACAGAAAGTTCGTAGAGCCGCGTGGCAGTAATCGGATGATATTGCATACGGCATTTGACGTAGAATGCGGAACAACAAGCTGAAACAACGTTCAAGGAGATTCATAAAGCACGTTTAGTTGAAGATACTTAAAGACTGCCCTCTCCTTCAAGTTGGATATTTGGCTCTACAGTCAGACATTCCATACATTCCACACATTCCTCGCCTCTCGTTTCTCATCCACAGCAAGCAGGCTGTCATTCTCACACTCAAGAACAAACATGAAGACCTCTCCTTTGATGCTCGCCGGCCTGCTTGGCCTAGCAGCCGCTGATCCAATCAAAAGGCAGCCAGCGACTCCTACTCCTGCTCCCAAGAAGACGATTCCAGGACATCTCGCGTACATACCCTGGAAGGTAGACAAAGCCCCAGCTGATGGTCTACAGGACGTCACATTTCCCATATCCATGAAGGACTCTATTCGCGAAAGGGGCTGGTATTTTGCACAAAACTTCCAGTTTCACGGAAAATCGGGTAATGCATATATCGGAGTCCAGCCACGCCCGGCTAATTCCAAAGGCCCTGTCGACCATGCCGCCTTTTCAAGCTTCATGCCTGGAACCAAGTCGACGGACCGCAACTGCAGTCCTGGTGCTGATGGCGGACCCGGTGTCAGCTGCTCCGTCCAAATCACCGGCACCGATGACCACTCCTATGACCTCAGGGTCGAAAACATAGGCAACACAACGTGGAAGGGAACCATGGTGAATACTGTTTCCAAAGTGGAAACTCACATCGGATCGTGGACTCTGCCGGCAGGCGCAGGGGGGATGAAGGGAAATTATATAGGCTTCTTCGAGTGGTGGCCGTTCAATGACCGTTCAAAGCCACCGACGTGCAACTTGTTGAAACGCACTACGGTGGCATTTGGGCCGCCCAGGACTTCAACGGCAAATGCTGGTGCTGGGAGCTTGGGCAATCCGTACGAGGTCTATGAGTGCAAGGGCAAGACTGACTACAAGACCAAAAAGGTAGGAGACAATGTTGAAATCAGCCTTGGGTTTTGAGGGGATACTTTATCGCCGGTTATAGGGAGTAGTAAAAGACAATATGGTTTTGAGGGCCTCCCAAATGGCAGAGAATGATAGAAGGAATCATAGAGCATGGAAGCCCTAGGGTTTTTCATCCAGCTAGGCAACTGGCTAGCTAGCAACCTAGTACGGTTTTTTCCCATAGGCATGTATATACAGGGTTTCTAGTCTAAATTGACATCTGACGATAATTATCGAGGCCTCAGCTCTGCATATGGAGTGATTTAGTTCAGTAGGCATCCTGTCAGGGTGGTTATCAGGTTTAACGGCCAGGCCATGAAGCACAAAGATGCAGCAATAGCGGCTCATGCCGAATATCCCTGATTTCAAGCTTTCAAGTTGTGCACATCTTGGCTCTCTCTCTTCTCTACGGCCTTTAATGAAACCGTAGTTCAATGCGATTCATAGCTGCTACATCGTGACGGGGGTTTCCTCAGCCAAGTCTCCCATAATGTTCACACCGGTGCAATGACCTGGTGTTACACGGAAAAGGCCCAACAGATCGTGAAGCCCAACAAAGGGGCTTCGCCGATAAAGGAACCTGTTGGTTACACAGCTAGAACACGCGCCCGGGTAAGAGCCCTAGGCCCGGGCGTTCCTTTCATGTATATAAAGCAGTCACCCTTCCCTTCCTTCTCTTAGCAACTTAGGACCTTTGATATCCTACGAGATTATTATTGAATTGAGCCCTTTTTGCTCCAAGCCTTCATACTGAACCCTTGTCACACCTGGTGCAATTTAGAGCAGAAACTCCAATTTTTAAAACCCAACCATTACTTGCCTTCTGCGGCGGCTTTGCCCTGACTTGCGGTAGACTGCAGTGGGACAATATCGGCACATATTTAACTCCCCGGAATAACCCGCACGACTACTATTTGTTATGCGATAACTTGCAGCAAGATTCGACATGGCTTTTTAGTATTCGCTGAAGGGTTTTCACGCATCTACCCGTTAGCAACCAAGTGGACTAGCCACTTTCTTTTCCGGCATATATCACATATCCGCCGCGGGCTCCAGGTCCATATATGAATACACCAGACATCTTCATGTAAGACGCCATGTCGACTGGTCAGGAGTGAGACCCTCGAACAATCAACACCAAACGCTCGGTATATTGACAATGTTTTGGCAGGTCCACGAGATTCCAAACGGCTCCAGGGTCCAGCGACAAAAAGAAGTCATCAATATGGAATCCAGTCCTCAGTTCGATCCATAGCGGCCAATCGTGACACGCTGGCCTTTTGCTGCCAAGGACGGAAGAGCAAATTAACACCCAACATGGAACGCGAAACCCACAGCTGAGTCAGCACATCTTTGGGCTTTGAAAGTCTCAACCAGTTCCATGCCCGAAACTGACGCAAGAGGCAAACACATCAATGCTTTGAGGCATTCAACGGCGTGGTAGCCGCCCGGTAGACCGTGCGAGACACACGTCCTGATGCGTTTGTGCTGTCCACTGAACTCCAAGGGACTCATGTCGTCAACAAACGCGCCAAAACATTCGTCTTCTGTAGCCATCGCCAGTCTGGCAGTTTCTCGCCGGACACGCCTCCGCCCGCTCCGACTGCCGCACGGCGACGGCGCCGACACGGCTTCAAGGGCGCCATACACCCAACAGATCGTCCCAACGGACGTCCACCATGGCCGACGACGTGGCGGTCAAGCTTGCGGTCCTCATAGACGCGGACAACGCCCAGCCCAACATGGCGGGCGTGCTGCTCGCCGAGATCGCCAAGTACGGCACGGCCTTTGTGAAGCGCGCCTACGGCGACTGGACGGGCACCAACCTCCGCGGCTGGAAGGAACAGCTCCTCGAGAACTCCATCCTGCCCATCCAGCAGTTCGCCTACACGCAGGGCAAAAACTCGACCGACGCCGCCATGGTCATTGACGCCATGGACCTGCTGTACTCGAACCGCTTCGACGGCTTCTGCCTCGTCTCCAGCGACAGCGACTTCACGCGCCTGGCCTCGCGGATCCGAGAGTCCGGCCTGCTCGTCTACGGCTTCGGCGAGCGCAAGGCCCCCAAGGCCCTCGTCAGCGCCTGCGACAAGTTCATCTACATTGAGAACCTGTCCCAGAACGTCGACCTGGCCGCCGACATTGCCGTCCGGGCGCACAGGGTCGCCGGGACCCCGGCCGCCAAGTTTGTCACGGCCCAGAGCCTGATCCAGGAGGCCATAGAGGCGAAGTCGGATGACGACGGCTGGGCAAACCTCGCTGACGTCGGGTACCTCATCACCAAGTGGCAGCCGGACTTTGATGCTCGCAGCTTTGGATTTCTGAAGCTCAGCCACATGATTCGCTCGGATCCGTTGCTGGACGTTACCAAGCGCTTCCCGGGTGAGGGGAAGCCTCCCGTGGTTTATGTCCGGGGCAAAAAGCGATCCAAGTAAGGCGGCGTCTTGACTTGCCGCACGGGGAGTATGTAGAGAACCCCGACCCTTTTATCTCGGCGGTTGATGCCGGGCTGTGCAGAGTGAGCGCTGTGCTGTGTAGTACAGCATGGTGGCCCTTGTTGGCGCTTGTTGACGGCATTGGCATCTTTTACAAACTCGGCACCTTGATTTATCCACTGGCGCGGGTTACGTGGTGAATTCAAAGTCGAGTTCTGACGCGCCACTGGACGACGCGGCAAAATACTGTGCCCAGACTGAGATATCCTTGTGTCCGCGATGCCCTACATCATAGTTGAGTAGCCTGTACAGACTTTTGTTCTTGGCTTTGACTTGACCGTGCTGTTCTTGATGTTTAGCCATCTACTTGCTATGCCAGCAGCTAGTTATTTTCAACCCGAAAAGGCTGTCATTGATGCTGGTGGTCACTCTCTGTGCTTTATGACTGAGTCTTGTATTTGAATAGTAATGTTTCACCATATTTGAATGGCTAGTGTAGCCGTAATCTCCCCAGAGACTGCTAGGTTTCCTGTGAAAACCGTTGTTCACACGAGTGGCATAGTTTCACTACGTGACGCGCACGTACAAAGATGTTGACCACGGCGGCGGTGATGGTGCAGTCGTCCAGCCATAACCTGGCCGCCTTAATCCTTCAGCCCATGAGGTGTAGCATTACTGAAAATACGTCAAGACGCCAGAAGGTTGTCGTGATGGCAATGGCTTGAGATTGCTTCGTCTTGTCCAAGTCGAGCCCTTGTGAAATAAGTGGTCCGTTCGTAGGATTAACTAGAAACAGGGTTGCCGGAGAATCATGAGCCGGTGATGTACCGTCGACGGTTTTTAGCCATGCTTCTCACCAGTAGTTGTGTTTGTCTGCCTCAGACAACGCCCCCGGGTGATGACATGTGACAAGGGTTCGTATAGAAGGCTTGGAGCAAAAGGGCCCAATTCAATAATAATCCCGCAGGATATCAAAGGTCCTGAGTTGCCTCGAGGAAGGAGGGGAATAAAGACCACTATATATACATGAAAGCAACGCTCGTGCCTAGTGCTCTTGCCCGGGCACGTGTTTACTCTGTGTAACCAACAAGTCCCTTGTCGGCGAAGCCCCTTTGTTGGGCTTCGCGATCTGTTGGGCCTTTTCCGTGTACATGACGGGTCCACGGGCCCATCTCAGTCGGCAGGCTTATGGCCTTCGTAAATGCAAATATCCGGGCCATTTCGTGACTCTAAAGTTGACAAGTCCGACTATATTCGCTCCGGACATGAAGGTTAAACTATTTTCGCCACAGAGTTAGAATATGACAACGTGACATTCGTGTAACAGCAGCTTGGAAGACGTCCCGGTGCGCGAGACATCTTGGCAGCTTGGGAAGTCATGACATTGTCTCAGATCTCTTTGTTTCACAATTTACTGAATAATGCGTCTGGTGTAAATTGTCGTTGGTGCTCTCTGGCGTAGGTAGTAGCATCAAGACGCTTCCAATGACTGCCACACAGCCGGGTAATGAGACCAACCTGGCCGCGGCGGTAATTGCCCGGTATCAGCTTTACGAATGTATCAGTCTTCTTTTTTTCTGCTTTTTGCAATTTTCAAGACATAAAGGCACTAAAATTTCAAGCTAGGGAACTCTCGCCTCCGCGGTCGCCCGGTAAGCGGTGTCTAGTTTCAAGGACGTAGGGCCTTCATGATGGACACTCGGAGTGTCATCAGGTACTGTTTCCTGGCGGTAGATTGACCTACATGGTCTACAGTTTCTAGGTTCTAATGCTCAACGACTAAATACTTCCGAGTGGTTCACGTCTGTTGAGCCACCAGAAGTGGAGGACATCCACCAGATGAAGATCTATCATGCCTTATATCTTGGAGTAATATCAAGCATTGCCATGCATGGCTTTGCAACTCGCAGACAAGTTCAATGCCGCAGACAGAACAGGAACCACAATGAGCAAATAATAATGCCAAAGCAGTGAAACCGCACAGCTTCCTCATTGCAAGCGGTCTGTGCCATGGCAGCCGGGTGCAATTTGAGTCCAGCTACAACTGACACTAATGCTGCGATACATATACGACGAGGAACTAGGCCTGCTTTCCTCGAAGCAGTGGAGACACATGGCATAACAGCTCTTTGCAAGATGCGCTTGATGCGTACAATATTTACTAGCGCCTCTATGTACGGAGTCCGGGGCTGTACATGTATAGGTACACGCCGAGTATATAAAAACGAAACAGCGCCATCGCCCTTCAACAGCCGGTCCCTGCTAACCCAACGCCACGGGTTGTTATTCGCCCTAGCCAGCTTTTATGTAAGTTCAAATGTTGGGACTAAAACCATCGCTGATCTCCCCTTGTGCCGCACCAGTCTGTTCCTCCAGGAAGCTGACGGCTCTCGCGGTACTGGCCGGGGATGCTGGCGAAAGCAGACCTGCATCGCCCAAGTTACCACCACAGCACGTTATCCAAAATCCGTCATGGTCGAATTGATCCGGGCTCATCGAGTTGAGAAATCCCCATAGCAAGTGCCGCCAAAGGCCAATCGGGGAGTACGTCTAAACGAGTGTATAATCTTTATGAGAGCTATTTCCGCGTGCAGAAATACAATTTTGTGCCGCATGATCCCTAAACAGGCCGCCACGGGCAGGTATGCCGTTAATAGGAGGTCGCAGGCAGGGTTTGTCGCAAAGATGGTACCCGTATATCGTGTATGCATGCACGTGGCGGTGACAACAGGCCTCACTTATACAACCGACTCTGAGCGGCTGAAGGTCATCTTACTCGGCGGTCAGCCTGCATGATGCCATACAAAGACGAGGAATCCTACCAATTTCACCACGGGCAGCACACGTCCCTCAACGCTCGTCTCCTCCAAATATACTCTACTCTGCAGAATAGGCTCGCACACCACTACCACGGCCATGCCTTTACCGGCGCTGTTCGTCTGGGCTCTGCAGATCAACAGCCCGGGTCATGCAGCGACGGGCTCCGACGTGACGGTGACCTGGAGCCATGTTGACACCGACCCTGCCAAGTTCGACTTGAACCTTTGGAACGGCGCCGCGCAGAGTCCCGCCGTCAACAGGCTTCTTGCTTCCGGTGTTCCTGTCGCTGCTGATGCCGTGCGCGTGTCGGTTCCCTGCGGTATTCCTTCCAGCGGCGCGTACCAGCTGTGAGCGGACACGAGACGAATTCCAATGACGGAGGGTTGCTAACCGGCTTACAGGCTTGCCGTCGACGGCGCGAATTCGTCAGACGTCTACGCGCGGAGTGGGCAGTGCTCTGTTGCGGTTGTTGGTTGCACGAGCTCGGCGACAAGTACGGCAAGGACGACAAGGACAAGTTTGCGTGGTGTACAGACAGATGCAACAACTGCATCTAGCTCGGCCTTGACAAACGTGACGAGCACCCCTAGTGGACGAGGTAGGTTTGGCGAGACACGGGCCGGACGTAAATGACGAGGCATGGAGCGCAAGTGCTAATTTGTGTCGCCAGGCACAAGTATTCCCATGGCCGGCGCGGCTCAATGCACGGCGCAGTGGTTGTCTATAGCTGGGGCCTTCATGCTTGCCGTGGTGGCGTTTTGGTTGTAGATGAATCGATGCGACCAAGGTTCATCGTTGATGCTTCGATGTCCGTCCGTCCAATGTCGAGTTTCGTCGTCCGCCAAGCGATGATCCATGCCGTAAACAGAGGGCCGGAGCACAAGTGAGACAATCGCCGTCCGAACATTGCCATCAATATCACCTGATGCCGGATCCCTCATCCGGCCAATGTAGTACGTACGTCCCAAGACACAAATATCCAGCCATGTCTCGCAGACGAACCGGCATTACCATCCATCACCCGGCTAATTCCCAGGAATGCGAAACACAGGCAAATCCCACCAGCGCCGGCCACGAATCCACGATGCCCCATGTTCGCAAGCACGACCAGATCAAATTGGCTTCCGATTCGCATGCCTCGCGACGTCATGGCGCCAACAAGGCCGGTCGAGCATGACGGACCAAATTCCCAAACGCCCGGCCCTCCCTTGAATCCAAGCACTCGCGACGCGCACGCCAGGGAGACCATGTAAGCCACGCGCCATTGGCCGGAATGAGGAGCAGCATCCCAACTCTGGCCCAAGATGCAAAAAAGGCAAGGGGGGCATGATGGGAATTTTAAATGGAAAAAAAAAAAAGTTCCCTGTCCCTCCGCAAAAGCCGGCACTAGCTGCAGATGTCACTTGATGCTCGGTGCCACATGGTCGTGCTGGTCTGGTGTGAAATGGGCAAGCACAAGGGGGAGATGAAAACAAAACGAGCCCAGCATAACAAGACAAAAAACAATAAAAGACAATGGAAACAAAAGCAGCCATTTCCTTCCCTTCCCTCCCACCCTCGCATTGTCCGTCCATCGAGCCGCAACACATTGATTGACGACATCTACATCCTGCCATGGCGCCGCTCCCCAAGTCCACCACCCGCCGGCACACCGTCTTCCTGCTGTGCCTCTTCTCCTCGCTGCTCGTCAGCTTCGCCCTCTTCACCTACTTCATGCTCATGCCCTTCTCGCAGTTCACCACGCACCACCGCGCCAGCGACAAGTCGCACCAGGACTTGCACGAAACGGCCGCGGACCTGGCGGGCGCCGTCGCCGCGAGCGCCAGGCGCGTCGACTTTGCCCTCGGCGGCGCACACCCGATCCTCGATGACGACCGCCTGTGGCGCGAGGACCTGCTGCCCCCGAACGGCGGGTACCTGACGCTCGCGCGCGCGCCCAACGACAACGACACGGCCGCCAGGCTCGGCGTCGCCATGTTCCACCAGCTGCGGTGTCTGGCCGCGATCCGCTCCGAGATGCAGCGCCTGCAGGCACGCGCGCGTGGGGGGGCCAAGCCCGACGCCGAGCACCAGCATCGGGATCGTGCATTAGCTTGCTTTGATTACCTGCGCCAGGTATGTATTGACATACCCATCAATGTTTCCCCCCCGCTTGGAAAATTGACCGTGTTTGGTGCTGATATGAGATAAACCATGTAGTCGCTCTTGTGCCATGCCGACGCGACCATCGAGGCAGACGGCGACGGGACGGGCGTGGCCGAGGGCATGGGCGAGCGGCAGTGCAGGGATTGGCGTATTTTGTACGAGGCGTCGACGAGGTCGGATGGCGAGCCTGTCTTGCCCGACTTGCGCTGAGTTGGACGCAGACTGCATTTACGTTTACTTTGGAGTATGGGTATAGACTAGAGCAGCGACGGCCACCTTGTCGCGCAAAGCAGCAATATCATCATTTTGTCTTGCACCATGGCGTGCTCGCATCACAACATCGCAAGACGGGCACAAGCACCAGTGAGGTGACCGGCTTCTCATTACCTCAAACCTTGACGGTGCTCGCGCCAAGGAGGTCGTCTGGCGACCTATAACTAAATGTACATGCGAATCATCAAGATCGTGCATCTCATCAATCTATCCGGGCGCTTCTCCTCACCCCGAGACCATGCAAGTTCTCGTTCTTCCCAAACAAAGGAAAAGAAACGTGTTTTTGTCGGCAATCTTCATGTGAGACGCCACGCAAAAGCAATACCACACCCTCTTGCCTTGGACGTGCAAGTTGCCAGCCATATCCCGTAGACGGCAACAAACCTCACCCTCGGCCGGTGGCATAGCCATTGAATGGTGGCATTCTTTCATTCCACAAATTGTCAAAGTACCGTCCAGTTGGTGTATCATGCAAGTAAAAAACCACCAATCTTGACCAGCATTACGAAGGAAAGAAAAAAAAACAAAAAAGACTCCATCTGTCTGTTCTGAAAGCAGTAAGCAAAGCAGTACGTAAACAAGGGCCAACACCGGCAAGGGGGATTCAATCTGGGCCCAAAGTAAAGGTGGACTGTAACGCGATGCAATAAAACAATGCAACAGAGCCACCAGAGCCATTGCTTCCCATCTAAACCAATTCAATCTGTTGTCTAGAAAACCAAGTGGCACCACAAGAACACGAAACAACAATGTCCTAACACACCACAGTAGCAAAGCAAAAACGCCAGAGTTGAACAAGTAAAAACGCCCCAGAAAACGCAACATGCGTCAGGGACACCGAGTGGAGATGCGGAAAAGACTAAAAAGAGCAGGCCGCCAAGAAAAATAGTAGCGAGAACCCCCCCAAGAACACAAAAAAAAAATCACAAAAAGGGTTGAGCGGAGGACCAAGGTCCGTATACCACGGCGGGAATTACTTCCTCTCGACTCGGTAACTCATCAAGTTGTCAGCCGGCCACCTCGCAAGAAGCAAACAGAGAGCAATAACAAGACAACTCCCTAAATGGTAAGACGCCAATCTGATGAGGGGAGATCGAAACTCGGTTCAAAACGCCATGCGGATGTCTAAAAGTCCACACCAATCTCTCCTACTTCGTGACTTTTTTTTTTTTTGGTTTCCCTCTTGGGGGCTTTTGGATTGTTGACTTCTTTCCGACTGTTCATTCCACATTTTGATCCTCCATCTTTGTAATCCCTGTCGATCTGTTACGCAAGCACGATATATTCAGAGACTTGATTTGTGTTTGACCTGCACGTGCTGCAAGTCAACCAGCCCTTCAGACCGTCTTGGGCGTGCGCGCGCTCGTCACGTCAATGACGTCATCCAGGTGATTGCACATGGCCACAAACAAGTCAAAGAACAGTTTGCTGCCACCGGCTTCCATCTCAGCTTGCATGGTCCCGCTCCGCTTGAACGTCTTGCGGCAGCGGATGATCAGGGCGAGGTAATGAGCGCGCAGGCGGCTATCCGAGTCGGGCGTGTGGGCATAGGCGTACTGGGCGGACCGCAAGATGGTTGACACATCGATACCAGATTGCAGGCCTTGTTTGCGCAAGGCCAGACGCTTGAGCTCCTCGAGGCCGTATCGCTCCGCGGCACAGTAGATGACCGTGTCGCGGAGGACATCGGCCCCCACGCTGTATACGAAAACGGTGGCGTCGGGAACCGTACCTGCGCGGCCACCTCCAATTTCGGGGTTTGGTGACGTGTGAGGCGTCCGCACACGGTCCTCGAGATCCCAGGAGTTGCGGGACCTGTTGTGCAACAGGCGCGGGTAGTAGTCGCCCTTGTAAAGATACTCGAGAATGGCGGAGAAGACCTCGGGTTCCTCGTCGGGGAGAGAGATCCTCCTGCTCTGCGCATCGGGGAAGTTGCCTCGGCAAGCCGCGTCAAAGAACGGCGACTGGCGGAGCACGTCCTCGTGCGCTGCAAAGAGCCTGCCCTCGCGTCCAACCGTGAGAGTCACAATGGGCGAGGGCGTAGTGGACTTTTGGGCAATACGGTCTTGCTCAGTGAGCGATCTTTGCAGTTTCGATAGCTTCGTGGGATCCCGGACAGAGCCCGGCTTCTTTAGTCTCGCAGACTTGTCCACGCGGCTCTGGTCTTGCGACTTGAAGCTGCGTTTGCTGAACATGGCTGCGGTGCTGTGGGGTTCGATTTGACGGCGAGGTTTCGATTAGGAACTAAAGAGCAGCTCGGGCAGGACGGCGCAACGCGGCCGAGGGCAGACAAGGAACGGCCACTGGAAAGGGAGAAAATGAGCGTCTCTTGTCTGGTCCGGGTCGGAAGGGGTCGGCACTTCAGTGTCTGACTGGAAATTGTCCTCGACACCGGGCGTTGCGTGTTGATAACTTGGCTAGAGAGCGACGAAAAGAGCGAGGAGGCGCGGGTTGGGGGACGGGTAAAAGAGTGAATGACGCACAAGGGGATTGACAGGCGGGTCCGGGAGAGGAAATACCTCCTTGAAATCAAGACGATAGATCCTCGTGTGAAGCTTTGCGACCCTACTTATGGTTGTGAGTGGGGAGGAAGGGGAATCGGAAATAAGGCTGCGTGGGAGATGTGACTTATTTGTACCCAGCCGGGGTCCCAAGTTCCAGCCAACATCAGGACTGGCAGGGATCCTGTATTCTGCGCCAGCATTCTGAGGGCCGCCAACTGGGCCCATGTCACCGTCATGCATGTGAAATGTGAACAAGACGCATCCCTTTGGCTGGCTTCGTTCACGACCACACCATCGACCACGCATGCAGTGTCACACCAGCCTTCAGAGTCACAGCCTTGACAGTCTGCCACACTGTTTGTCGTCCTAAATTCCCGCACCCATCTCCAGAATGCATTGCTTTGGGTGGCAATAATTTACTCTCGCTTATGCTCATCATCCCAACTACAGGCCCAACTTGGGTGAGCCGTCCGAGTCCCAACTTCCATACTACTTCCACGTGAAGATATCTGCATGCGCGCCAACAGAGGAACCTGCGCTGGCTTGGTGCCCGAGCGCCAGCACGCCCATTCAGGTCCCGGGGTGATCCTGCAGCACATGTTGTACATCTATCCGCCAAATCAACTACTCAAGGCATCAATCATGCGTCCAAAGCTTAGCCGTAGCTCACTCCAGCCTCACATCATCAGGCACCGCTCAGGTACGTCACCGTCTGAGTTCTGAACCACGAGACACTCGGTCTCAAGTCAGTCGGGTCCATCGACAAGACCTGTCAAACGAAACTCGGGTGGAGACGACCCATTCTCCCTGTACCTAATTTTGTGGGACTCCGCGGCGGCTTTGGACCTTGATATACCTAAACAGGTAACCATGCACTTGTACCAGGTAATGAGAATGCAGAGGTCAAATCTTAGGTCAATTGACTACGGACTGCAGGGTCATATGAGATGCCAGTTTAGAAAATACTAATCCCCATTTAATAAGTTCCTTCTGTTTTTATTACTCTTCGCCGTGGGAAATTCTCAGGGGGTTCGGTCTGGGCATAGTGCCCATGCTCGTGTCGACGTCAACGGCGTCATCGAGCTCAGGAGTCGAGGCTTTCGTTGGCGCCACGAGACTCAGAACGTCGAGTAAGGCTTTCACGAATACCAACAAATCCATGCATCAGGGCGAACACTGCAAAATCTAGTTAGTGCTCCACCGGGCACGTGGTTCATGAAGTGTTGATAACTTACTCATAACGGAGAGCCCTACGAATCCGGTGCAGTAGACTGACACGGCTTCTTTGGAACCAACCTGCTCCTCGTCCATCCAGAAAAAGGGAAACTTGCCGGAGACGGACTTGCCAATACCGCCCCAAACAAGATAAAGCCCAGACAGGGCCGCCGTGCAGAGAATGGATGACCCGATAGCCTGGTGTACAGTTAGCTAGCTTCAGGATACACTGATGCCTGATTGCCCAACGGAAACTTACATGAGGTTTCTTGATGCTATTGAAGAAGAAACATTCGATAGTCATTATGCAGGAGTTGATGGCATGCATATTGATCTTCATGAATCCCGGGAACCATCCTTCGCCAAACAGGTCGCTGACTAAAGTAACTGTGAGCTGACAGGATAATAAACTACCAAGGTCATTATTTCAAGATGGCATACATGGTGTGTCTGGAATAGTAGCCGCTGAAGACATGTTCACAGAAGCGCCAATCACATTGGCAGCGACTTTGGATGCCACATTGGCAGCATCACCTGCGTCGTGCTGCCTGGTAACGAACCAGTAGATGGTGGTGTTCATGAAGCAAAACACTGTGGTTATAATGTAGAACAAGTTGAAGTGGAATTGCTTCCGCTGGCTTGCCATATTCCGCGGTAGGGACATGGTCTTGATGATCCATCTCTCGGCTCGGCCTTCTACCTCGTTCGGTTCGGGGTAGTACAGGTGAGTAAATGTCCACGCCTGACAGAATGGTTAGCGCTGCCGAACTTGTTCAATAGAGCACAAACAGAAAGACTCACAAACGTGATCAAATGGTACATGAAGGTCATGGCATAAGATATGAGTGAAAAGTCGAACATGTTGGCCAACGGACTGTCTTCTGATTCTTCCACATTCATCTTGTAGTGCCCCGTCATGACTGACGTTGCCACAAGGTACGCGAGGACGCAACCACGAAGGCCGACTAAAGCGTTCTGAGGAATCCATCGCCACGGGGAATGGCTGCACCGGAGGAAGACGGGCTGGGTCCAACTCGATTAGCGATTTCTCATGTGTCATTGGGGTAGAGAATCACTTACGTGGTCCTGCATGATGACAGGAGCAGGGAGGCCATTCTGACTGAGAAGTGGAGTGGACGACATTTTCAGATGGGTGGCCGGAGACGATGCCGTGAAGAGAGACACAGAGAATTGAGAGGTAAAATACGGGGTGGACTGAGTCTAAAATCTGCAGAGACCAAAAACAACCAGCAGACGCCGGGCTGGCAAGCAAATGAAGATGGATGGGTGTGAATGCGAGGGTGGGAGATGGGATGGCGGCTGTGGGAGAGAAGAAGAAAAACGAAAAGACGAGAAGAGACAAAGAGGGAAAAGAAAGCAATGCTTGTGCGTTCTCCTTGGGTATTGTTTGTCACAGGGAAAGTGGTCCTGGAGATTGTTGTAGGAAGGAACTAGGTGCAGTCGGCCAAGCTCCGCCTTCGAGCAAACTGAAGGTCAATCCAATTCACGGTCCTCAACCCCAACTGCTGGCAGGGGTTTCTTTTCCCTTCGCGTTTCTTACTGCTCTGGCAATACTAGATCAGCGAGACTATTTATCAGTCATCCATCATTTGTATCCTACACATGATATCTTACATGCTACAGGCTCGGCCAGGCCGGACGCTTCAAAATCTCACTCCATTAACCACTCAGTGCTTCCTGCTGCTGCTCTCGCTCCCCTCCTTCTTCATGCCCTCGCAGCCCGTCAGCTTGCCAGCCAGTTCCTCGGGCTTTCCGTATCCTTGGGAAGCATCCCTCTTCTCTCCTGCTGTTTTCATAGCCGATATGCCCGCTGCCTTGTCTTGCTCGCCTGACGACTTCCAGGGATGCGATCCAGTCATGTCCCCAACAGCTGCCTGCGAACCCTGTCAGTGGTCTGCGAGGCGGAGGATGGCTCTGGTGTTTCATGCATTTTAAGTACTTACCTCTGCAATTCCTTTGGCATACTGAACATGGCCTTGAACAAGGCTAGGCTCCTGGGGAATGTTTTCGGCCATTATGGTCAATGTCGCGTCAAGTGTTGCGTTAGTCTTGGTTCAAACGAGTCAAGTTCAGTCTGGGTGAGCTTGCTGGCAGCCTGATAGAAGGGACCAGTGAGTCACTCTCATAGAAACTCTTGCGAAAGACTGAGCTTTCCACCCATTAAATACCTGGGCAGTCGAACACCGATCCCCTCCCTCCAGACTCTCCATGACATCACAATCCAATCTTGAGATCGAGGTGGTAAGTGCTGCGGGACCCACAGACCTCAACCATCGACTCCTCGAAATGTGGCTGCATTTGTGGCTGGTGCACCAATTGATCCAACGACTGAGGCTGAAGCTGGCTGCCAGCTGGATGGATGGGTGGTCCGTGCGCACTCCGTTCCTGAGCAGGGCCACCATGTCCTGATGTCGAGTTCCGAAGACGCCAGGCTGTCACGCATCGCATTCCCAAAGGTTCAACCGAGCATTTGGCGCAGCTGCAACGCTGCTACGACCCTAGGTTTCGTCGACAACCTAAGACGACTGCTCGAAATCCCTCTTCAGTATATCCACATTGTTTGATCAAGATGTTGTCAGGTCTCCAGAACCCGCGGCAAGCTGCTGCGCAGCTTATGAACTTTGCCATGATACTTTCAACCGCCTTCATGGTACGTCTAGGTCACACGGCAAAACACCCAATTCCTTTCATGACCAAGTTTTCGGCATGGCCGAGCTTTGAATGGACAATTTACTGATCAAATGGTAGATGTGGAAAGGTCTTTCAGTAGCTACCGACTCCCCCTCCCCGATCGTCGTCGTCCTCTCGGGCTCCATGGAACCAGCTTTCCAACGTGGTGACCTCCTCCTGTTATGGAATCGAAACGTGTGGCAAGAGACGGCGGTGGGTGAGGTTGTCGTGTACAATGTGAAGGGCAAAGATATCCCCATTGTCCACAGAGTGGTTCGCAAATTTGGAACTGGGTAGGTTTGCTTCTGGCGCGGCGGTCAGAGGACGGCATGTGCTGACTGATAATTCTGCAGGGACAAGGCGAAGCTTCTCACCAAAGGAGACAACAATAATGCCGACGACACAGATCTCTACGCTCGTGGCCAGGACTATCTAGAGCGTGAGGACATTATCGGCAGCGTAATCGGATACTTTCCATTTGTTGGATACGTCACAATTTTGTTGTCAGAACACCCTTGGTTGAAGACGGTCATGCTGGGTATCATGGGCTTACTGGTGGTGATTCAGAGGGAGTAAAGAGGGGCAGGGCAGATTCTGTACTACACTTGGGAAAATACTATGCAATGCTGGCACTAGGACATTAAGTCCCTAGAATCTTTGACAGATCCAGGTCATTGAGAGCCACCACAGGCTGAACTGCAGCAGCAATGGATGGGGGGAACAAAGAATTGCAATATACAACTTCATCAGAGAGCCGCGGCCTTCCAAGATTCTACCTCACGAACGAATGACTAACTGCTGCACTCGCACTAGTTGACGCAACCCATCCAGCAACCGAACCTGTTGGTCTCGCATCTTATGTAGATTATCCGCTAAACGCCCGTCCAACACCGAATGCCGAGTCGAGATGGTGTACGGTGTGCTGCTCTGGAGCCTTTGGGACAAGACGCATGTCCTGAATCATCTTGCTGCGCTGGTAAACTTTTGGATTCATTTACCAGACAATGCCAGCAGCACATGTTTCTACGGTGCACAGCTAACTACACCACAAAAGTTTATCCATGTAAAGATGCGAATGAGACAAATCACTCTCATCACACAATCTGTTCAGTTCAACTATAGCCGCACCAGTCGTCTTCTTTGTCGCTTTAGTTGCGACATCACAATCACACTGAATGTCAGTACAGGGTACGTGGAAAGACAGCACCAACTTCCTAGAATCTATATGAGGAGCAAGAATTATGGGTGGGTACTCCGTATTGAAACTTGGAATATAGATGGAAAATCTTCGGCTCCGAAGCCAGTTGTCGTAAAGACGCCCGGTTAGCTCAATCGGTAGAGCGTGAGACTCTTACGAGTACACGAAATCTCAAGGTTGCGGGTTCGACCCCCGCATCGGGCTTTTCCTATATTATAAATGATTGAGATGTAGTCGGCTTTCTTTTTTGGTTCTTTTCCTGTCCTTTTTGCCGTTCTTTTTTCTTTCTTTAAAGGACCAAAAAATCTTGGGTGAATCGTCTGCAAATCCGTTCCAAGTCTCACATCTAGCAAAGAAATTGACGATATTTTCGCCATTACACTAGGCACATCAAGGCTGTGCGCAATTCGTGGACTGGCGCGCCCCGTCTCCTTCCAAAAATCGTCCTCAAAATTGCCGGCCCTTTCTGAACCCATCAAACAAGGCGCGAAATACATCACGCTTCAGCCCTTCGCTCTCGTCCACGGCCGCGATAATGCCCTCTATCTTGGCTCTTTGCTGCTCCTCATAGGCCCTAAACGCCTGCTGCAGCCCCAGCTCGGCAAATACCTGCTTCACCTCGTCAACCCGAGACGCGTCCTTCTTCCCGTACCCCTCCAGCAGACGCCGTCGCTGCGCGTCGTTTGCCCGCGACAAGGCCTCAATGATGAACCAAGTACACTTGTTGTCCTGGATATCCGTCCCGTGTTTGCCCGTGACGGCATAGTCCCCAAACACGTCGACGTAGTCGTCGTTTACCTGGAAATACTCGCCCAGCGCCACGGAAAAGTCGCGCGTCTGCCGCAGATTCTTGGGCGTGGCGAGCTGCCAGTACTCCAGGGCCAACGTGACGGGGCCGGAAATGCTGTACGACGACTTGTCCTTGACAATGGCCCAGTACTGCTCCATGGTGAAGTTTGCAATGTCGGGCTCCCTGGCGGCAGCGAGATCGCACAGCTGACCCAGCTCGGTGTGGAGGCCGTTGTCGACGAAGAGGTCGACCATGTTGGTGTACGCCGGGTGCTGGCGGAAGAAGGTCTTGAGGAGGAAGAAGATGGTGGACTTGAGTATGCACGCGTCGTTGATGGCCATCAAGCCGATCTGCGGCTGCCGATACCAGCAGGGCTCGCCGCGCCGGGTTGTCGAGTCGTCCATTATGTCGTCGAGGATCAGGTAGTGCGCGCCCAGCATCTCTACCAGCCATGCGAGGACGGAGAGCTGCTTCGATTGTTCCTCGCTCACTTCATTTTTGGCAAGCTGCTTGCCGATGTAGAGAGTTGCCAGTCCGCGATGCAGCTTGCCGGTCCCGACGTTTGCAGAAAAGCACTACGGAGCGCAGTTGTGTTGGTAAAAGACATGAGCCCTTTCATCATGTACGTGCGACGTTGGGTGCTTTACCTGGCTGAAATGATTGACAGTTGCATCACCAAACCCCTCAGACACAAGGTATTGGGTAACCGTGGTGTCTAGGCTGGCATACGCTGCTCGCAGCTCGTGTCTCAGGGCATCCATCTTCTTGGGTCGCACCGATGGTACTTCGTATAGAGTGTTGGTTACGAATACACGGACGATATTTATGGCTCCATTGGCCTCGGATTAGATGGAACTTGATGACAAGCAAGCACTCAGAAAATCTAGATCAGTGCTGTAGTCCCTCCCGTCTTCTGATGCGGCCCACAAGCGAGCTGCAATGTCACATGATAAATTATTGACGTGGTAGCCAAGAAAATGAGGCGCAACGATACTGCTTTATAGCCGTCAATGCAGACGGAATAAGGGTGCAGTATATTATCCACGTGCTGTTCAAGGCCCCAGCAGAGAATGGTGAGGCTACCTGAGCTTGGCTGCATCATGCTGCTGGACTTGGACAGCCAGCAAGTGTCTGCATGTGGTATCACATGGTCTTTAGAAGGCGCTGCTAATTTTTTTTAGAGCCTGGTCTCGTGGACTGATATGCAAGTCTGTCATCAATTGATTGAATCCTCTTGACCTCGGACTACGACCAGTTGACAGTGCCGCTCTTTGTGTCTTTTTCTAAGTCGAGACTACATATAATGTGGCAACATTCTTCGGCCGCGGTAGCAACTCGACTCAGATTTCACAACACCAGTAGTCGGCGTACTCCGTATGCCGCCGGAAAACACAACAAACAGTATAAGTGGTATATGTTGCGCAACGGTGGACAGAACAGGAGTAGTCGGCAGCTACTACTGCAGCAGACTCCAATACAATACCGCGGGATCATACAGAAAGACATTCTGCTACTATTCCAATTCCATCATGCTCAACGCACCTTTTCCTCCGTGGTCGAATATTCGCCGGCAAGTTCTACTGTGGACACAGGATGCGATTGCCCGAGATTGACCTTGCGACATGAACCGGTCTGCCAGGGTGTATTGTGCGCCATACAGAGCCGTACCGAAGGACATCTGGACAGAGGCAATGTTCATTAATGAAGGGAAATCGAGTGAATGTATTGAATCGACGAGAGCAGCAAGCATTTGTACGCACCAGCCTGCGCAACACAATAATCATACTCGCCCTCATCGCGACTCATCCCCCTGCCGAGCAATTCGTGTAAAAATACAGAATGCTGCAGCACCAGGGATCAAACGCAAAAAGGAAACATTAGGGCAAATAAACACGCAGCAGTCGAACCCCCCGAGCTTGGCAGCCCAGAACCAGACGCCCAGCGATGAATTAAGCAACAGGCTAAAATGAGACCATCAGATGTCGAGTATGACCAGTTGGTTGACGATGATTTGAGGCAGTGACGCGCCAGATGCAGAAGTCGCCGAGGGAGGGGTTGCTCAGTTGACCTCTGTGGACGCTGGCGACTGCGGCGCCGCACCTGCCTGATCATCCCAGCGCCTGCATGTGCTTTTATTCGCGATTCGTCCCCCTCGGTGTTGAATCTCGTCCTTCGATTCCTTGGTTTTTTACTGCTTCGTGTACAGTCACTCGCTTCTGCTGCTTGGATACCCCCGAGTGCTGTCTGGCCACGCCGACGTTCAGGAATCAAGACAGGCTTCACCCGGCTCGGACAGGCATCAACTGATCTCAAACGCATCAATAATACCACGCTCGCTTCACGATTCAAACCAAGGCCCCAAAGCAGTCTTCCCAGATGGAGCAGCAACAGCAGGCGCAGATGAATCCCCAAGGGCCCGTCACATACATGGCCGCCCCCCAGCCGTTCCAGCATCCGCCCCAGTCCAACAGGATAATAATTACAAGTGTCCACGTCCTCGTCATGGCCATGTCCATCATCGGCATGGGCTTCGACTTTTCACTCGTAAGAATAACCGGGGGGATGTACCATGTCTCCGCCGCGGTTGCTACTCTCCTAGTACGTTGTCGTCCTTATATGTCCAAAGGACAACTGCTAATATGCTCCCTAGTTCATCATGGCCTTTTTCTGGAGCCTCGCCGAGCTCATTGTCCGCGGCAAGTGCAACTGGAAAGCCGGCATCCACCCAGGCGTCCACGTCGTCGTCTGCCTGGTCCTCTCGCTCTTTGCCGTCTTTATAGGCGCCACGCTCGCCAGCTCTGCCGCCTTGATTTGCCCCAACAGCGACGGCTGGTGCAAGGATAAGCGTGTGTCACCGATGGTCGTGGGGTCCCCCGTCCTCGCGCTGCTTCTCGCCGCCGTCGAATTTATCCTCTTCGTCGTCGCCTGCGCCGACACCCTCGCCCTCATCCGCCGGCAGCGCAGCGCCGCCATCGCCTCGAGGCCGTACTAGGCCCCCCTCCCCAGGGGTGGTAGGTCGCCCCCGGCCATCAGCAGCAGCAGCAGTTGGTGCCCACGGCGTAGGTCCATCCCGCGCCTGTCCAGACGCAGCCTGCCGCCGCCGAGATGGGAGGCGACGAAAGGACCACGCAGTCAGGGAGTTTTACACCCCCGGTACAGCTCAGTTGTTGCAGACCCAGCCTGGAGTGTATTGATACTCGGGAGAAACCTTGAAGTCCAATATAGATAGATGCCCACATAATTAGTACCCGCATAGACATGACGCATCACCTAATAATACATACATGAGTTAGTTCACATACACGCGCAGTATTTCGCGAGTACCAACATGCATCATGAATAGCAAGTCAAAATTCCGGCCTCGGAACAGACATCCAACGCCCAGACCTTGCCGCCTCCATCGTGGAAGAAATGTCAGCGTATTGACATGTCAATACCACAAGCCGCACCATGTGCCGCCTGGCAGCACCAGAAGGCACAAAGTACTACCAGACGCCCAACATGCGTACATATGTAGCACCACGGCCTCACAAGCCCCTATACAGAAATCTCCGAGCCAGCCACCTAGGCACTGTGCAACTTTGATATCGTCAAGTTCAAATGTTCTATTCACGGCCGTGCCGCCATGGCAAGAAAGTGCCGCGGACAGGACAGGATACAAAGTGGCAGTCCAGTCAGCGCACATAGTGGCCACAGAGAATAGTAGTAATTAACAAAATATTCTATCAAATACCAATTAAATATCAAAGGTAATACAGCAGATGAAGCTAAACAAGTACCAAATGTGGCCAAAAAAAAGAGGTATTCCCAACGCCAGTCCCTGTACAGAGTCGATAAGACAAGGGTATTCATCGCCACCAGCGGCCTTTTATCGCCACATAGACATAAACGTTCAAAAGTCACCCGCCTCTTCCCAGCGCTTCGTGCTAGCCAGCTTGCGCATCTTCTTGGGGCTCCCGCCGGCCGCGTTCGCACTCGCGGCCCTCAGGCTATCCGCACTCACGCGCATCCGCTCCAGCTTCCTGCCCAGATTGGCCACGCCGTCCTTGGAGGAGGTCGCCGCCGTCGCGGGCGAGAAATCGTCCCTCTCCTCGAGGGGCTTGCGCTTGGTGGGACTCCGACCGGCCAGTTCGCGCTTGAGAATGGCGTTTTCCCGCCGCAGACGCTCGACCTCTTGCGTGAGGTCCTCCACGAGGACATTCTCCTTGTCGCACTCGCCGTCGTCGGGGGCGTTTTCCAGACCGCGCTCGAGGATGTCCACCTTGCGATCCCAGTGCTCTTCGTTGCGCTCCTGCTCCAGGCTCAGGGAGGCCTTGAAGCGGGACAGCTCCAGCAGGAGGCGCTGCTCGAACTCTGTGGCGCACTCGTCGCGGATGGCAGCTTCGAGGTCGAGCATGCGGTCCTCCATGCTCAGCAGGTGCGCTTCGGCCGTCATGCGTGCTTCCAGCTGCTCGTCGACTTCTACGCGGAGCTGGTCGATTTCGTCGCTCATTCTGGCGATTTCCAGTGCGGCAATCTCCATGGTTGCGCGCTCGTCCACATTCGTGGGCGGCGTGTGGTTTCTGTATGATGCCGACGAACCGGGCGGCACAAAGGGTCGGGGGTGGTGTTGCACGGGACTGACTGGCCGCGGATTGCCCGTCGGCGGCGCTTGAGCAAGAATCGTAGCCGTGATGGATGGGATACGGGGAACCGTCACCTCTCGTGCCAGAGCGCTGTACCGCAGAATCTGAGACGTTGCGTTGAAGTCGCCCCTCGGGTCGGCAGTCACAATCATGACGCCTCGCTGAGGATTGCGACGAGGGGCGTGAGGGTGCGCTGTGGAAGACGAGGACGGAAATGAATTGGAGAAGAGCAACTCCGTCAGTTTACACTGGCGATATGGGACAACGTTGGGCTGACAGAGTTAGCATGGCCACAGGGATACAATCTCAGCAGATAAAGCAAGCTCACCTTGGTTGACGACGACAGCTCGCTCTGCGTCTGCAGACACTGCCCCAGATACATCAGACTCTCGTTAATCTTGCCAGCTTCAACCAACGTGGCACCCTGAGTCTTTGCCTCTCGAGCACGCTCACTGCCGGCCAAGTCGACAATAGTAAGCTTGCTCCCGCCCCAAGGCCCAGGCCGCCTGCTTCTGGTGCGCTTCTTGACCTCGAAGCAGAAGAAGCCGTGGCTCCGGCTGGAAACGCTGTTGCTGCCAGTACCAGCAACCCGGCGCTCCAAAAGGCCAGCCTCGAGCACCATGATGGCATCCTTGAACGAGGCGCAGACTACCTTGCGCAGGCCGGCAACAACCTTTCGGTCGGGAGACAGCTCCGTCGACTTGAAGAGCAGCGGCCGTCTGCGAAACTCTTTCGTGGCGGCCGACCTGGTCGCAGGCGTGAGGAGGTCGTAGATTCGGTCGTTGTGGACTTCGTACATGGACACGACAATGGCGTACTCGGCCGACGAATCGCACGAAATGTTGATGCCGCTGATGTCGGGCGTCTGGGGAAGCGCAGACGGTCGGGCAAGGTTTCGTCGCGGTCCAGGCGACATGACGCCGTGGTCTCCCTTTACTCCCAGTTTAGTAACATTCTTCACACGCGCAGTGGCAGTCAGGGACATGAAGTGCCTCTTGCTCTCCCTCTCCCGCTTGGGAAGCGATGCAGCAACGCCAGCATCCTGGCTGGGCGTGAGCGTGAGCAGACCACCTTGTTGAACGAAGCTATCCTACTGCTCCTTCAGCTTGCGGTTCTGCTCCGTCTCACTGACAAGCCTGACACTTTTCGGGCTTGACGCAGCTGAATCGGGGTACGTCCCCGGGATCTGGACTGCCAAACCACCCTTGGGATACGCGCCGCACGACGACTCGGGAGAGCGGACAAAAGAGACGCGCGGCATGGATGGTCGTACCAGCATGGGCGTTGCCGCCCGCGAAGGCCCTCGCGAGTGGCCCAACGCATCGGCAAAAACAGATTCAAGAAAGCACGACGCCGCCGAGAGAACCGACTCTGACGGATCGCACGCCTGGAGGGATTCGATAACCGACGGAAGCGACGTCGACTCGAGCATGTTCGGGCCAATGGATCGGAAAAGAACATCGAGCGCAAGCTGGGTCAGGCCGCGCTGCGACTTGGATCCCAAAATCGTGTGTGTCTACAACAGCCCTCGATTAGAGATGCACTCGCCCCGTTGCTTGCTGGCGTGGACGAGGGACAAAAACTCACCTTTCCTGAGCCCGTCACTCCGAGCGTCGCAACGACGGCATCCGTCCCGTCGCCGCCCCGGGGGCCCAACACACCCTCGGCCAGAGAGGCAATCTCTGTGCAGTGGAAAACGTCCAGCTGCGAGGCATCGTCCTCGAATACCCTGGTAAAGGCAAACTTTTCAATAGCCCGCCGTCGATCGGTCGGCGGGTTCAGCGTAATGTGCGACGGGTGCGACTTTTCCTTGTCCTCGGGCTCCTCGATGTTCAGGATGCGATCTGGTGTCGAAGTGGCGCCGGCCGGCGGCGGGCGAAGACGCAGGTACACCTCGAAGAGGTTGTGGGATGATGGTTTGGGAGGCGCTTCCATGGTTGGCGGCGCGGTTGCAAACCGATGGATGGTGTTGGTGATGCGTCGTCGGTCAAATCGGATGCTGTGTGGAAGGATGCACGACTAGAATATGGACGATGATGATACTACCTGCCAGGGGAGCTCTGCAGGTGGGAGAGAATAGAAACAATAGGCCGGGTGTATGCGACCTTGGTCGGTTGACGAAATGGGTCGAGCGTCGTTGGTCCACTGTTTACTTTTGTCTGGGATCGTTGGTGTGGCTGGCCGGGCAACGGGGTCCGGGTCTACGCGATTCGTGCCTTGCATTTAGCATTGAACAAGGCAGTCTGGGATCGCGCATTGATGGGAAAAGGAGAAAAAAAAAACAATTCGCTGCTGAATTTATTGTGCTCGTATCTTATTCATTGAACTTTCAAGTTTGTTGTAGTTTTCTCAAGTTTGCCCAGCTCGTTTAGGCTCCATGGCCTGGCCGTTCAAACTGAGCACGAGTTGGATAGACTGTTGCATTTGTGTTTCCTTTTCGACAGGGACTATATCAGAAACTACATAATAATTTTACTTCAAGTCTCCAACCCGCCGTAGGTTTGTTTTCTCAACGCCTAGTTGGCGTTGGCTGGTCTACTGATTCACTACATATGTACTCATAACTCGTACCCTATAGCAGGGCTCGAAATTAGCTGACGCGTTTTGACTGTAAACTACGGAGTACTCTCCCAAGACAACATGTAAGTCCATCGCGATTCTTAACTGTACCCGAACATGTTCTGATGAACATCTGTCTACATATGCATAGAAATTAGGCAGTGTGTGAACTTGCAGCACCAGTGACTATCCTTCTACGCGGCCCCAAAGGCCACTCCTCTCATCGAGAATGATGAGATTTGAGACCCTTGGAACTGACAGTCTCTGCCTCGGTTCCTTCTGGCCGAATAGCGTCGACTGCGCACCTCAAGTGCGCACTTTGAGGCATTGATGCACGAGTGCGGTGCGCGCTTGGGCCTGTGGGCAGTCCGTCAGATGCCCAAAGACAAGTTGACATTGAATTCTATGGACAAGAGCCGCATCCAAACCGGCGTGTGACCAACATGAAATGTGCTCATTTCAGGCAACAGTGCACAGACGGATAGATCGCCACTTGTGATGAAGCTCGCCATGTGTCACAAGCACTTGGACTGTGGCAGGACCGAGCAAAAACAGGAACTGCTTCTATTGACACAAACTTGTGTCGAGGTCAGCAAATATGTGACCAGGCCCTGCTGTATGCTGACATGAACGACTTCGCGCTCAAACGTCTGTGGCTGAGCGGTGTAAAGTTCCTGCGTATCAAATTTCCCTGCCCCATTGCACCTTCTACACCCGAAGCCTCTATCACTGACATTGTTGCCCTTACAAACTGGACATTGTGCTATTTTCAACAGCGTATGACAAGGTTGCTCTTCTCTGTCAACCATGGTGTGAGTCGACGTATAATATTGAATAGTTGAAAGCAAGAGATCAATATTGCTGCGGTTGTTGTGTCAGTGCTGGTATGTCTGTCTCTCTCCCTATCTCCCCGACATAGAGCTGAAGGCAATTATCTTGTTGAGACGCTAGAGCCCCAGAAGTTGGCTCGTCTGCGTATTGTTCAACGGTACGGGGAGGGTATTGCTTTCGGTAAAAAGCATACTTGTATTGCCGCTTTCAAGTATTGTCGGTAAAAGTGGCCACAATGCTTCGTTTCCGCCTCCATGTTGGTCATACGCCGACGCCTGTGAAGACCAGATAGGAGCATGTCCAAGTTCGGCCCGTTCAGGCCAGTTCGATATTGATGCTAGGGAAGCTTGATTGTCGAACTCTGAGTCAACTGGCCCTAGCAGACCTTGCCTATCCAAGGAGTTCCAAAGCGGTTGCATAACATCGCTGGTGCAGGATGCACTCGGATTGGCCACTCGCTGCCTTTTCGCTACAGGCAAATCCGTGTGTTTCGTAGTAGAAGGTCTCTTTGTGAGCTTTATAGCCTTCTCAAGCTCATCTCCTGCTTTAATTCGCATCTTCTTAATCTGTTGCTTTACTTCATTGGTTGGATTCTTGATTGCGCACTTATGCTGCCAAAATTGATTCATTTTGTAGAATTCCTTGTGGCAGCGTATGCATGCCTCCTCGCACGAGCAATCTGGGATAGCCACTGTTACGTTAAGTGTCAAGTGTCTTAACTGGAGTGTGATAACCTACGTTTTCCATATTGTCGGACGAGGTCAGGGAGCCTATTAAACGAGGATTCTGGTCCATTGCAGTCATCGGAGGGACAAACATGTAGTAGCCGGTTCGTTGCATTTTATTGCTAGTTTCACCCTCTTCAAGATGTACTTGGGCCTTCTCGTTGTCGTCGTGCACTGCGTCGTGTCCGTCGTCATATTTGAGATGTCGATGAAGTCATGAATACAGTGCAGAAACTTCCCGCTAATTTTGATGTGTTAGATGATTTAAACGATAACATGCCATCTTGACTTTTTGCTTACCTCAAACGTGGAAGTCCTTTCGCGAATCTGGTCTAGCAAGCAGACAGCGCACTCCTTCTGGCATCTCTCCATGATCCTGGTTGTACTGTGTCACGAGCGGTTTGGTTAATGATGGTAAACTGTCGAGTTCAGTCGAGAGCCCCTCTCATCATGCCATTGCATACCAAAAACGTCTGGCGTGTTGGTTGCCCATGTGCTCAGATGGACGCGCAGAACATGCCTCGATGTACGCCTGAATGTTGGTTTGCCACATGGCCTGCATGAGTTGGAGTGGTGCGTACATCGCCTTGTGCGCAGATGAGGCTGACTCGACGCGCAGTCTTCTTGTTCATGACTGTGACAGGTTCATGCCCAAGTTGAGTGCGCACTTTTGTGCGTAGCTCCCCGCTCTAGGGGGCCAAGAAACGCCTGGTTGAATGCCTCTGCATGGAAGACGCAGTGCTTGATTCCATGCTCACATGTTATACGGTTCCCCTTGGCGGTTGCAGCATCTTTGTGTGCCAGTAGTCGTCCTGGAACTGGCAGGCAGCAGCCATCATACCATGGCCATGACTTGTCAACAAAGGAAAATGAAGGCCCTTGCTCGTCTGTACAGCGTCACGGGGACCAGACGTTTCCAAACCAACGCAACCCCCAAGACGCATTTTGAACCAACCGTGACAATGCACCGGTCTGCGCCCAACACCCGTGGGAACACCAAATTTGAAAGGAGGCAAACTTGTACTTAACCCAAGAGAATCTCAAAAATTCCAAGTTGTATGCTGTCGTGTCCAATTTCATGGTCATTTCTCCAACAGACTTACACGTATCATATTCAAACTTTACCTACTACTCTATACTCCATACAGGATGCCAGCCGACATTATTCCTTGCTACCATTGTCGCAAACTATGGTCCTCGACCTGGAAGGAAAAATGCATTCACTGCAATGCTTGGCCGTTTTCAGCATGCAACCACCCAGATTGCGGACCTTTTTGCGAAAAGCACGTTCCAAAAAATTGACCGCAGTGCCTAAGGCTTCGAACAACAGTACGTCGGATGAGCAAGATATTCATCGATATACTCGATCTATAGCTAATAATAAAAGTGTGTTGTCGAATCCAAGCAAAGTAAAGTTGCTTGACGACCTCGGGTTGATGGCGGAGGGAACGGTTTCTTTCATTTCATCACGGCCTGCGTAATATTCAACATACTCGATAGGCTAGCTCTTAAATTCATAAAGTGGATCCGCTCCTGGCCCCTGCTCTCTGTGATGAACGTCCGAAATGCATAAATATCATAGCACACCCAACAGTAGCTCCTGAAAACCTAATCCCCGCGATACTTGCTTTCTACAAGATACGCCTCCATTCTGCAACAGCAAGCATTTATAACCCTACCTTTTGTGCCTTGTTCGGATTATCTTTCATCAAATATGGACACTGCTTCGTCTAAAATGACGTGGAAGACTTTTGAGCGCCGCATGGCCATCTATGACGATAAAGTCGTCAAAAGCGAGATCTCCGAGGAGGAGCTCATACATCGCGCGGACGGCAGCATCGTCCAACCCTTCTGGGCCAAGGAGCGATTGCAAAATGAGGCCGCAACCCTTGAGTTTATATCCAAAAACACGTCTATTCCGGTACCCAAGTATCGGCTCTACTCCAAGGACGGCCTCCTTCACCTTGAAACGCAATTCATTGACGGGGTGGAACTCAGCGAGATCGACGAAGCGTCTCGACCAACCGCAATAGCAGCTGTACATGATCAGTTGACCCGTACGATTATACCGCAACTTCAGGCGCTGCGTCGAAATTCCATTGGGAGCGTTGACCCTACCCTCCCGGTAGTCCCGCCGCAGCGAGTGTACATGCGTGATAGACGACCATGGGAAAAAGTGACGTCGGATACTGATTGCTTCGTGTTATGCCACAACGATCTTGGTCCTCAGAATATCCTTATTTGTCCGTCTAGTTTCCAGATTGTCGGGATTATTGACTGGGAGTATGCAGGGTATTTTCCTTCGTATTTTGAGATTCCTTTGTGGAAGACAGTGGGCTGGAAGGAGAGGTGGGAAGTCTATCACGAGGCGGAGGCTCGTGAACTTGCGTTTTTTGGACTCAAGCGCGAGGATTTGAAAGACTGTATCCCGCCGCCGCCTTGAGAACACCAATATAACTTGGTCTTTTTGGCTCATACATGTTGCTTATTACAAGGTGGACCTCAAACATGGTGATTTATCTGATGTGACGCCGAAATTTGCACACCGGGCCGCTGAGACGGAGTCGGCAAGACTTGGTGCTGTCAAAGACGTTTAGCGATGCCGCGTTACTTGGAGGTCCAGGATCTCCGCAGTCGCGGGCAGCTCGACTAGTACTATGCTACTATTGACGCAAATACAGACGCCCAGGACCACGTAGACGCATATTTTGATGCGGTTCCAGTTCTGGGCGTCAAGTCTAGACCACGTCCGTGTCGTGGAGAGTACTGACTCCGTAGCATAATAGGTACTGCTCTGCGTTGCTGCCTACTTGCCCAATCCAATGAGAGCCCTGGAATCACCAACGTCAAAGCCTTTGGTATGGATGTTGGAGGAACCTGCCGGGGAATCACTGTCCTGCTCCGCTGTACTCACATTGAAATGACGGGGCTGCTTGTGACAGAGACTTGTGTTTATGGGCTTAGAACAATATCGCTTTACCTCATAATTCGCTTTGATATCAAAGGTTTCCCTTAAGGCTTCGAGTGGATGACCCTTATTCATATCAAACAGCGGTGAGCAAGCGAGCACGGAGGCCGGAGGCCTCTACTAGGTCTCGAGTCCTTGTGTAACCATCGTCAGGTTCAAGGTCCGGCCCGTGCGTATGGCAACATGACTGCCGTGTAATACTGTCCCTTTCGATCCATCACAAATGGCACATACCTTGTGAGGATATCGAACTGTCACCAGTTGTGCAAGAGCTCATCAACTCACGTGTGTCAACCAAAACTCGGTCCGAAATATACCGTGAGATTCGGCAGATTCCCGAAGCAAAGCCTGTGACCAGACACCGGGTATACTATCTCTGGCAGAAGGCAAATGCGGAGATCTGGCAGCGAGACTCCGATCCCTTCAATTCCGCCACAACCCTTCTTTCCGAAGACATACTGGCATGTCAAACGGGCAGTAAGCACGAAGCTCAATTCGTCCAAAAACACCAACACGCAAGATCACTACTGGCCTGAGGAACTCCAAAAGCTGATGCCTGATTTGGAGATCTGCTAGGGCTCGTTGCCAATCCGCCGGCCGGTGAGCTATAGATCTAGCGGTTGCTTATGCCCATTAAAGGGTGAGAAAATCGATGTACTGGGGAGACTGGGACCCGTAACCAAGGAGGACCGTCACACGGCGTTGGAGATTTTCTGCCGATATTTTAACCTCTATCCCCTTATTCCTGATTTGAACGGGACATATAAGTCTTCAACGACTTTGCATCGTGAATGCGCGGCCGAGATGTATACATGGTGTAAGGCCCGGGGTTATTACCGTTTTTGGGCTCATCTGTATGTCAACTGGTACTGCCAGGACCAGTGGAAGCTGTAGGTATGGGCCACCGATCCAGCCGAGATTCCGACGGTGAAAACAACAATAATCGTGGAGTCTCATTAGCGGACGCTAAAGCAAGACTATGTCCATCGGTTCAATCGGCCCCGAGTTGACCTGGTGGTGTAGGTTATAACGTCTCAAGTTCTTCCCAATGCTGTCCATCAAATGACAGCAATATCCAGTGGGCAATTCCGCGTATTCAAAGCTCAATGGCGAGAGGCATTCAAGAAGCAATAGAGGAAAGAGGCCTATTCATCTAGACAAGTTAAAAGAATACCACACAAATCCGGTCAACTGGGTTTGTTCCTACAAATCCTTTCTGCATAGTCGCTTTCTTACTTGTAAGCGCATTGCCCGTTGCTTTGAGTCACCCAGTCCTGAATTTTTCGAGTATATCCGTCGCCAAACAGCATATCCATTCTGGAGCGATCCACGACTGATTTTACGACCGGAATGTGCGCCAGTAATGGACTTCGATTCTGGAAATTTAAACGGGAGCAACAAGGCACGAACTGTGGAGCTAGAGCTAGAATTCGACTCTTCAGAGAGTGATTCAGAGCAAGATGACACTGATGACCAAGAAACTGTCCCTATGGACACCCAAATAGCAGAATTCAGGAAGGCGATGCATGATGCTATGGAGCTTTTTGAGGACCAGGTGGCCAAGGCGAATGAAAAGTTTGCGGAAAGATTCATAGCATCTAATCAGATGAATCGTACATTGGTGGACGAATCTAAGCACCGTCGTAATATGCCGACAATGTATTTACAGTGAAAATGAGTATGGCTTCGTCAAACGCCACGATACTGACCTTGGTTGCACCTGGTTTGATGGCTTTGACATAGCACGGCGGAGAGCAGATAAAACACCCAGGTATAAAACATATTTTGAGCTGGTAGGTTTGCGCACAGCCTCTGACCTTAGGCCCTGACATTCTATGCCAACTCTACATGTAATCTGTGCATCCGCCACCTTTTAACTCTCCCGCACTATCTATTAGCAGCGACTTTGCTCACCCGCATACAGTTGGCGATACCGTTCCCAATGAGGCGCCCTATCGTTTCTATATTCATCCCACTGTCTATTGAACGTACCTGCAGCGTTGTTGATTTCTTGCCTAGCCCAGCCAGAGTATTGCCAATCATTCAAGTAACGGTTTGGTCTCCACACTTCTCGGTCGTAATTTGCCCGCAGTTCTTTGTATTTCTCGTTTAGCGCTATGCCGACGTTGTAGTCGAATTTATCCGTCGCTTGACGAAGACAATGTTCCCGCTGCGCGTTCCACTGATGCCAATTAGGTTGTGGTTGAATGTTCTCCTGCTGATGCTGGTTGGGCTGCGGTTGGGCTTGATTATTGGCCTGCTGGCGATTTCCATCTCCTATTCGTTTGTTTTCTATCGCCTGTTTAGCCGGGAGGCGCCATGTCTCGTATCCGTGTATCGCCTTTTCTTTCTGTTGAATTGTCAAGCCATCTATTGGACAACGAGTGCTTAAGGAGAACTCAGTTAGACTTTGTTTAGTAGAAAGCGTCGAGCTATATTCAGACTCACCCAGAGATTGAAACCATAAGGTTAAAGATAGGATCAGGGACGAGTCGCTCCCTCCAATCTTTGAGATGAAGGCAAGTATAGACTGGGTCTATTGGTTCTCGGCGGAGGCATCGGCCCCAGACTTCCTGAGCATACGCATTGAGGACATGAGGTGGGGTATCACTAATTTTGTCGTTAACCCGTTCGCAGTTTGCCTCCGTGGGATTTGGTCTCAATCCAACATAATTGTCGGGAACTTGGACCTCGCTGTCCGTGTGACGTAGTCCAAGCCAGTGGCCAAACTCATGGGGCAATGTATTCTCAACATTCTCAGCTCTTTTATGAGCCACTTCCGCAATAGTGCCAGAGCTAATGACTATGCCGTCTTTTGTTGCCAATTCTTTCCAATTGTCATAATGCGCGATGTTTTCTGAAGCAATAGAAGAAGTCCCAAGAGTGCCTTGCATGCTGTACCCCCATTGTTGATTGTTTTCCGGATTCCCCCAGAACTTATGACTGTCTTGATAGCGATAGACAAAGACAATGTTAAGCGAAGTGTAGTCGATCGGACCTCGACGGAACCTCACCATTGTCTCAGCCCAAGACTCTCTTAGGAAACCCGTGTCGGCATCAAAAAGGTCCGGACGCACATAGCGATAGATTTGATCAACTGAGGTATCGAATTTGAAAGCAAAGGACCAGTACTTTCTCATTTCATTTATTTTACGTTCGATTTGATTGTCCTGGTTTATGTAAGTACATGTTCTTCATACACGGTATTAATAGTTGAAGCACGCAAAGCCATACAGTAAGATAGCCGCCCGCTTGGGTGTAGTCTTTGGCCACAACGGTTATATAGGTCGGAATAGAATGACGCCGAACGCTTTGACGCTTTGTGATATTGTGCCCCAACGGTATGGTCTCACTTATTTCTGCGGGTTCCTGACTGCTGAGACTTGAGACACCGCACTGCATGATATTATTTACAATATTAATCGTCTGGTTGGTAATGTTATCCGTCTCATTAGTAATATTATTCGTTTGGCTGGTAACATCATCTGTCTCGCTGGTAATATTTGGCGAGTAACTGGCAACATTCAGCGAGTGGTCGGTAAAATTTGGCGTGTGGCCAACAATAGTTGCTGTGTCCCCAGTGATATCGAGAACCGGAAGCTCCTGGCTAGGCCTGAAGCCACCGCACTTGGGTTTACGCTTGGTCACATTGGCTGCGTCGAGTGCCTGAGCACAAGCAGCCGAGATAAGTAGGCTCTTTACTACCAAGCGTAACTGAGGAATCATTGCAGCCAGCCGGAATCGATCGACGTTATAGGCAGCCCGATAAGGGGATGAGGGTATAAGCGAGTGGCTAAGCAAACGAGTAAATAAGGAGTGTGGTAGTGTAGGCGAGAAAGGAGAGGCCGGCGAGTACGGAAAAAGAGTGAAATAATAGTAAGGAAGAAATGCTAGTGGAATAAGGCTCGCCTACATGGGGAGAGGAGTTTTTTTGATTTAATAGTAGCGCTCTCGCAACTTAGGACTTTCCCTTTGCCATATATACACCTATATAGCTAGATAGCATAGCGCTGTCTCCCTGTGTAAGCAAAGCTGAGGTAGTTAGCATTTATTGCCGTGCATAAGCGTCTATATTAGGGGGGCGGGGGGCGTAGTCTCCATTTGGCGTTTGTATAAAGGGGCAACCAAAAGGAGACCCGCAAGATACGAGTATATATATACAATATAACCCCTGAATTATTATCACGAAAATACCTGACATGGGTAGGTAAATATTAAGTGGCCCGTATTAAATTACACATAAATGCATAAATAATTAGGTAAATGTTATATTAGAAAAAGTCCCTTTTAGTAAAGCCTAAGTCCCTGACCTGTACCCGCCTATCAGGCCTAGTAGGCCAAGAACATTATACCTGTTAAATAATACAAATTACTAGAGGAAACGTGGCCAAGTATCTTTTTAACAACAATTCAGGGGTTGCATTGTAGAGTAGATTGTTTTATTATGCTACTACTAATAATAAAGTCCCCCCTTGCACGTCGTTGTTTATGCTTAATCTTTAGTTATGCGATCAACAAAAGGCTCAACCTACTATTAGCTGGTAGTAACTGCTATTAAATGTTGTAATTGTGCTTCAGCCTGGGCAGGAATAAATCTCTCGAGTTAATGCGCGCTCCTTAACTCACAAGAATGAGAAGGCGGGAGAAAGTGCAGATGCTAGTCATGCGCTGGTACTATAATTAAAGTTTTGGCTCTACGCGCGTGCTATTCCCTGCAATCATGACTAGCCAGGCAATAAACATGACTAGCCAAGCAAAAAAGCTAATTGCTGAAAAGCCGAGGAATGGGAAGGTTGGATTGATATTGGTGACTTTTGCTTGTTCGCTATTTAAGAACATGCATGTGTCCTTCTACAAGCGCTTGTACCTGTTACCGGCCGAAGCTCGGGTGGACAGACACTTGATGTCGAATATAGCACTACGTAATGGGTGAAGACCCATATCAGAGTTTGAACGAGGCACTGGGCTTACACGACGTTTAACATGGCAACTGCAAATTGCATGGCATTCTCCAACATGTACTCCGTAGCTATTGGTGGAGACGTTGAGGCGCCCGGCTGTTTTAACAGGTCAGACATGACGAAATTGTCTTCGGCCAACTCGACAGCCGGGAATGGACGTTCCATGTCCTGCAGGCTGAATTCCCTTGCGACTTTAGAACATACTCGTCCACCCATGTGGATATTGAATACAGCAGTTGCCGCCATCTGGCAACAACCTCACAAGTTCCGGTTGCCCAAGGGATCGTTGAAGCCCTGGAATCGTCCGAGGGACCCAAGAATTGATATCGCGAATAGTGTGTCCAAGGAATTTCGCAGTGACAAGCCGGCATCTTTGGTGGCAGTGATACATGCCTTTCGTGTTCCGACCGACATGTAGATGCTGCCATGTCCAATAGAGTGGCTATCATGTTATTGCAGCCATCACAACGCGGTTGGTAAGGGCATTTCAGGCTGGCCGTCGGGCTTGGGGAAACCATGATCAATTCTCCTGCCATTATGATTATGTGGTTCTTGTTCTAGACTTTGAAGTTCGTAAGGGTTAGAATGAGCGCTTTTCTCTTGGTCTCGTGATGGACGAGTGATTTGATGTCTCCGCGCTCGCCCTTTGGTATAAAACCTGACTGACGTCGTAGAGTCTCGATTCGTTGAAGCCTACCTTCGCACGGCGCCTGGTTTTTTTTAGCATGGATCCTTGCTAGCAATTATTTAAGGCCGGTCTCTTCTTTGTGTCTCCTAGCTGTTTTGTGGTTATGAAGTCAACCACTGATCAGTGTTGGTTCGTCAGAGGGAAATGTGATGCAGTACTGCAACGGGGTATCAATAAGTCAATTCAGTCTATCTTTTCCTTCTAGCCCTTTTCAGCTGCATATTGCACAGGCAGAGTAAAAGGTACAAAGGTCTTGTATTGGGGGCGCTTGTCGGCTCGGCCTGTCTCTACCTATCCACAGACATGAAGAATATAGGCGTAACCTGGCACACGCTATCCCGTCTTGTACGATTTTTCAACTCACTTTATTTATCGCCTACTTCAAAATGTCTTAGATAATATTTATACACGGACAAAGCGTTATTCGTTTTATATCTGGCATTATAACTATAGTTAGTAGCATCTTGGTATTAATATATAAAAAAAATATTCAAGCTTAAAACTTTTACTTAAACGTGATGACGGGTCGTCGCAGAGCATTCTTGCAAGTTTCGCAGTCGATCATAGTGGCCATGCTAAAGATCAGAACTGTACTCCATTCTTCGCTATTAGAACCCTTTGATGCGTAGCAGACCATGGTTATTCGACGATCTGGCAAGAACCCCTGTATGCCCTTCCCGAGGAGCCATATTGACGCATCGGAAACCCTTCCTCAGTGGCCCAGCCCTTGTTAGACAAGGTAACGCGTGTCGCAGTTGCAAAGCCAGCCCAAGGACAAATACCGCCATGTATGAACTCTAGAGAGACATCAAGTCTTGAATACCGCGCAAGACTACGGCCCGCGAAGTCGCATTGTAAGCACGTTGACCCCCAAATGAAGCGACTCGTCTTCCAGTCCCCATCTGAGCCATGGTTGCAGGTGTTATTCTCACTGTTAAAGGGAGTATAGGGGAGTTAGGAGATACAGGACTTTGCAGAATCCTTTGCTCGACCCTCTCTGATCTACGAAGTCGAGCGCGACTTGGATCAACTCACTATTCGCAATATCACGTGCGGGGTCAAGCCTGCGCCTTGAGAGTAGCCTGTTTTGGTTGCATCTCTAGGTTGTAAGTCGACGTACTCATTTCATCTCACGCTCAACCGGGGTGTTCATTTCGAGCGTAATCCGCACCGCCTTCTGCGCAAGTCTGAATCGCTTCAAACGCCAGGCATGGCCCCTTAAGGATTACGGCAGAACTTAATTCCGAGAGTCTAGGAGCGGGCCGTGCGGATTTGCACAAACTGTTACCACGCGGCACTGGGGTCTTCTCACATGCAAGAGAAGCCTTGAAGCTACCAGACAGTACATTTGCGCAATAGGCTGTTCCATTGCACAATGGAGTCCCTTCTTGGGCAAATCACTGATCCCCTCTTCCGTCGGTAGCAAGAGCTGCCGCAAGACTCGACCACTTCAACGGGCGTGGTGGAATGACAAGTGGCGTTTGAGACACACCGGTCGGCAATTCGAAGATCGAAACCCTGAAAAACGCGTCTAGCTCACCACCAGGACAGGGGAGAGAGCTAGCGGGACCCTTGGACAGGGAGAACAAAGGAAGCCAAAAAAAAAAGAAAAAGTTCTGTCGTCATCTTCCTGTCCCTGCGGGGGTTTGGCATTCGCCTCTTTGAGCAGGCATTTCATGAGAGGCGAGTTTCTAGCCATTCCGTTTCATCCACGCGGGCGTCATTTGCACGAGGGTGTATGGAAGGACTGCCAGATCTTGTAGATCCACGGGAGGTGATGGGGATATTGGCGTATCGACGACGACGCCAACGGACGTCAACTCAATCAAGGGAGACGCAAGTCCCGTGGATTGGCCCAGGCGGGGGAAGAGAGCCACGCACGCCACGACAAACAGATTCGGCCAATCACGCAGTGCTCGATCAAGTCGGATCGCCGTGTGAACCCTGAGTCACGGTAGCGTCGAGTCACCTCTTCATAGCTCTGGAGAAAAAAGTATAAACCGCATGGCGGAGTTGGCGGTGATGCCTGGATATTGCGAAGCCGTCAAGACGAGAGGCTGGCCAAAGGGGCCTCAAGGAGGGACGGGAGAGACCATGACTGGCACCAGCCAAATGGGGTATGACTCCATCGTCATGGCGATGTGACTCGGCATATGTATGCTGTCGACACGTGCAGTTGCCTTGCCATGTTCCCCAGCTTCAGACGACTTTGGGCGCTGAGTCTCAACAAAGTCAATCATGCATGGCGCTTCAAGACAGCAGTGCTGCCCGACCCGGCGTGCTTTCTTGGATGAGTCTCGGCTCCAAACACTATGACGGACATCATCCGACGACATGACCCAACAGCGGCCCAGGCCCAACAATTCGTTGTGTTTCCTCGGTCTTGGGGACCCCTGCCTGGGCATATTCAGGGCAAAGAATCAGCATCCACTCCAATCATGGCATCGCCTTTTTTTTTTCTCTGGGATAACATGTTCCTGAGAGCCACCTCGGTCGCGAGATTGTCGCTAAGCCAACTAGATCGGAATCCGTCCCCTCGGTGACCATGAGGCTGGGTTCTTACAAGCGTCGTCATTTTGCTAGTTGGAAGAGGGGCCATTGACAATTGGAGGCTTGCAATACAGGACCGTGATATACCTTGACGACATGATAGCCCGTGTACAGGCAGCTAAAGGACGAGAAAGTCGGGCTAGTGGCATAATAAACCCCTGACGGATCAGCTAGGTGGCATCATGGTGCCGCGCAATTCGCCTCCCCAAGGGCCGGCCCAGCACGAGGCGAGAGGGGACAGAAAAAGTTGAATGGAGGAGGACGAGGTTGGACCCAGTCACCCTGGTGGAGCAGCTTTTTTAGTTTCGTTTGCTGCAGAGCCTGTCTTGACGTTGGATGTGAGAGACGACGATGCTGAGGCCCGACCGAAGGATAGAAAAAAAAAGAGGGAGAGAGAGCGAGAGACGAGGGCCCATGCCCGCCATGGTCCAGCGACTCAGCAATTCTTCACTGAGCTTGCACAGTTATTACATGGCTAATGGCATTGATGAATGCCTCCGTTCGAGGTATATTACACTTTGCCCCTG